TCGCGTAAGGCTTTTAGTTCGGATTCAGAAAGGGAATAGATGGGTCCGAGTGGAGGGGTGGAGCCTTCCTCAATATTGATCTTGAGGTCATAAGGGCGATGCTCAGGGAGCTTTTCAGAAAGGGAATCACTGAATACATCAGCAAATTCATGGTACTCCGGTGGGACATCGGATAAGTTAGCAGGAGCCGCAGAGGTAGACTTGCCACTAACACTAGGCGTAGAAGGCTGCAATGTGAACTGCTGAGCTCCTTCTTCTGCACAAGCTCGGACAAAAGCGGCAGCCGATATAATAGATATCTTGGGGGCGGCCGAAGCGCCAAAGGAAGGAATGGTAGGGTAGGAATAGATAGGTTCATAAGGCGGCGGAGCCCGTCAGGATCTCGATTTTGGGGTGGAAGATGATGATTGGGATGGTTGGATTGGACTGGAAGAGTCCGAGCGGACTGGCACATGTGTGTCGGCAGCCACGGAAGCGCTTGATGAAGAAACAACCGATAATGGTGAACGGAAAGTGATACTGTGCTTTACCCAGTCAATCGACGGATTGTAGCGGGAGAGCCAGTTGTATCCCAGAACGACGTTACAAGATGAATCTAGACGAGTGACGTAGAAGTCAATAGGAAGGATGTCTCCGGAAGGGAAACGGATTGGAAGGGAAATGGATTGGGAGATGTGAGATCCGATGGAGCCGTCGAGAAGCCGAAGTTGGACAGGTGGGATAGATTTGGTAAGGAGGTTGTGATCCTCAACATACTTCGAATCAACAAAGCAGTGGCTAGAGCCAGAATCAACGAGTGCGAGAAAACAAAGGATAGTAGAAATGGGGGAACCGTCGGACTCCGATCCGGAGCCGACTTCAGATGAGAGAGAGACAGTTAGGGAATGATTGGAAAGAGCGGCAGCGTTGAGGGTTACGATCTCCAGTGCACTGTGACAGTCAACGCAACCCTGTCCTAGTGCGGAGGATACAGGGTTGCTCTCTAGTTTTCCGATTCCGACGGAACCGTTTCAATAGAGGCAGTGGACTCGGGAGTAGGGGCAGGAGTAGCTGCGGCTGCATGACCCTGAGCAGAGGCCACGGCTTTGCGCTTGTTGCAATCTTCAGTCTTGTGCTTACCTCCGCAGAACATGCAGAGGTTATTCTTCTGACGGCGGTCCTTTTCTTCCTGAGTAAGACGGCCATCTTTGCCTAGCTTGTCAGCGTAGGGCTTAGGGTTGGAAGAGGAAGAGTTGTTGGGGGAACACGAAGATAATCCCGTGGAGCCCGAATGAGAGGACTTTTGGCTCGCGGAGTTGGAGTTGGGAGACGAAGAGTTAGAACTCTTCGCCTTGTTGCTGTTGCTGGAAGAGGAAGATGGGTTACTGCGATTCTCTCGGGATATTTCGGCTTTCCGAGTCCAGTAGCGAGCGTCGAGCTCTTGAGCGAGATTCCGCATATCACGGAGATTATCGGGTTTCCCGTGGTGGGCCATATCATCCTTGATGCGAGAGCAAAGGCCACGGTAGAAGGCATGACGAAGGGAGTTGTCGCCGTAGCCAATAATGGCAGCATACTGATTGAATTTGACAATATACTTCATGATGCGGTCTCCGTCGCGCATCCGAAGATTTTCAAGCTCATCTTCAGCATCGCCGACAGCGTCGAAGGGGCCGAAGTTGGTGCGGAGTTCTGAAAGGAAAGCAGTATAGGAATATGCCCAAGCAGGGGGGTTGCGGTGATTAGGGTGGAGGATATCCGGTTCGAACCAGTCAAGGGCGACACCGGAAAGGAAGGAGATAGCGTAGTTGACTTTTGCCGTATCCAATCGGAAGGCGTCGGGACAGTCGTTGAAGTTCAACTGGAGGGAGACGATGAAGGCCTTAAGTTTTCAGGAGTCTGAACCATCAAAGGTATCTGGTTCCTTGACCTTGGTGCGTACCGCACGTTGTTGATTGCCATTGACAGCATCGGAGACGCCGCGGAGGACATTCATGAGCTGAATGAGGATCTGGGCGTCGTTATTGGGAGGATTAGGATTGTTACCAGGGTTGTTGTTAGGTCCTCCTCCAGGACCACCGGGACCACTGGGGCCTCTGGGGCCACCAGGATTGGGTGGGCCACCGCCAGGGTTTCCTGATGGGTTTCCGTGGCCATTCATTGGCATGTGAGGGGGGAATTCCTCATCTTCTGAACCTTGATCGTCGTCATCGCGACCTGGGATGTCATCGAACAGAGAGGTAGTTGGCTTCCGCGGAGGGTCGCTTTGATACTCACCCCAGCCATTGGATTCTGATCGCTGGGCTAGGAAGGGGTTAGGCGATCGGTTAGCATCGGATTGGCGAGCAGTGAAGCCACTGTGAAGGTAGGTTTCCCTACAGGATTGTTGGCGAGGGGTGGAATCCGATCCGAAGAGAAGGGGACCCTCTTTTGAAGCAGAGGCAGGGATATCGTCCATGGTGTAGGTTCGGTTGTTGACCGTGGAGTTGCAGCTGGTTTCTGGAGGAACAGTGAAAGTAGAAGACATGGTTAGGAAGAAATTTCGACTCAAGGGTTTGAGTTCGAATATACTGTTAGGATCGTGCCAATAGGATTGCGGCAGTAAGTGCACGTAGCGGAATGCCGCGGGATGCGTCGAACATAGGTGAAGCTATTAGCAACGTCACCCCTGAGCCGAAGCCCTAAGATGGATACGGACGGAAGTCTGCGGAGTGGCAGAGACGAGGTAAAAGGTAAGTCCAACGGATCGGAGTTCCGTGGACTGGAGAACGAGACTTAGACTCAGAGTTAGAGAGAGAGAGATTGGGCTGAACCAAGTTGATATTCGAACTGAGTATCTACAGTGTAATTCTAAGGCTTATATACTAGTTAGGAGTCCGATCTAGTTCCTACTCGGAGTGGTCTACATTCTAGGGTTGTCGGAGGATATATTCTACCGGTCGGTAGCCGATGGGGTCCGATGACATGTTCGCTACCGATGTCGGGCTATTGATAAATTGTAATGGAGAAGTGAAATATAAAAAGGAATATGAAATGGAATATGAAATAGAAACTGGGAATCAGGATCCGTAGGATTCCGGGCTGTGGTTTGTTGGATTGAGTGGAAGTCGGGTTTCCATCGGCATGCTCGTTACAGAGGGGAGCAGAGGCAGCTTGGAAATAATAGTTAGCCTGCCAGATCCAGTAATGTGTGGGTATATAAAGTCACTGGATGGCTGTGTGATTACCAAGCTCATTTGTTTTGCCTTACTAGATATGTTATTCTCATGCTGGTTGGTTGGTTGGCTGGTCGAGAGCTTAAAAAATAAATAGACGTGATGTACTTAATTAAAAATTTCGAGACCCCTTGGTGGTGGTCTCAACTGCAGCCAGAATTTTGCCAGCATGATAAATCAGACATTATACTGGCCATCGATAAGGAAGGATACCCTGATAGAAAGTCCAAGGGTGATTAGGAGTCTCTGCAGTTGCTGGGAATGAATGGGTGGGTCAGTGTCATGGCAGTGTTATGCTTTTGGGCATGGACTTTAAATGGAATGAGTGAGGTTGGATATTGTGAAAAGGCGGCAGCTAAACATGCTTGTGAGGATTGGCATAAGACAGTCGAAAATGTTGACTTTGTTCTGGGACGTCTGTTATAAATAGCTCAAGTATCAATGTCATATGTATCTAGAGTACTCAATAGTAGTTATGTACATATTTATTAGTGATAGTTATGCCAAAAATATGGTTTTTGTGTTTCTTACTCTGCAGGGACAATATTGAGTGCTTCTATTCATAGATGATTAAGTGATACTTTCACTGGTGTTTAATTGTGTTTTATGCCATTTTTCTGATGGAATGAGTGATATTTACATGTATTTGCTTGCAGCCCTGTCCTGTAAATTTTGGCTGTGATTATTATAATCTATTTTTAGAATATGTGATCAGTATCCTACCACAAGCCGACATGCTCCCACCCACCCAAAAAAATGAAATTCATGAAAAAGATAAGAAACAATGGTGTCTATTAAGACCAACAAAAAAGAAAGATGGTTGAAAAATTTCCAAAAATAGACCCACCCTGCCCATCAGGAGTGAGCACATATGATGTAAAATGAGCTGCCCCACTACCCTGAAAAAACTGACCCAAAAAAAGCCAGATTGATTGAACCTATTTTGAGATTTCACCCAAAATGAAATTTTAGCACCCACAATGAGCAGGCAAGCATGTGCTGCCAGTGATGAGCAGTGGAGATGTGGCTGTGCCCCAGTGAGTGCAGGGGAGGGCCATGACCAGCTGTGACAGTCCCCAGAGAGAGTGACAGCATTGACTACTTTATATAGGACTCCAGTCAATTGACCAGGTTTGATATATTCTATTGACTGCTAAGGCTGCTGTGTCTAGTTTTTCATGTTTCCCGTAATGGCAGGTGGCACTTAGTTGGCATTGTTGTTTTTTTGTGTGGTGTTGGCTGTGGGTGCCATCATTGTGGCATTTTGGGGGTTAGAGGTGGTGTTTTTCATTCAGGTGTCTTTCACCTTGCTTCATGTAGTTGTGCTGGACATCATTCCAGTGCTGCTTCTAGTTGGGTTCAGGTTGGTATACTGTACAATTTTGACCAAGTGTTCAGTAACATGTAATGCTCCCAAAAAACAGTTGATACTCATAATTTTCTTTCAATTTTTCCGATTTCTTTTGTATTTTTTTCAACCAAAAATTTCCAAATTTATGAACACTTGGTTGAAATAGTACTGTACCATTTCAATCACTTTGAATGTCACATGTTGCAGAGGCACATTCGTATTCATAAAATAACCCTGTGTCACATATCACAAGAGTCTCATTCGGGAAGGTTTGGTGTCACAAATCCGCAAAAATGCCAAATTAGATGCAAAATGGCTGAAATTTGGTTTTTTCCCTTGCTTGCAACGCTTTTCACACTGTTTATGACCCATTCTGGGGGTTCAATACCTGTAAAATTAGGTCTAAATTGGTCCAAAATAGGAAAAGTATTTGTATTTTGTACGAATGTTTCAGTCACTAGTCATGCATTTGATCATTCAGCATGGTCCAGGTATGTCACATGTCACAAGCCATTCAAAGTGATTGGAATGGTATAGTACAGTAGTAGTTGCAAATATAGCTGAAGTCACTAAAAAAGTGTAAAAATACCACCTTTACTCAATACACACAAGTAGTGATAACCAGAGTAGATTGGCGATCTACTGAGTGTACAAGTGGTGGTGGTAAAAAGACTACCTACACTAACTGCGCAAGAAAGTAAGATATAGTGAATTACAAATATGTCAAGATAAGATAACCATCTGATAAGGGTGAGCGACCTCATAGGGCGATGAGGTCACTCCCCTTACAGCGTGATTCTCACGAACCACGGCATGCAGCAATCGCTGGGATCTTTGGTACTCCAAGTACGAGTACGCATACTTCTCTATGCTGCTAGCTGGATGGTTACTGACGTGCAGGAGGCGTCGTAGGACAGTGCGTGGAGTAAGTCGCGGCCAAAGGCCCACCAGCTGAAGCGTCTCTTCATTGTGAGAAGAACACTGATTGAGCGACCCTTGTATATTCACGAGGGTTGCATCCATAGATTGCCGACAGTCATTGCGGTAGTCTTCCGCCTGCTCAATGGTCCAAACTATAACTGATGGGGGAAGTGGCTCGGAAGATTGACCCCACAACGATTGCCGACTTTGTTGTAAATCATTGGCATACAATCTCTTACATGTATCAGGGCTTTCCTGAAATTCTTCTATGAGTAACCCGAGCTTTGCCGTGTCTGGCGGGAAGCGCCAAGCTTCAGGCACTTGAACAGACCTGAAACTCCGTGTAATGCTCTCGGCTGCAGGCAGGTTCCTTGTGGCGAACACATGAGAGACGGAAATTGTTGAGCATTTGGATTCATGTCTCTGGCTGCAGGGAACGAAGTCATGTCTGGCTACAGTTTCCGTTATGCCAATTCGGAGGGCAGCACTGATGTCGTTTTGCACTATGTCCGTGAACGAAGAGACCACGTTATTGTTGTAGCACATCTTGAAATATGGCCTCGCATCTGCTAAGACCGCGCGAATATTAAACATTGTGTACTCGGCTGTGCGTTGCGTTTCCAATATGGGATTATCGCATGGCCATGTGGCGAGTAGGAACTGTCTTAATGAGTCGCCTTGCGTCCTTTGGAGATTCTGGTATGTGAGAAGCCGTCTGGTGACGAATACCTCAAACGGTTCCTGGTTATCCTGTCTAAGCGTCCAGACTGGACTGTTCTGCAAGGAATGAGCTGCGTCCGAAATGATAGTCTGCATTCTCCTATCCTGAGGTACCGTCCCGGAGGACAGATCTAGCAGCATCGACGACGCCGCTTGTGCCCATGGTTGAGGGATCTGTAAGACTTGCCCATTCTGATTCAACATGACTGAGGCTAGGAGTGAGGGAACCAAGGGCCGCATATCTTTGGCGCAATATGCCAAAGCCGGGAGACTAAACATGAGTTTCCAACGGCACTTGGTGACGAACGTGCGATTTGTGCGGTTTGAGGATAGATAGTACAAGAAAGGAACCCAGTTCCGTCTCAGATATGATTCGCTTAGCCACTGCCTGCTGTACGAGAAGGAGAATTCCAATCCATTGTCGGTGGGCCCAACACTTCCCCATTCGTGCAGCTTCTCCCTGAGAGTGGGAGTGCGGTGAAGTGCGGATGGACCCGCAAATATCATCCGAGATACATTGACAGCGATATTGTCTTCGTGCCGCTCGACATCCCGGGACTAATATACTACATCGCACATCTCCTGGGACAGAGGGGCAAACCCATACTCCTCAGGGTAAAATGCGGCTAGACGGAATGCAGCTCGACGTGATAAATGGTCTACTTCGGGGTCGTTATGATCAGTGTCACCATCGGGTTTCGTTCTAAACATTTCTGTGGCTTGTATGTGCTCCGTGATGGAGTGTACAAGCGTAGAGAATCCATGGTGCTGAGCTAGAGGGGACAAATTGGACCGCCAATAAATATGTTGCATATTTTGCGTTTGATGACACCATGCACGTCGCGGAGACAGAGCGCGAATTTTTTCCAGCAGTACAAGGTCCTCTTTTTGAATGGATTGGAAGGAAAAACAGGCGGCGGACTGGAGTTCGCGAAGGGCTTCTTCAGTACCCGTCTGCAGGGTGAATGGATCCGGAAGGTAGTAGCCACTCAGTGCATGAAGATACACCTGGTATAGTTTCCCGGTCAAGCTCGTTTGACTAACAAGACATCGCATGTCGTTGTCGATCATATACTCGTGGTACGTGACTTTACGAGACGACCCGCGGTCGATGGTGATACTGACGTGATCTTCATGCCCTTCACAATGTACTTCGCCGTAAGGTATGAGGATTCTCTTACATCGAGGAAGCTCGTAATTATCCTTGGAACGCAGAAGAAGGTAATCGCGGAGGCCGAAAAGGGTCCCAGCCGACTGATCAGAGTCAATGATCATCTCAGGAAGGTTCTGGCATTCCAATTCCCCGTTCGTGTTCATGAAAAAAGATAGCTGAAAACGGGGAAGATCAATTTGGAGCTGGTCGGGAGAGTTGGATGGTATTGTGATTATGATAAAGTCGAGGATCTCCAATGCTTTCAGCTGAGATAAGACCATATTGAATGTTGGGCTATGGATGTCGACCATACGCTGGGATGGATTAGTCATCTTTGGCCTCGACCTCAAGCTTGATAACCGCCAGTTCGATGGAGATGTCTTCCAAAAGCTGGAACGCGGCCTAAATTCGATCTCATGCGTCGAGACATCAAACCAATGGATGTAATCTTCAACGAAAGGTTTCGGAAAATCACCATTAAACTTGATGTGAGGTATGAGCTCCAAAACTTGGTCATCCTTTTTAGTGCGAATGACAAGCCGCGTCTCATCCATCCCCAGAAAAACCTAGAGTAAACGATGTCAACTGTATGTCCTTTGATCATAAGTCGGTGCCGACGAACCTGCCATCCTGAAATCAGGGATCGACATGCAAATTCTGTACCAGGCATATCTGCAGGAACAATGTCGAGAATTTTCTGAGATACACGATAATTAGAACTGTCTTTCCGCTTGAGCCGCGTAGAGGACTTACCGAACCAAATATACGCGTATATAACGGATGGGTAGTGATATTACGCGGAAGACGACCCAACGGCTTTCCATTGATGAGAGAGCCCGTCAACAGATTGAGATGCACTCTTTGCGCCTGTTGACCTTCGTCAGCGACAGTGGTCGTGATCATCCAACGCTGAGATTCTGGCTTTTCACCAGGCTGCGGCACCGAATTCCACCGACCACTGGGTCGATATCCTGGCCAGATTGAGCTGATGGCGTCATTCAAGCCATCGCAGGATTGATCAAATTTAGCGGATAAATGAATCTCGATGAAGGTGGCAAAACGTTCATCCCTCCTGTATAGTCGTATGAAATCAGGTGACATGGCATCCAGTTGAGGCGGTGAGTTGTCGGAAATCAGATTGAGCATTCGACCAAGATAGCTATATCACTGCGAGTTGTAAGAAGAGGCTGAAGATGATTGGTGTCAACGTCATAAGTGCTACGACATGTTGCTGCCGACTCGAAAACAAGGCGCTGGAAATCTTGAATTGCGTTTTCTTCCTCAGCACGTTGTAGCCTATCCACAAGCTGGTGCATCCAAGAGAACGTGATATTCCTCGCTCGACGAAGCAGCCGATACGCCGAGTCAAGGATGTCTCCGGGAGGAAGGGCTCCGGATGCTAAGACTCTCCCTGCTAAAAGAACGACTGTCCGCACAGTCGTGCACTCCAACCAATTCGCCTCCACGCTCCCCAATAAATCGTCTAATTCTCGCAGAAGGACTTGGCAGAAATCAGGAGTCTTCAAGTCTTCATGCCAGTCAAGAGAACCATTCTCAGTCATCACACCGATCTACCATGCACTTTGAATCAAAAGCGTGTGTACTGGTTCGCAGCCAAAGGCCAACACTCTAGACCTCAATTCCCGGATGATATTGAGCCACTGTAACCTCGGCCCCGACCGTAAGGTGGCAAATGCCTCATACTCGTGTAGCGTCAGGCCTTGTGCACAATCAGCTTGATTTGCTATCACTTCGTTTGGAGTATGATTGGTACCCCGAACAGCGTATTCTAGGTTATCGTATACGCTACCAGGGGTGATGCGCAGAGTACACATATCCCAGATATTGCATTGCTGGAATGGGTCTTGAACCCAAATATCTCGTTGAGAGTCATGTAGACGATATCTCAATGCATTCGGCTGGCAGACATCAGCTTCGTTACAAGGCAGAGAACGGGACCCACCACTTCTGGTCAAGGGATGTTCAGTTGAAGCCAGAGCCACCCTTCCTGATGTTCTATCGGTATAGCCTTGGAGGGGCACATACTGGGCTAGCGTTATGGGAGAGCGAACACTTTCGGATCTATGGCAGGAACGCGGGAGACAGACATCGTAAAGTATAGCGTATGTCGTCGACTGCCAGTGTACAAACACCGGCGGAGGCCTCAGTTCGAAAAGTACAACCTTCTCCATAAACGAGCCTGCGGCCGGTAGTGGCCACTCGTGTACTTCGGTTCTCATTGACTCTGCCGCTTTATTGGCCTGGCACCTGGGACACTGCCGGTCATCGTGCGTCATGTACCCTCGTCTGTTGCGCCTACCAGTCTGCATCATCACTTCGTTGTGCTGTAATGTTCTTGCTTGGGTTAGGAGCTGCTCCTGCAACTCTTTATTTGCCCTCCACAACCCTCGCACCCTTTCCCTTCCCTGTGAGCGTCCCGTTCTATGCGGGCCTTCAGCCCCGGATATTGACTACCGTCAGGGGAGTCATAATACTTCACGGCGAAGCTATCAGGACCAATATCACTGTCGAAGACGCTTTGTTTGTTGGGGACAGAAGCATGGCGTCCCCGCAAATACTGTTGAATGTGAAGGAGGCGCTCAATAGACCGTGTAAAAGAAGCGGTTGAAAGAGGTCGACGGGAATTTCGGGAGAATAATCACGGAGCAATGGACATTGTGCAACTGCGACTTGATCCATCGCGACCCATAGAGTCATCAGGGTCAAAATCATGATCGACGTGTCCTCAGGATTCGAAGCGTAGGTAACCATGGCTGCCTTTGTGTATTCCTCTATGCAAATAGAGAGCTTTGAGGATGCCGACTCATCGTTGATAGCACCTCTTAGCCATGATTGCAGATACAGCTCCACGTAGAACTCGAAGTCGGCTAGTGCAACCCGACCGTCCACTCGAAATGCTCCAGAAAGACGGTCACGAGAGAAATTAAAGCCTGAGACTTGATCGTTTAGAAGGCGAGTGACGTGCGGCGGGGTAAACAAGAAAGTGGTAGGCGCCTGGTTGCCGTGTTGAAGTATCCGTCTGATATAGGGTAACAGCCGTGGAAGTGACATCGTCGTATCGGCGGCAACATTAAGCCTCCTGGGATCCCAATTCTCTGTCCGCCCTTGGATACTTTAGATATTCCGAAACTTCCCTTCGAGCAACTGGCGCACACGTTTCACGACTTCCCTAACATGCGTGACTACAAAGTTGGGTGCAGAATCCCCAAGTTTGACGCTCCTATGCGAGATCTTGCACGCCATGCAAACGAGACGAACGATGCTCAAATTTGCCGTTATACATTTTTCTGTGATCCGAGCCATCAAGACGCCATGAAGGACTTGTGTTGCGTGTGGTCACCTAGATCTCGCGTTGAGAGAGAGTAACTGGAAGCTGGGGGAACTAACCTGTATATAGACTCGACTGCAAAGCAACGCGCAACACAAGCCATACCGGGGTACGCCGCCAGGGTGGGTGATTTCTACTATCCGAGAGTACATCATCAGAAATCCTCTTCGTGAAACGACGTATTTCCGCTAGACGCGCTCGACCAAGGCCGTTTATGATTCCCGTGAGGAGCTGAGCGATGTAACGGGGATGAGCGACCTGGTTGATGCCGAAGTTGGCTTCGAGGGAATCTTGATCCATGTGCATGAGAAAGGATGCAAGTTCACGACGGAAATCCACATCATGGAAATGTACTGCTGGGAAAGTGATGGCCGGACCTGGAAAAGAACAGACGAGCTTCCCAACAGCTGCCATTACGTGCTCGCTGGGAGCAGCAGCTTCAAAACATTCAAAAATGATTTGGTCGCCTTTCATCCTGAAGATAACACCTGCATTCTGAGCGCGAATGTGAAAGACCAGGACATCTGCTTTCATCGGTAATCGGCACCATCAACGAGAAATGAATCCGTACCTCCTCTTCTCATCTGCGAGAACTGTCGTTCTACTATAGTAGACGTCAAAGACTGCGAAGCCTCGAAATTGTGTAACATCTTTATCATAGGCCCCCAAACATCTGGGTTGGCGTGCATATTTCGGTATTCTTGGGCAGATTCCAATACGACGCAACAGAGCGCGCCGTCGTTTGATTGGGACTGATCATTGCCATGGGGTAGTTGTATAGGTAGAAAGACGTGATTGACGATGTATACGAGCTCCGCCATGGGAGCGATGCAAGACGACTCACTCAGAGAGTGGTCAAGAACAAAGCGAATGGAAAAAGAAACAAAGGACAAACAATTAGAGGGCAACGCGTCAGTTCCCCGCCACGCCACACCGGCAATTTACTTGCCGAACAGCACATCCTCGTAATTTCATTACAGTAGGTACGGCTGGCTGCATGAGACTCAATATAGGCTTGTCCTCCTGCTACTTACTGATGAACAACTCCAGTAACAAAAAGAAAGGGAATCCATATGTGGATCCCGCATTGGTGAATTCTTGGCGCCTGCCAACTAAGCCATCCGATGTGAAGGTTTCTGAAACTTACGAGCCACTGGGAATATACATGATTTACATCTGCCGTTTCTTCTCCATATCTCTATGAATATCTAGTGATGACCCGGTCTCCATGCCTACAATATAGATAGATCAACCTCAATTTAGGACTCTCTTTAATAATGTTCTTACCACCAAATACGTCTGCTGGTGCTATAGTCTCGTCTCGGCCCATGAGAATGTCCAAGTGTAGGTTCGACTGGGGAAGAGCAGGCATATGGGGTGACTAACAACAGGTCAGGAAAGATGTCGTTCACAGGGTTATAGCTTCGTACATCAGCTACGATCTTGCGCTCCATGAGAAGTCGCATGGGTGCATGCAAGCCGTATACGTTTCGTTGCACGGTGAGCTTCAAGTTGTCTTGCGTCTCTTCCCACTGAAGGAGATGAGAATCATCATTAAGCACATAGAATAGAACTCACCGTTTCAAGTCTCCCTTTCAGCCCTCCTTCCGTCTTGACTTCGGCTGCGATAGTACGGGGACCGTACTGCAGAGTGTCATGGAGGCCAAGGGTGCCTGCTGTGGCTTGAACAGAGGCAGATTTGTTGGCGCCTGAAGGTACAATGCGATATGAAGGCTCCTTATCATTAATTCAGCAAGCAAGTGCTTTCGTAGCAAGATCAAAGCCTACCATGACTGTGGTAATGAGAGAAGAGAGAGATGAACGCGTCAGACGCGTGACACAGTCCAGACTCTGTGACATATGTGACAGGACTTTGCCGGGCACTCCATCATACCAGTTGACCAGTGTCTACTAGGTGTTCGCTCCTTTTTCCTTCCTTCCCATATTCTAGCTCCCTTTCCTGCTGCCCCGTTGATTTCTTCTACCTTAACTTTCTGGTTCATATTGGTTTATTGTGGTGTATCTCAACACTCGACAATCGACTCCATCCCCCAACGCCAGAACCTGGATAGAATTGGTCTGGTATTGCCGCGATGGCCACCCGACCTTCAAGATCCTCTAGCATCCCCATACCTAGGAGCGCTGCCTCCACCTCCCCGTCCCGGAATATCGAGTCTATTCTTTCCATTCCTTTTGCCGTATCAAGCAGATCGCACCCATATCCGTCCCAGGCTCATGCAACTCGAGCCAGCGTAGATGTCCACAGAAGCAGTGGAGCACCTGGAGTAAGGGGCGCCAGCAGTGCTGCGAGCACTTCTCCTGTCAGGTCTACTGCGCGTTCCTACCCACATTCTCTCGGTTTACCGTCGAGAAGTGCACCCCGATCGAATGGCTTTGAACCACGAGTTATACGTGCTGACTCCTCGCGGAATATTGACCCTGCATGCTTGCCATCTTCTCCATCGTCTACACGCACTCGCAGACCCAGTGGAACAGGCAGAGCGCCAAGCGCCCAGCGACATTTAGGTGCAAGTGTCGCACAGGCAGTCCCTACTGTTCCTGCGTCATTTCCTCGACCAGCATATCTTGAATATGCTGCCCTTAGTCACCTTCTTCAAACCGAGTCTCCAACGCTTCTCCCCCCTTCCCGCAAAGAATCGAGTAACGACCGGCCTTATTCCGGAGCAGTTTCGCCATCTACGGACAGTGACGATGATAGTACCGCAAGTCCTCCTCCGCGTGAGAATCCAACTGCTTCCCTTCCTGCTGTAGATCAAGTACTCCGCTTGCCTACTCGCTGGAGTGAGGAAGTACGGCATCAGTCGTTAAATGTGTCCGCGGATGGTCGCGAGTTATCGTACCAAGGTTCATTTGATTAATTGTGCTTCTCAAATTTTATTCAATGTACACTACCAGGGTCAAGCTGTAATGGGGATAGAGACACTGCTCATGCTGCCGCAGCTCGTACCGACCACCCTATCCCACGGGCCTGCGGAATCTACTACTATGAAGTTTACGTCGGTAGCAAAGAACAAAAGGCGTGAGTTAACAATCAATTTCTATTCATTCCACGAAACTGACATCACATGGAATGGCAGGCACATAAGCATTGGGTACGAATTCTCATCACGTACGCGACGACTGCTCATGCTTCATTGATATTCCCCTAGATTTACTGGGCGTGATGTCAAGCTGTCTAGACTCCCGGGCTGGGAAACCAATTCGTGGGGTTACCACGGGGATGATGGCTGCTCTTTCGCAACAGAAAGGAACGGTACGGCTTACGGCCCTACCTATGGCTGTTCGTACTTTCTTTGTTTCTCAGAAGATACAACCATATTGAATGGCCTACAGTAGGTGACGTCATAGGTTGCGGAATTGATTTCACCACAGATCGAGCCTTCTTCACTAAAAATGGGACACTGATCGGTACGGAGGCAAATATTTCGTAGCAACAAAGCTTATGCTTTTACTTTCTGCTCCCAGGACCAGTCTTCGAAAATGTCGGGAAAAACCTAGACCTTTTCCCTTCTGTTGGTTTACAACACTCGAACGAGATGATACGAGCCAATTTCGGACATGAGCCGTTCAAATTCGATATCGAGTATCACGTGCAACAGCAACGAAATCAGTCGTGGGCTAATATACTCACCACGCCTCTGGATCTCTGTCTCTTCGATGAAAACCGTAGAACTCCCCCCTCCGAGGCTATGAATGGAGCGCTTGCGTCGCGCGAAGAGTCGGCGCCGCTCCTGGAAGATGAGTCAAAGACTTCCATCAACAAACTGGTTATAGGCTATCTAGTTCACCATGGATACACGCGAACTGCAAATGCTCTTCAAAGGCAACAGGATAAACTCAGCGAGCATGCTGGGATCGCTCCCGACGATGACGTCAATATGGACACTGATGTCCCACCGCGGCCAAGTTACGAAGGCGGTGTCGAGTCTCGTACTCGTATAGTAAACTCGGTAATGTCTGATGATATCGCTGCCGCTCTTTCAGAGACGCAGAAATGCCATCCATCGGTATTGGAAGCGGAGGAGGGCCTAATGTTGTTCAAGCTGCGCTGTCGCCAATTTATCAAGCTATTCTTAGAGGCTGAAGAGATGAAAAAGGCAATGAACCCAAAATCGCACGCCCTTCCGGATGTTAATGACAGTGACTCAGAGATGATGGATGGAATGGATCTTGGCGACGACATGAGTATGGATATCGACGATGGTTTTAGTAATGGGGTCTCGATTACGGCGGCAGATAAGTCTGTGGCTCGGCGTGAAAAGTTACTCAAGGAGGCGATCGCATACGGCCAATCCTTACTGACAGACTACAAATCGGATGAACGACCAGAAGTCCAAGGGATAATCAAGAAGACTTTTGGGATCGTTGCATGGCATGACCCTTTGGCGGCCGGTGGCACGGCGGCGGAAGTTGTTGGGACTGAAGCTAAGATTGCACTCGCGAATGAGCTCAACCAAGCTATCCTGAGTAAGTTCTTCCCGCCTTTGGTCGACCTAATGCTGAGAGTACTATAGAGTCGCAAGGACGGCCTCCCCATCCAACACTGGAGACATTGTATCGCCGCACAGCTGTCTGTATTCAGCAGCTGGCACTCATGGGCGTGAGCGCAGCTCCGTTTATTGACATGAAGCGCGAGTTCATCGACATCTGAGGACGGGCTGCTAGTGTCCTCTATGTTATGAGCTGCCTTCTATCCCATCTCACGCTTTGCTCTATGATCTTATTTAGTGGCATCTCTGTAAAATTACGTGTGTTAACTAGTGTACAGTGTATGGATTTCGGTCAAGGAATGTCCTCTCCCTTCTCATGTTTTATTGAAAGTCATCAAACACCATATTGTGACGAGTTTATCCTTGGCACCTCCAATGAGCCACCTAGATCGCTCTTCTGTTTCCTGTTTACTCATGCCGTCCTCGTCTTCATCTACATCGGCCTGATGCGAGGATAGCGTTCGTGCAAAGGCAACAGCCTGGCATCCATTTTTGTGATATTTCAGAGTTCCTAGCGGTTTAAATGCTTTCGTGGAATAGAGGCGAATTCTGTCGAAACCGTAAGAACGAAAAGGTGGCGGAGAGGAGGATGCCATACCGTCCGTCCCATCCACCTACAGCACAAACTCTGCCATCGTCACGAATCGCGACTGCCCCGTTTCCCGGGTGATTTGTTCGATGCGTCTCAGCTACAAATGACTTTTTATGCCGTTAAGGTAGGCAGGCTTTCATTCACTGAGCGACATACTGACAAGTCGTATCGACCAATCAGATGATCTGCGGACACCGTTAACGCCATAGAATTATCTTGTGTTACGCCCATCGCCATTACTGTTGAGTATTAGAGAAGTTCACAGAGGAAATGAAAGCACACATACTAGCCTCAGCATGTAGCTTCACCTTCCACAACACTTTCCATCCCATCCCTTCAACGGACGTTGTCCTATCAGACTTGACAAATTCTCGCAATGTCACATTTCCGCTCTCATACGCTATGAGTATTCGGAGAGCGCCATCGTGCTCAAATAGATGAAGAGACATTATGATACCTTTATATAAATGAGTAGGGCAGGAGTAAATGCTAGAAACTCTACTTACCGGTCGCCTGATTCCCGCGCCCGTCCGTAGAAAGGATAGGACCATTGCTTTCTTGCTTCCCTATCGCAGCGTGGACTCGATTACAAGATGGCAGAGACCAAACATCGGCCTGGGAAGCTGTAAGAATACGTTCCAGGGGAATAGAGCTACTGTTGCAGTACCTCTGAAGATTCGACTAAATTTGGGAGTGCAATAAGGGCCTCGTTAGATTGATCCTTGGACGATGAGCCTGTCGTGCTGTCGTTCGGCGGCAAAGGCATTAAGGAAAACCTGCAATAGTTCAAGGCATTCACATCCATCGAGTATCGGAGAAGGGGAACAAGCGATTCAGACAGAGCAGCGGATCCTCCGATGCCTGGCAGCTCCTCGACACGACGCCATACGTGAAGCTTATTGTCTCGACCTTGTCTGCATCCCTTGGTGTAAATTATGCCTCCAGTGAGACCGAAAGTGACGTACGTGATAATGTTGGCTCCCCACTCCTGTATGCCGAGTAATCCGTCGCTGTGGGCCTTCCAAGAGGATATAGGACGCAATGTACGCGTTGACGTCGATACAACGAATCCGGAACCGTCTCCAGAGTAGATTCGCTCGTTGTCCAGGGAGATGAAGAGGGTCGTCACGCCAGTAGAATGGGACCGAAGGATATGGCGGGGTGGTGGTGGTGGCTCGGACATTTTTGTCGATTATCCTGATTTCATTTATGTAAATCACTTTGCTTGGTCAATAACTTTCACCGTCAGTCTCGATATTCCAGTTCTACCCTTGACGAATAATGCTATACTGATAACAGCGCTGGACTAGTATGTGCAATTGATTTTTACACTAATTTTCTCACTAAGAGTGAATTCAGGTACTCGAAGGTACGCGTGCAAGGCCAGCTGTTGACATGAACGTCCTTGGCGCGTGGAGATTGAAGATTGTCCCTTGAAGCTTGACCGGTGACCGGTGACCCCTTGACGGTTATCACCAGAATAAAGATACAAAGCTCGATTTCCAAGTCGGCGGTTATCATCATTCATGATTCCCAGCCATATCAACTGTGATTCCTGTTCTCAGGCCATCTTACCATCCAAGCCACGGGTCCACTGCCTCACTTGTACCGACTACGATTTATGTGCTGATTGCGCTCTCAGCGAACGGTTCACTGGTCAACACGATTCATCACATCGTACTCAGATATACCAGCTCAGTGGAGGAGGCGACTTACCGCCTTCGTTGTCAGATACTGTATCCTTGACCTATACTAGTCCTGTTCATCAGTCTCCAACTCCCAGCAGTCCTCCACCTCTCCCGCCGCGTCGCCAATCATCAGGCCCGCCGCCCCCCTTGCCACCGAGGTCCAACTCTGGCAGCAGTGCATCAGGGCGTCCGACTCCTAGCACGGTCCCGCCGTCTCCACATATTCCTCCTACCAACCCACCGAACGGCTCCGCTGATCGTAGCGAGATGCTAACCTGGAGCCCGTTGTTCGATGATTACATGGATGTCACCACCGTCGGTGATCTATTCTTCAACGCGATCTTCACATATCTAGACCCATCGTATACTGGGTATCTCACGCCAGAAGTATACTCGCGTTTCTTGGATGACCAAGGGTACCTACTTCATGAGAACGTCTGCAAGTATTTTTCTTTTTCTTCAATACACCAAATTAACGCTCATGCACCATAGGGAAATCAAACCTCGTCCCAGATGCCATGTACGGCGGTTCCAAGGAGAACATGGCGGATAAGGCACTGAGAAACGCCTATGATCTCTTTTCTATCGAGCATATCCTCAAGCATAGACACAATCCGTCGGGATCTACAACACCTTCTATAACAACCCAACTACAGGGTCTATTTGGAAACGCGTTCAACCCAGCGATGATGCATTCCGTTCCCCTCCAGTCCTCTAATTCTCAGATGCCCCTCCTTACACGGAAGGGATTCATCGACATAACAACCGTCGAGGTCCTCTCTGATCCATCGAGAGCTTGGGGGAATCTCTCGCGCCTGTTGAGAGCGTATCAGCTGGAGCCGTTCCGGGGATGGGGGGACATGCCGCGGAACGTATTGCCAGAAGCTGCTGACGAAAGAATGCTCCAGCGTGTACGAGGTGTTTCGAGCTTTGCAAAGATGAGGGGAGAGCAGCAGTTGGCATCTACGATGGCTGAAATGGAGTTGCGACGTCAAGGAAGGGAGAACGCCCTTGATCTCATTAGCGATACGCGGTACAAGTATGTATACAGGTAGGTATGTATTATGTGGGGTGTAATTTGTGTCTGTAGTATAGTGTATACAGTATTGCTCGACTTCCAAACCATTCTCGCCAGTAGCCTCGCTTTAATGTCCCACTAGATATACAGCATTGTGAATCCAAATTGTTTACTATTGCCATACATTAGTAGCGAGCGTATAAAGCTGTAGTCTGCTATTCACCGTTGTGAGAATTGAAGTTGATCATTAGATGAGGAAGGAGACCGGTTGTTCATCTGGTGTTGACTGCGAAGGAATATTCTCAGGATGGGCTGATAAGACTCAGGACAACGAGACATTGGGGTGCCCGTACAAACACGACCCTACACGACCGTAAAAATCGAATTCCAAACCGTCGACGGTGACCGTGGGAATATTAGGTAACGACCCACTGTCGCGCCGGTCTGTCCTGCTTTGGAACGTCTCTCCCTTCAGGCCTCTATCGGTACTCGTTTTGCCTCCTTGCCCTCATCTGCACCGTTTCTCTACGTGTAAAAGGCCTATTTTATGTCTTCTCGTCTCAATGGTTACTCGGACGCCAGTTCAAAACGTAATGCTCGAGGAACCGTGGATAATCGAACCGAGAATACAGCAGCAGGACCTAGCAGACTAGAAATTGTTCACAAAGCATTGTTGGCACCGTTCAGCCATAGAAAGACGGATTCGTCTAAAATACTATCAGACTGTATGTGTCTCATTGTTCCCTGTCCTATACAGTCCGACCGGATGATCTCGTGCCCGACCGTGCCGTGAGTAGAAAACTGATTTTTGACTTTTCTCTAGTAGCGCCTGTGATCATGAATCCACGACTATTAAATGCATCTACGGTAAATTCAAGGCAGCGTTCCACTGTAGGGAATTCAACCATTGGACGGTCTCGTATGGATTTTGCTACGCTAGGGCGCGCTCCACTTCGACTAGGAATGGGCTCTCGACGCATAACTTCACGCGATCTTGAGATTGTAGAGGCCACTGAGGAACTCCTCCTATCTGAAGTACCCGAGCCGGAAGGTGTAGCCTCGAACGTCAGTCTCCTTCGTGGTTTCAATGCGACCATACCTAGCGCAGAGCAAAGTCGGACACGACGAAAGCAAATGCGGAGTGTTGATGCACCGCATCTTGGGCTCAAGAAGTTAGGCATGCATGCCCGAGGAATGCTCGCCGATGACGACGACAGCCATAGCCTTACCAGCGAAGATGACGTCGTAATGGTTCCACGCGCTGACGCCATCCGAAAGACGAAGAGGAGAAAGGGCAGAGAAAGTCTAAGTGCGTCGAAAATACTGGGCAAGGAGGAATTGTCGCGGCAGAAGAAGGAGATCCTGCGGGATAAAGAGAACATCAATATTCGAAGAGTATGTCTAAGCTTTTATCTCGTTCCTGTCCTTTTGCACTCAACCTTTTCTCCCAGAGTTTGATTAATGGAGAAATAGCAGAGATCACAAACAAAATACAGGCATTGGATAACATTCGAAATAAACTTGAGCAGGATCTCCTAAAATTGCACGAGGATGAGTTGGAGCTGGACGATGAACGTAAGTCTTGTCGCAGACCACTTCCCAGTTCTAAATAATGGCATCGCAGTCGTGGGTGTTCGGGAACGACTTGAATTTGAGCAAGAGTCAAGTCGAACTCCGAAACAGAATTCTCAACCCATACATCTTCCCCAGAGTTCACGGCGACGAAAAGGACCTGCCTTCCTACCTTCGGAACACGACGAGCTCCCACCAGGCGTGGCATTCATGGCAAGTGACTTCATTGCTTCCGTGTTCTCTTCTGAATTTTTTTGTAGACTCTGGAATCACATAGGACGCCAATAACGGCTCTAGACTTTTCTGAGCCATACGGCACCCTTGTTAGCGCGTCCCAAGATGACGCCCAACCATTAGTCTGGGACCTTTTCTCCGGGACAGAGATTGGTCGTTTACGAGGTCACACTGGAGCAGTGAAGTGCCTACAGGTGGAAGATCATGTCTGTTTATCCGGAAGTGAAGACAGTACAGTACGACTTTGGGACTTGCGAAGAGTAGAGAGTGATGATACGGATGGGTGGGGAGACGAGGGTGAGATCGTCAGTCTTAGCGACATTACCGAGGAAAGCGAGAATGGCGACGAGCCTCTGCCAAGACCGAATGGAATTCGGAACGGTAGAGAACCCTCGGAGCGGTGGAATGATCCATGCGCCAGAGTACTGGAAGGCCACACCAAGGCCGTAACTACTCTGTACTTTGAGGATAACTGCTTGGTATGGCTAATCAACACTATTGAAACAACGTTGATTAATTTATCTTGCGTAGGTAACAGGTGCTTCGGATAAGACACTTCGACAATGGGATCTAACGACGGGACAATGTGTTATGACTATGGATATCTTATGGGCGATGTCCCACTCAGCGACATCAGTCCCTGGGTCATTACCAAATGGCCTGTTCTCTGGCGCCGCTGCATCGATCGGCTCTTTTGCGGTCCCAACACCCCCATTCTCAGATGGAAGCTGGGAGATGTACGAAGATTTCGTTGGTGGTGTACAGTTTTGGGGTTACGGTCTGGTTAGCGGCAGTGGGGATGGCGCGGTCCGAATGTGGGACAGTACGTCGTCTATCTCCACGTCTCTTCTCATTAATGACTTGGCGAACTCTCAAAGTGCGAACTGGACAAGCCCATCGAACACTCTTAGGTCATACCGGACCAGTAACGTCTATCCAATTTGACGAGATACATATTGCGAGTGGAAGTCTGGATAAGTCTATTCGGGTAAATCCGTCTTCTTTCGTCCGCTCTGTGGTTGATTAATGTCGTAGATATGGGATCTTCGAACTGGAGGCGTATTTGAGACACTGAAATATGACCACGCTGTCACCGCCTTACAGTTTGACACTCGAAAATTGGTTGCTGCAGCTGGTGAAAATGGCATAAAGGTACGATCATTCGTAAAGGACGTTCTTAAAGACCGACGTGTTTTGTGTATTTGTAGGTCTACAACAGAACGAGCATGCAACAGTCAACGCTAAGTACCAACGGACACACCCACCCAGTACAACGGCTAAGGTACATGGACCGATACCTTGTCTCCGGGGGTCGCGATTCCACGGTCAAGATTTGGTCACTATAGCACGACAATAATTATGCGCATAAAAGTTATTTGGTTTATACTGGTCTGGTTGGCATATACACATGGACATCCACAAACCAATATCCCCTGCACATCAAATGTATTTATACGCAATACAGTACATAGACTAACCTCTTTCAGTGCATGTACTGTTGAGAGCAAGTACTCTCACGCGTCTCACGTTACGGATCCGGAAGAAGGCCACACAGCTTCGCTTTGCCAAGCTCATTGGTTCGTCGCAACGATCAACACCCCGATTGATGTGGCACATCTGATATGGGACCCTGTAATATGAGTGCTGGGATCTACAGCCCCCGTGCCTTATGGTTCCGGGGAGTCTACGCCGCTCCTCGAACAAGGAGATGATGGCCTGAAAAAGCGTGTTTGCAGCTTGCTTGTCTTCCTACACCGGTGCCAGCACTAGGGCATCGATGGGTCTCTCTGTTCTCTCCTTGGTCCTCGTCTTCCAATTCTTCCACGCTTATGCTGCCGTGAATGTTTCCTGGTCTACCACTGCCTCGGATTCGTCAAGAAATGTGGTACAGGCAAATTTCCTGGGAGTGAGTTTCGAGCTCAGCTTCATGGATCAATATTGTGAGCCCGCTCTTATCCTACTGCTCTCGGTACTGACCAGTCTTAGTTGGCAATGACACGTCTACAATTCCACAAACAATGTTGAACTATCTTTCTGAAATACGCACCCGTACAGGGTCCAATCCCGTCCGGCTCCGGATAGGTGGTAATTCAGCGGATAGCTCAACATATTTACAAAACCAGACTTCGCCAATGCTCAAGCTCACTGATCCGAATGCGAACTACAACAACCAGCCTGTGGATTATGGTCCTATGCTATGGCAGGTATTACAAAATGTGTCGGGCTCAGTCGGAGGAACAGAGTACCTCATCGGTATATCTCTCAGCGACCCTAATAACACCGGATCCAAAATCGCCGGAGACGCGAAGGAGATCTTGGGTGATAATTTGGATTCGATCCTCGTAGGGAACGTCAGTCGTCTGAACCCTACTTCCCTCGTCATTTCTCTCGTATCTCAATTTGACTTCACAGGAACCAGATTTGTATACTTCACATGGTGATAGACCCTGGTTACAAAATTACACGGTCCAGGACTACATCGGGGTGCGTTTGATTTTGACATGCGTCTTGGCGTCGTGTGAGCGATTTATTGTAGGAGTTCTCGGGAGTCTCGAATCACCTGAATAATACCTCTGCGGGCGACATTCTGAACACTCAAATATGTGCTGGTCCGACGATATGCTGTCAGTGGGTACGTCGGTCCCGTTTTTAGATTGATCTATCTCACGAATATCTTAGGATTTGGCGACTCTGCTACAGCAGGGCTACTTGGCAACGTTTAGTAACATACTTAAATACATCACGTCAGTCAACTCTACCACAGAAGAAGGCTTTCTGATTTACTCATGCCTTTCATTTAGTCTACAACACTATCCTCAGAATAACTGCTTTGGCTCTTATCAGTATGGGCTACCGTATTATCTGCAACATTCCAACAGTACGTGTCCGACCCCCACTTTATCTGAACTTGGAATAAATCTTTGTCTCCCAGCGGTGGGTCTGGCCAGCTGGCAGCAGTATGGTATTGATATTGTGGCTTCAAATACGACTGCTAGTCATCCTCGGCTGGTCATGTCCGAGTTTAACTCGGCCTCGTGTGGTGGGATCGCCAACATCTCAGATACCTTTGCCGTTGGATCGCTATGGACGGTCGACTATGCTTTGCAAATGGCTGCAGTCGGGTATTCCGCTGCATACATCCATACAAGAGAAAAAGGCATATTTTACAACCTGATAGACCCTCCCAACACCACGGTACCCGGTGATACATGGACGACGAATCCACCCTTCTACGCCGTACTCGCCGTACCAGAAATATTGCAAGCCAGCAACGGCAGTATCGTCGTTGACCTCAACTTGGAAGGATCAATGACTGGCAATACTACCGTCGCCGGGTATGCCGTTTACGATGCCGGGAGCCTTTCGGCATCAAAATTGGTCCTTTTCAACTATGATAGCTCGTCCGTGGAATTCTCCCTGGGAAATTCGGTGTCTGGCCAGCCATCTATCAAGTATTTGGCATCGTCGAATATTGTGGAAAAGCGGAACATCGCTTGGGGTGAGCAGTCGTTTGTGGGTACCAGCGATGGGAAGCCTGTCAATGTAACGCGTGATACCAGCGGGTTCAGTTGGCTTCCCCTCAGTGGTAATTTGGACTGCTCGGGAAATTGCACGATAGAAGTACCTGGTCCTAGCCTAGCAGTGGTATACTTATCCCAGTCTCAGGCTGAGTCGAATTCAGCTCTACGTACGGCGCTTCCTGGGTCTCTTGTTGTTGGTTTTGCCCTTATTTTTGGATTCTTTACTTAACCTATAGCTTGTCTCATTATATTGTAGATGGACTTATTTAATTTATTTAATATGAACTTCATCTGAATCTTAGGGACGCGATATTTATGTACAGCTACGAGTTCCGCGAGTATGTAATAAAGCCAGGCTTCAGGTTGAGACGCGATACTAATAGAACGCGGCCCTGCATTTCACGTGATGTTTGAGGACGCGAAGGACAATTTGAAATTTAGATTTGCTCCCGTTCCCTGTCCATTGTCCTTCCAACCTATAAAAACACCTCGCTTCATGCCTACTTAGCCCCATGTCAGGCAGCGAATCCCCCACTAAGACGCGCACTCTGCGAAAGGCACCCTCTCTTGTGCTGAATGCTCCTACCACAGCTTCGGCGACGCCATTGAACGCGCAGCTGAAGTATACGCCTAGAAAACCTGGCAAGCTTAGATGGACAAGTAGTACTAATATCGTGCCCGATAGCGAGGAAGAAAACAGGTAGGACTTTGTACGACTTTATACAGATGTTGACACGCTAGACCGACGTAGCTACACTCCTGGCGAGAGCGTTGATCGGAAGGATAGGAAGGATGTCATTGTAATTTCTTCTGACGAAGAAGACGCGTACGATTCAACGTAAAAGTTATTCAATTTGTCTCTCACATCTACCTGTAGAAACGAACCCGTGAAATATAATCCTACGACGTGCGGACCTCTATATTTTTCAGTATTGTTACTGATTTGCTTATCTCAGTGGCGACGATCTGTCAAGCAGTCCCAAAAAGCCTAAGCGTGTGGTCCGAAGAATTGTGCAAAGCTCCGATGAATCTGAAGGCGATTCGCGACCCGCAACCAAGTCGGAGGTCATTGAAATATCAGATAATTCATCTGACGAAGAGGAAGCGCTACCGCGTATTCCGCAGCCAACGAGCCGCTCGAATAGTCGCATACCTCAAGTTGCGATATCTGCTGATGGTTCAGTCATGACTTGGTACGTCTTATAAGTCATGTGCTTGCCGTGTCCCTTATTAAATTAATACCAGGGACGCGCCTGTATCCCCACGAAAACCTCTACGCGTACCGGCAAATGAAAATACCACTGCTGGCTCGTCAACTCGTCTGAACAAAGAGCTTCCTAATTCTGTATTGAAGCCTAGTGCTCCTACGACAGCTTCTCCTGCCCCAAAAACTCCTAGGTCACGACCAAACACGAAAAAGGCACAAGCAGAGGCCGAGTTAAAGCGTCTGGCGGAATTCACTCAGATTCTGTTCAATGATCTCAATAGAGACGTTTTCAACAGTGGCCTTCCGGCTGACATTGAGCTCTGCTGGAGCAAAAGACTCAATACAACGGCTGGTCGCGCAACGTATGCCCGGTGAGATATTATTCTGGAGCGTAAGCGTAGTTGCTTATTTCATATATATAATAGGAAAGACGGCATAATTTCTGGGAAAATCGAACTGGCCACCAAGATCCTAGATTCTGAAGGCGAGTAGCACACGCCCCGTTTCTATATATGTCTGAATAGTGCGGTAGAGCGGGTAATGAAGACCCTCTCTCACGAGATGTGCCATCTTGCATGTTGGATAATCAACAAGAAACTCAACGAGCACCATGGACCCTTGTTCAAAGCTTGGTAGGGACTCGTATAATCACCAGCAGCATTGCGCGTTCATTTTTTCTTTCAACCAGGGCGGCCAGAGTGACCGCAAAACGGCCTGACATTGAAGTTTCGGTATGTTCTACTGTTTGAAGGTTTCATTTTCGTCTTGTTGACCATAGCATGAAGACTACTCATGACTACGAGATTTCTTACAAGTTTGAATGGAGTATGTGTCTGTTGATCTATGAGGACAAAATACGTCTAATTTTTGATAGGGTGCGAGATATGTGACTTAGTGTAAGCTCGTTCATTCTTATTTCAATCATCTTGACTGACTTCCCTGCAGTTATGGAAGACATAGCAAGTCGATCAAACCGGACGATGGTAAGTATCGTCGCTAGTTTCTCGATGTTACTGATGCTGGGCTTGCCGTTAGTGTGTGGCAGGTGCCATGAAGGAAAGCTTATACCTCTTTTCACTCAACGTCAGCGGAAGGCTCCTCAGACCCCGAAGGTCAGCCGTATGGCAGCGAGCAAGCCAAGGAGTATGTTCATATGCATGACTTGGAGCTTCTACTAATTGATGTGAATTGGAAGACTCACCGTTACGGATATCACCTCGGTTGTCTGACGCTTTGAAGGACGACACGATTGACTTGACGATATGCTCAGTGGATTCCGACGAGGAGGTAGCTCATGCTGCCGCAGAATCGGACTCAGAGGTGGAGGTGCTCGCTGCACTCTTGGGATCTACTACAATAGCTGGAACTAGTTCCTGATGCTCAAGTGATGACATGACAATTTTTTGGATAAAGTTGGTTGTATGATTTACGGACAATTTAGTACAGAGGTCATCTAAAATTTATCACCAGTTGATTTTTGATCTGCGCGTAGTCTCCCCTAGGCAGACTCTTAATCTCTTAACAGGCAAGCAGTCGAGATTTGAACTGCGCGTGGAGATGATTGGGGTATTCAACTTTTTGACGGGCTTAGAGAGTGCGTGTTCCTAGTTTTCTGGGTCCCGAGTGCGCTTTACACCTAGTTTCGATTCCTTTATATGCAAGAATGGCCGGGGAGATTGGTATAATTTCGAGTGTACATACGTAGTGTGTACTTAGGGTTTGGCGGCGGCCTCACCCTGAATTGTGATACAGACGTGCCGTACACGCACAGATGAACGATGGCCATAAAGTATTACTGAGTGTAAATATTTGGATCTATGAGGATATGAATAAGCTATAGTGAACAAGGCGTGACTTAACGCGACTTACAGAGTTTAGTAATGTCAAGTTTTTCGAGTCTTGGGATTTGACTGTTCTTCCGGAAGATCAGGCGCTTTCCGCTTCGTACCCAATATGCTGGTCTGGCCTGCCTCTTCTTCCTCTTCAACCTCGCGCTTGTCCTCACTGGACGCGTCATCATCTTTGGAACCGCCGCCATTTGCCATCTTTTCTATCTCTTCCAGAGTACATTCTATCCCGAGGCGCTGAGACTCAGCTTCTGAAAGGAAGTCGCCATTGTCATTGGTACCAGAAACTTTCTTTGCAATGATATCGTACTCCCCGAACGCGCCGTGACAGCCATATCCATCATTCCAGTAGAAGACGAGGAAAGGATGTCCATTATCATCATCTTCTGCTGCGATAGACAGACCGTGTCCGTCTTCATCCACACGATTTACCCACTCCTTGACCCACTGTACACTCTCTATGTAGAAGCAATTCGAGCACCCAGCGACTTTGCGAGGCACGATGCCTTTGAAAGAGCCTTTAATCTCCCCGTTATTGAGGGTAGCCTCAATATGCTCAGGGAGAATTTTTTCTGCACCACTGTTCTGCGCAACGATGGTGATAGCACCCCAGTCTTTCTCGACTATTATCTTCTCAAATTCTGGATGACCGCTGTAGACCCAGATATATTTTCCGGGTAGAACAGACAGATCGTATGGACCTTCTCTGAGTCTCTGTTCGAAGATTGAATATAAAATAGCAACAATATAGACCGTCTCATACAATACCGGGAACTACTTTCTTGTCATCATTACACCAATACTTGGGACCTTGACGGTATCCGCCACCATCCTCTTCGTCGACGTACATGTAATCATCCTGGTCGTTATGCCAATGAAAGTGCCTCATTTTAAGAAAAAGACAAAATGGTACTAGCACACGATTTTTTTGGCGTCTAAGTCGCCGGTTCATCGGTCCGAAGTGATTTCGGCACATTCCGTCGGTCTTTCAACTTTAATATTTGGCTGTATAGAATTACATAAGCAACTGCCCTCAATATTCACCATACTTTTCAAATCGCCAACGCGTGCATCTCGCTAGGGCCTCCGTATGTTGCCCTTCGTATTGCCCTACACAATCTCACTCACCTGCTCTTCTAGTCAAGCTATCTGAAAATACATACAAAATGACCCACGACGCAGTTTGGTTCTCTCGTCCCAGAAAATTCGGAAAGGGTTCCCGCCAGTGGTGAGTATTCCTCCGACTCTCAAGGTCTCCTTCATGACTAACTCCTGTGCCAGCCGTCTCTGCGCTCACCAGGCCGGTCTCATCCGCAAGTACGGTCTCGACCTCTGCAGGCAATGTTTCCGTGAAAAGTCTGCTGCTATCGGTTTCGTCAAGGTTCGTAGTCTTCCTTCCCCTTTCGTGGTGTCGGTTAATCTCATATTACTTCTAGAACCGGTGAAGCTTCGTAGAGCTCGACCCATTCACTTTGCGTCCCCTGCTTTCGTATACAACCAGCCCATGCCTTTATAACCGTCTTCATGATAGGGAAATAAACTTCTAGTTTCCAGGCATCTCCACAACTGAGTTACATTCCTGCGTTCCAAATCTATGTTATTCTATCGAGTACAAGTCTAAATGTGAGATGCTACAAGTCATGAATGCAAAAAACGGTATATTGCAATCAAGACACTCCAAATGATACACACAATGAGGCAAAGCATCCGGTTGACAAGTATCTAATTAAAGACTTTATACAGCTGAGGTTGGGGATAGGAATAACTACAGAATGACAAATAGTGCTGCGACGAGGATACTATTAGACAAACAACCGAGTTAGAGTGAATGAAAATAACCTGTACAAATGAGGTGGCAAATACGAAGTGTCCAGACATGAAAGCAGAAGAGGAATGCAGTTTTCGAATACAATGAGGTTGTGGTATGATAGATTCGGGACGGCAGTGCCCCAGAGATGGATGGATGAGGGAAAAAGAGGTGGAATAAGGTAGATTTTTAGGGTTTAGGTATCGTGCCAACAGACGCGGGCGTTGAACGAGGAGTCGTATGTTAAGGTTGATGTCGTTCCCGCCGAACGAGTTTACATCCCATAGCCAAAGGCCGATCTTTGGTAGGGGTCGGTGAGGCCCGCTCCACCAAATTGGTTGACGCCATTGAACGAGCCAGAATAGGCGCTTCCATGGGTCGCTGACAGACTATTATGACCTGAGTTTCCTTGCAAAACGTAGCCGTCGATGGACTGGGGCTGAAGGTTATGGAGCTGGGATGAGAGATGTGACTGACCGAACGACGTCTGCTGAGGAAGGCCGTAAAGGCTGCCTTGTCCGTAGACGTCTGTCAAAGTGTTGGCATGATGAGCCTGAGGAAGGTGACGACCGCCGGTGGGGGTTGTGCCTAGACCTTGGTTGGTGAGCGCCATGTTGACGAGGGCCTGCTGGGTATGATACCCGCCAAAGTGGTCCATTTGCTCGCGCTGCAGCTTGTTCTGAATACGTTTGCCATACGGCGTATTACGGATGAGAGGAAGGACAGGCCGAATTCCCTCTACAAGCAGTGCGCGTTGTGCGGGCTCGGCGTAATCCAGCGCCGTTTGAACACAATAGTTACCGTACGAATCACGAAGAAGTTTCTCCAGACGAGTTCGATTAAGAAGCTCTTCGATGAGCATTTTCCGGGTGCTGTGTTCTGCAACGCGAACACACTACGGCGGAACGTCAGAACAGTTCTAAACAGAAGGAAAAAATCTCGCACCTTTTCGATAACGTTGGAACTAAACTTCTGGACCGACAGCGCACAGACGTTCCCGGCGAACTGACGTATAACCGCATCGCTGAAGCGATTGTCGTTCAAATCAAGGATGTACTGAACGACCTGTTGAAACGAATTAGTTAACGACATACGTCAGACAATGAAGATACACTCACATAGTTACCATATGGATCTTGAACCAGAGTGAGAGCATTGTAGGTAATCTCGTTGACGAGCTGAATGCGCTGGTTGTCCGATGCGTGATCAATACACCGCTGAAGAACACAACATCCGTGACGATGCGTCGCAACTTCCACGCAGTTGACGGCAACGGCATTGTAAATAAACTACAGCGGATATCGTCAGCACGAGTACATATCTCCACAAAACAGCGTACCTGGTTGTCTTCGGGAGCCAACTTGTTGAGACACTTCTGGATAACATGATTGCCGTTCAAGTCCTTGATGAGGACAACAACATGAAGACTGAGAGCGACAATAATGGAATGGATCTGAGCATTGTAGCGAACATCAGCCTGCGTCGCTCCACGTAAGTGTTATAGGAGAGATAGTAAGGAAATTATACTTGCCTGACGTCTTGTTGACAAAAAGTCGATCATCTTCTGAACCGCACGCGTCCCATGCATGTTTAATGAGATGTTGACAAGATCCTGTGCGACAGATTCGCATATCACATTGCGCTGCTCATCGGTGGAAAACTCAAGGAGCTTCTGACACAGGTAGTTCCCGAAAGGGTCTGAAAAAATTCAATGAGAAAAAAAACCTGTCATCCTTGGCCGAACAACGCACCTGTCATGAGATCCGCAAAATGACCGAACGTTTCACGGAATATCATGTCTCGGTGTTCTGGAACACCCTCCTCCAGCTTCTTCTGAAGGTATCGGCAACCATGCTGGTCTTTGCATAGAGCAGGAATTTCACCCTGAAGATCCTCTAGACGTGTACCAGCAAAACGGTTGACTAGCAGAAGGTGAGACAGGCAGGAGAATAAGAAATTAGCTTTGACACACATTCCCGGTCAATGTCACCCCGCTTGTGCTTGGGGCCGTGCAAACCATTCATCTTGCCATCAGCCACACCATTGCTAGCCCGACCGGCGACTAATCCATAACGGGATCCAGAGTACAAGGCACCAGAGCCATTGGCGCTTCCGCCATTGGGGGTACGGCTACCCTCGAACCCGTAAGAATCATACCGGCCGTTGTCCATCCCGCCATTAAGCCCATACACGGAGTCCACACCATACTGCTATATAACGAATCATTAATACACGTCAATACGCGAAATAAGTTACGAACCTGCATGGATTCTTCGAGACTCCCTTGTGATGAATTGAATGACAAGGGGCCGGTCTCATACTGGGCCGTGGGTGTGAGCCGCGTCAGCGACGGTTGAAGGTCACCCGAGTTTACGTTACTGTCGCCAAGCTGGTGCGAACCCATACGAGAACCCAGGGTGTCGGTAAGGGGGGTGGATGGTGTCTTCAACAGATGCTGAGGGTTGTTCGAAATGCCAAGTGGCGTTGCTGGCACAGATCGGGTGGTACCGTTCAAACTCTCCAGTATGATTGGTGGTGTACCGCGCCTAGACGATGGAGGTCGAACATGAGGATGTCCCTGAGGGTGCTGGGGGACCAGGGGCGTGCCCGACGCTGAGACAGACCCTGCGAGCTTCCCATTGGCATCAATAGCGGCCGGGGACAGAGACAAAGTCGGGTTAGTCACTGTTCGTCTGTCGTTCCTAGAAGCGAGTCCATCTCCACGAGATCCGGGGAACTGCGGCCATTCCGAGTGTTTTTCCCGAGATTCCATGGCGCGACTAAACGAAGACCGTGGCGACGTTTGAGATATATGCGCAAGATCGAGCGCAGCCGATGACGTAGAAACCTGTGGGAGTTGAGTGGTGGGCTTGGAAAATTTTTGCAATAGAACGGCGCACCTTGGAGAAGTGGTTATACTTGTCATCATCAGAAGTGGGCAGATTCCGCATGGCATCTACAGAAGCGGGACTTAGAGAGGGTCTTGAATGCACTGGGAGCCACTCACTATGCATCTCCTGGTCCAACTGCTCGTCCAACATCATGCCAGCGTTAAAATTGCTACCATAGCGAGACTCGTCTTCCCCGTAGCGCGAACCCCGATTCAAGATGGAAGCCGAAATAGGATTCGGTGCGGGAGAAGCTCTATTGGAATGGTCTCCGGCGATAGCCAATCCCTGGAAATGACCTGCCAACTCTTCATCGTGACTGCTGGCAGACGTACGGCGGCTAGCAGGCATGCTTTTAGCACCGGCAGGGCGCGCGCCGCCCTGAGTCGAGGTACCGTTGCTTGGGTCAGGAGAGAGGTTGACGTTTTGAGCGTAGGTAACGGACTTTCGCTTGTCAGCAGCACCGACGGCTTTTGACAAGGAGTCGGCATCGACAGGAAGGTGCGAACGGTTATTGCGCATGCCAGGTATAAACTCGCCATTGAGGACGGCATTCACTCGAGGAGGGGTGGTGGGCGCCGAGACCGCCAGGTGCTGAATACCAGTGCCGTTGGGGGCGTTGGGATCGTAGGGAATGCTAAGCAGCTCCTGGGCCTGTTGCTGCTCGAGTACACGCATTTGATCTTCAAACATTTTGCGCTGAAGAGCACGCTGCCTTTCGTGCTCGAGTCGTTTGAGTTCGACACGCTGCAGGTAAAATACGTCAGCAGGCCACAAAGGATAAGAACTACAATGCGCACAGCAGACATATCCGGCATATTACTTCCCAACCTTGCGGCCTACGAGAGAAGAAAAGAAGTTGGAAAAAGTCGGCCGAGATTGAAAGGGGAGACATACGGAGTCAGCGAGGTCCAGAAAAGCCGGCGGACTCTGCTTTCTCTCGTCGGAAGGCGAGATATTATCAGTAGATATATTAGAATTTTCCGAGGAGATATTCATTTTGGAGGATAGAGACCGACAACCGTTCCAAGGATGTGAACGACAGAAAACAAAGCGAAGGATGAGTAAATAAAGAAAAGGCTAATTTCACAAGGACGATGCTGGATGTGCAGGGATGACAAGGCATTGAAAAGGAGAGAACAGTGATAGACGACGATGACGACTGACCTGAAGCCAAGTTTTGGGCCTCTATAAAGGTATTGATGTTACAACGGCTGATGCTAGACGACGACGACAGTGATGAACAGGGCAGCAGGCAGGCAAGAGCGGCAACAAAGCGACGCACCCTTTTTAATGCTCCAGAATCCAAGCAGAGACGGGAGATAGAGGAGTGAGAGAGTCAAGTAATATGGTCGCTGAGCACCGTGCTGGGGACCCTGAACTCTAATACCCCGGCAATCCCCCTCGAAAATAAAACTCCGTCACTTTCCGATTTCCGTCGTCCCTTGAAAAAAAAAAGTTGCCATTGATGCAAATTGATGGCCTTTTCTGCATCTTCACATATCACTGTGCCTCCCTGACCGCCAGCTCACTGCAAGAGGAGTTTGCTAGTTGATCGCCGTTCTAAATATCCTTGCTTTTTTCTTGGCTATCTTTCCTCTTTTTCTATCTTTTTGTCTGGACACCGCTAGGGCGGGCCACAGTCTCTACATTTTATCCAATTAGCGTCTGGGCCCTGTACGCAGTCCCCTTGCTGACCAAGCGAGAGCATGCATCACAGACGTCGCTAAGCTCGTTGCCATACACAGAATTTGCGAAAAATCCGCTTTTCCCCCAAGCATTCGATGCGTTGTCCGTCCTTCTCATTTCCTTATTTTGCGCTAGTTGCATCCATGGAATTCTAAGAAGTGCGCCCCCGTCATATTTAATGTTTTAGCGTCCTACAATTTCCTTTTGTTTCCCATCTTATGGTGATCGTACCTTGCTCTACCGAGATCCAGATCTTTTTACACGCAATTCATCCGGTACGTATGTGTCGGTGTAGGTCCAAGCGAGCCCAAAACCTGCATATTCATGGGCCGTCGTCCCAGAGTGTGGTACTTGAGTGGCCTATGCCCGGTCCTGACATCCGATTTCTGTGTCAGACGAATAGTCTAGTCTCCATATGTACGTGTTCATAATTTCGGGGAGACTTCGACTTCGAACCGTACACAGGATTAACAAATGGCATCATATAGGTATATCCGTTGTACGTGTCGCGCCATAAAATGTACATAAACTAAAGGCCTCCGTTCAAGTAGATCGTAAAATTCTAACTCTACGCATGTGCTACTATCGGAGGCGACGGTGTGGGAGGCGCTGGGGACGGATGCCGATCTTCCTCCACATTAATTTTCTCCGGTCCCGGAGAGCCAGACGACTCGCCTCCATGCCAGTACCCGTTGGAAGCGCGCTTATCCTCATCCGCCCTCTCACCCTCATTGCTCTCGCAACGTATAGTCCGGCGATCATCCTCCTCCGGCACGCCACCGCCTTCCTCTTGTGCATCCTCCGACGATACGTCGGGGGTATTTCCGTTTGCATGAGCTCCTTCGCCGTCGGACGGACTTTTCACCATCAGAGACGTAGGGTACCGAGAACGCAGGCTAAGGAAACCTGCCAACGGGTTAAGGTTTATGAATGCTCGTCCTTTCTTGATTCCGTCCATAGTAGTCGGTGTCGTTGAGCCGCTGGCAGGAGGCGTTGAATTATCGAAGGGCAACTCATGGTAGACCGGCTTTGGTGTTGCGGGGCTCTCACCCACTGGAGATTCCGAGCGAGGCGACTCCAATCCGGAGACAGACAACGCAGGTGAATTAAATGGTCGGGAGGGACTAAAATCAGAATTCTAGACATGTCCGTGTGAAGAATAATGTGAAATACCAACCCTACGGGCAATCCCTCGCCATTGGTCAGTGTTAAAAGTAAATTCTTGAGGTTAGGAAGCGTGTGGCGCATGTCCAAAGCACGAAGGTCGTAATCAGACATTAACTAGAAATTTGGAACGTGAGAGCTGTGCTTGTCATAGGTAGCAAAGTGAATACCAATTCAATATCTTTGTTAAGTAGGAAAACCCCATATTCGAAACGATACGTATCTACCCCTTTGGAGAAAAGGGGGAACCTAGGAAATTTATAAAAGCCAAACACGATCTAAAGATAATATACTCACATTCTCGGTCCCACCATTGCAGAAATCCCGTCACGGATTAGACTACGGCTGCCCACGAAAGTTACAGGGTACACCAGGCCTTTGCCCAAGTAGACTGCGATGAATTGGACGAGTTGAGCCGCGTAACCCAGTGCCGTAGCAACCGAGTCTTCGTTCACATCATTGTGGGAAATCAGGAATAGGGGAGGTCCTGGGTCACTTGAGGAAAAAGGTATGGGAAGCGGCACATCGAGGACGGTGTACAGTAGGTCCGGAGGTGAACGCAATTCAATCGGGAAAATCCAAGACAATGTCGAAAGCAATGTTGTCCGCGTTGGCTTGATTTGATTTTGTAGAACATCAAAACGAGACCTTGAATGAGATACACATTACAGCTGTAACATTCAAAAGAAGGGAAAGGCTGACCGTTCCTCTATGACAGATTGTGATATACTGTCCAAGTGGTCCGACCCTTCCAAAAGCTGCTTTCTCGCCAGCTCAAGTGTTTCCCGGCGTTGCCTTAGCCGATCCCGACGAGATTTGATTTCCCACTCTCCTAGAAAGAAAATTACATCAGGCACGCCACTAAATGCAAAGATTGTAAACATTTACGTTGTTGCCGCAGGGTTTGGAGGTGCTGAAAATTGGATTGAAGTTCTTCCAAGCGAGCTTCGCATTCATCGACTCGGCGCCTCTATAAAAAAAATCAACTTTGACGCCACATCAGAATGGAACAACGTAAGGGCAGTAACACATGCCCTAGTATATTCCAGAGGAACCAATATAGACATACCAGTTTGAAAGTGACGTCGTCTTCCATGAACTTGTCAATACTGCGAGCCACTTCATCTAACGATGAATATGTGTCGTGAATACATGCCTGAAGAGTCACCAATCTAGCGAGTGATTGTCACACGATTTCTTTTCATACGAAAAAATTCACTGACTTGAATAGGTCTCGCCAGCTGGCTGTTTGCACGTAGTCTTCAGATAATTGGGATTTGCGCCGGGTACCACGCCTGTACCGCTTCGGAGTAGAAACAACAGCATTGACTGGGGTCTCGGTGGAGAATATATCCTCGATATGGCGGACTCTTCGTGTGCCAGTCTCTGGATCGGACGCATATCCCGCAGAAGGAGACGGTGTCCTGTTTCGAGGGATCCTGGTCGATAAGAGATAGTAATCATGGCCTGGAGGATCTAAGGTAATGAGCAGGGTATTTGAAGGCAGTTGCGATATGTGTGAGAACTGAAATGAAGATCAGTGACGAAGTACTTCCGACTGGATGTACCTTACATCTTCTGGAACTGGTATCAGCTCTTCCAGGTTGAAGTCCCAAGTCTCCAGCAGCTTCCATTCAGTTTCATCAGGTATCGGGCGGCCCTTTCCTTTACCACTGGTATCATTCTTCCGCTCAGGCATACAAGCCCAAACCTGGACAGTAAGGTCTCCGCCAGTGATATCAGTCGAAGTTGAAAAGTCGTTTTGAGGGTCTACTCGAAACGTGGGGTTGGTAGAAGGAGGGTGAATGGGGGATAGGAAATCTGGCACAGGGTAGGAACGGCTTTCTGACTGAGACCGAGGGGAAGGAGTGGAACATTTAGTTACAGGTGGTGGCGCCTGGCCATTGGTTCGCAGCGCCGATGTCGAGGCAGACTTCAAGTGTGTAGATGACAGAGACTTAGGAACAGCTGTACGTGGCGCATATGTTGCTCTCTCCACATTACTGATGGTTGGTCTATGGCTCTTGACATTTTCGGCACCATTGAGTTTCTTGGTCTTCAAGCCAGAGGAACCGCGAGACACAGGCGGACGAAAGGTACCAGCTGGCCTCCGAGGGGAGGGAGAAGGAGTAGTGTCTTCAGGCACATTATTATGAGGAGAATGCACTATAATGGACAGGAATGTTTCGACCAGACGTGTTCGAATGACACTTTCCAGTTCAGTTTGCGTATGATTATGAAAGAGTGTGTTATATGGAGCAGCTGAAGTTGACGCCAGCGCTGAGACATCAGGACCAGATAAGGTAGCTGCGAGTGACGAAGCGTTAGAGCTCGCTCGATGTCGACGAATGGTAGGTGCAGAACCGGATGCAAATTTACTGGAAACACCAGCACTGCTAGCGCGAGAACCTGCTCTGGTTCTTCCTCTGGATATTGCCGCGCTGTCCCCTGATCCCTGACCTTCAACCACGTCTTCAGACTTCTTGCTGCGGAAAGTCGCCACTGAATTAGCCGACACCCGGCGGCTTCGTTTCAGTGTCAGAGAAATGTCCAAATCGTCGGTTAGATGGCCGTGAGTGCTAAACTGTGGCTGCTCTGAAGGCTGAGAGAGAGCGGATGCAAATTCATCTCGGACAGGAAACGGGGTCAGATTACGGACTTGAATAGATGTTATGTGACGAATACGCTTCTATGACAGAACCCAAATGAGCCCATTGGTGGCTAGAGATGGAAGGAAACGCAACTTGTGAGAGAACATCATAGGTACCGTCCTGTATCGCTTCTGCCTCCGCATGCGAGCCGGCCAACATTTAAAGTATTGCGCAGAGGGCACAGCGCGGTGACCTCAGGACAGTCAAACAGTGACCGTACCACAGCCTACAGGCTCCGTTTCGGCGAGGTGACTGAAAGATAGTCCGATATGCGTTGTTGTCGGTCTGAATGTAGCCCAGACCAATTATCGCTCGTCTTTATCAAGCTTAGGCGCAAGGCCTTCCAGTTGAAAGGGTAAACACCGTCGATGAGCCAGACCTAGAACGGAGTAGAAGCGAAGGCGAGCATAGCCCTAATCTAAGGTTAGGAAGGATGACACGTGCTGTATGCATCTACGTACATCGTAGGACAAACGGAGACGGCAATAAATTAACATGGTACATTTTACATGGTCCCATAAACAAGCAGTCAACTATTGATACAACCTTCTTAGACGTGTTAACCGAGATAACCTAGACGAATGAATGCGACGATGACAGAAATTGGGCAGACGGAGTGAAACTCTAATTATCTTCCATCGCGTCTGCGAAATGAGGATTCCGCCGCTCCTGTGACTTGGCTGCAGCATTTTGCACCTCCTTTATCTCTTTATTCAATCTAGCCGTCTCCCGATGCCACATGGCAGACACCTCCTCTTCCATCACGTCGTCTGATACCTCTGCATCGGCACTTTTGACACCCAAACCCCTCAAAACCTCGTCTGGTCGAATCCCTGAGGCGATTTGGACATCCCCTGTAATGGTTCCCGATGACGTCCTTGTAAGAGAACGCTTGCCACCTTTGCCGCGAGGAGACCCGATGGTAGACGTAGCGGACACTAAACCAACCCCATCCAGCATACCAATTAGGTCCATGAATTCACTACGCGAGACGGGTGTGAACACATCGCTATCACCACGCTGCAGCGCCGCTGAATAAAAGATGAATAGATGCGACGTTTCTACTCCTGTGGATTTTGAAGGGGACTTGGCTGCGGCGGTTGAGACGAGGGGCAAGCCAGCTTCGATTCGCTTGGAGGATAGCAAGATCAGGAGAAGAACAATGCGTGCTTGGAGGCCCAAGGACTTGACATTTGATATAATTTCATTGTCGTTTGAACCTTGGTTAGAGGGCGTGGAGGAGGGTGCCAAGGGTTTTTTGTTGGATGGTCCATGGCTTTTAAGAGCGGTAAGAACATGGGCAGGCGTGATGGCAGGACATCTATCGCCCTTGCAGGATGTGACAGCAGCATCGATTGTCCCACGTAAAACTTCGAAAAGGCTTCTAACATCTCCGGTCATAGCCGCGACCTTCTTTGTCAACAATGTCAAGGCTGGAGCAGGCAGGAGCGCTTTGGCCTGCTCTGCATCGACTTTATCATTACGCAAAGGGGCTAACCTTGCTTCGATGATTTGAAGTAGCTGCGTCGGCGTGTAAGGAGCGAAGTGAAGTGTTTGCACGGATGACCCGAACGAGGCAGATGACGTCAAGGTATGAGTGTTAGCGATGCCAATGACACGTATAACGGAGGGATTGGAAGTGGGAAGAGAGAACAGAGTCGTCAATGAATGAGTTGTCGTGGTGATGTGGTCCAACTCGTCCAATACTAAGAGGCTGTAGCAGAGATGAGTACTGAACATATTAGAATAGTGCAAAATGTCCATACCACTTCGTCGGAAGACTATTTATCAGAGCTTCTACGGCATCTTTCCCCCTCGTAGCCTTCTTTGTTCGACTAGATGACTTTTTCGCTCCCTCGAACTTCTCGTGAAGCCGCTCCCACAGGGCTTCAATACTACTTAGCGCCATACAATTGATCGTAATGACCTCGATATCATTGTCGAGAGAATGGAGAATTGAATTGACGAGGGCGGTTTTACCGGTTCCAGGTGCCCCAGAAATGTAGAGACAAGACGAATGATCTGCAGAGTCCAGGGGCGAATCAGCCATGAAACCCGTGATAAAGTCACGAATGATTGCACGCTCATCATGGCGCGCCGGCATATCCACTGCATCATCACATGTCGCACGAAGTAGCGCACGCGCCCTGACATGGAAAGGTAAGGGCCTAGTGGGCGTAGGAGGAGGTGTGGTTATCATAGAGGGTGACACTGGTGTGGCCGGCGTTGAAGGGGAAGAAATCAGAGAGGAAGCAGAGGCGCGACGCTCTGGAATTAATGATAAGAACAAGCAAAAGTTATTAGAACATAGAAGACGTACGCGCTCGTCGACGAGGTGGTGTCACTTCAACCTCTGTCGTCGTTCTCCTCAGCGCTCGCGTTGCTCTTGTTGAGATTGGCGAAGGGGCGTCCGCGTTCACAGCGCGGACGCGATAAGGAGGAATGTTCTCCTTGTTATCGTCGCCATCGAGTACGGTGACCGTCGTTTTTGGTCGCTTATAGCTGGGAGTTGGGTCTGGCGATGGCAACTCACTGCAGTGAGTGCGTTTGCCGAGAGTCGAGGAGCGTGTCGACCGTGGTGTTTGCATTGCTAGCGACGATGAAGATCTTACGACTAACCAGGTGGTGGTGTTAAGGTAAAGAGCGTCCAGCCAAACAACCAATTTTGATGACGGACGTTTGGGATCTCGGCCATCAAATTGTACGTGAACAAACAGCGACGCGCTGCTCGACGCGTCAGTCACGTGGACGACGCGACGATCACGCGATGTCCACGTTCACGTTTATTGTGCGACAGACTTTAATGCTACAATCATCAACATTTTTACTGGCTCCAATCCGTTTATACTTGCATTCCAAAGATTAGAGTATGGGCCTGAAATTTCTGAAACCGCAAGGAAGCCATGTTGTAACGGCGGCCGAGTAGAAATATATATAAAACGCAAGCTACAATCCCCTTTCTATCAAAAAGAACAAGACTCGTATCATATTTCAAAGGTTTATTTCATCATCGAAAAGGACATTCGACTTTTCAAGTGAAGACTCAATAGATTGTCTGACAGGTAGGGTTGATCAGCGCTTCTCACCACGCAGCCAAGCGATAGATAGCTTTGCTGCTAGAATCATATCAGTTTAGAAGAAAAAAAAACAGGGTGTTTGACCCTATCAGAGGTATGGAGTCATCATGACAGCTGGAAGAGCAGAGGTCAGAGAAATCTCCCTAGGTAAAGACGAAAGACTAAAACACGTCAAGGTCGACAAATAAAGGAGAATGGAGGCCGTATACAATCCATCTTGTTCGATTCTATAGCCCAGATATGCGGACATCTGAGAGGAGTGATAGCTTGTGCGGCCAGGTGGTCCTTGACGTCCGTTTCAATGGTATAAACCCCTCTTTTCGCTGGTTCAGCGGTAGAAGAACACGATATCCAGTCTCTGACGTTTTGCAGACATGCTAGACCGTACAGCGATGAGAAATCATATAGTAAGAAAAACGATGCGAATACCTCTATACACCCAAGCTCTTCCACTCAGTCTGGTACTAATCCATCAAAGTCGTTATCCAAACACTGCTTTATCGACCCGGTTAGACCAGCACTGACCAGCAGAAAAGAAGGAATATCCCTAAGCCTATCCCGCACCTTGGTGGGCAACAGTCTAAGATCGGGGCGACTAAAGAAATCATCTTAGAACTTCAAGGGGAGAGTATTTTATTTACTTACCGATGCACCTGCCATACGAGCAGTCGAGATCCTTGTCCGCTGAACACGGGCTGTGAGGTTCGTCTAAGAAAGCTTATGAGTGCGAGAATGGAAAAGCATGTATGGGAAACTCACCTTCTACGTCAATGCAATGTAGAGCAGAAGACCGTTTGAATATACGTTATAATTTGCGAAGGCAGGAACGAATGAATGAAAGGTCTGTTATTGTTTGAAGGTGGAGTCAGACTTGACATTGTCAACCCACTGTGAAGAGCTTCAGGCCCTTGATCATAATTGCGAGAGAGATCCGTATAGTGGCTGATTCTCCGAGGGTTTCGTCACCGAAGTGACGAAAGCAGATGCCTTGGGTGCAAGGAACTGTACTAGTTACATATCCGATGATTGACCGGTAGGCTGTTTTGAATAGAAGATATTCACCTCTTGGGCAACGAGCCTACAATAAGACTATGAAATCAAGAACCTGATCTGGGTGAAACCTTCTCACCCAACAACTTGGTGCCCAAGCGCGTACTTGAGGAAATGCAAACCGCTGATACGACGACGAACACGATAAATTTCATCCCAGAAGTTGGATGGAGATCAGGACTAAGCTGAAAGGCCTATAGAAGCCTCAGGTCATCGTTTTATGTGCTACTACTAATGCGTTTCTTGACAAGATGACCACAGAGTCGACTTTGCAACGTTTGGGTTTTATACATGCGTGCAGTGCCGATATCGAAGACAGCATTATGCGTCTTGTGCATGTGTCTTTAGAGTATACTCTCTGTGTAGCGAGGCGTACGTTTGGTGCTGTTTGAAGGATGATAGATACCAAGCCGTCATGACAGTTAGCAGCTAAGGTCACCACGAGGGGTGTACCACAAATAGGTCCGGCCAAATTCTAGAGTTTCCAGCTGCTCGTCAAATGACCCATTGCATAGTGTACATGCATCTATAAAGGAAAACATAGATCATCGGAGCACAGAAAGCAGAATAGTCACGACAACACGACAAAGAACCACGGAGAGGGTGTTGCGGTCAGGATGAAAAAAAGACATAGATACTTAAGTTTCACTACGAGGATATTTATAAGAGGTGTCCGAGTCTTCTCGGTATACTTACACGTAGTACCTTCGAGTCGAGCTGACGGTAGACAACTCCGACCATACTCGACAGCAGCATTATGCCTGTAAACAGAATCAAAGGCCCCTGCATCGCAAATATTAATTGGTACGAGAAAGCTGATTTGTTTTAAAATAACTCACATATCCTTTTAATGCATATGGATACTCAGACTTTCCTGTGAGCGCCCATGGGTGTAACAACCCAGAGGAAATAGGTGCAGACAAGGCGTTACCGACGCCTCTACCGGCAATGAAAATACACATCAACATTGACGACAAGTGTGGATCATCACCGCCTATTGTTGATGCGAACTTTGTCCACAACGCAGACCAGCTGGGTGCAAGAAAACCGTAGACGGCAGCAAATACAAGGAGGGTAGCGAGTTGGGTAGTAAAGCCCCATATACACAGAACGGCGAAGGAGGAGCCGAGTGCAGACAGGAAGATGGAGATGCGTAAGTCGAACCTATCGGAAAGATAGCCGAGGAAAATGCAACCTGGCGCAGAAGTTCCTGCAGAACGGCGATTTACGTCAACAGCTAGGTCGCACAAAAAAACATATCAGCGTACCATTCATCAATGACAGTGCCCAAGTTCCTGCGGAGGCTGCATTATTTAATCCAAGATCTGTTGCAAAAGCTACGAGCGTGTAAAATTAGAACGGTCAATATGCCATAGAAAATGGCTAACTGACTTGGTAAATATAGCGTAGGAAGGAATGTCCCCAATCCTTGTATCAAGTTGGCGATGAGTAAAATCCAAAAAGGTTTGAACTTGAGAAACTGGGTATTGATGGATCTATGATGGACGATTTGGGATGGTGGAACTCGCGACTTGATATAGGGCAACGCAGGGAGGGCAAAAACAGTGAAGGCAGTTCCTAGAGCTAGCATAGTGGTCCTGAAACCATATGTATACAAAAGACTCTTGATGACTATTGGCATCACGACGCCTCCGATGCCTAAAAATATAAAATATGGGTTATGAGCCAGCCTACAAACTGTACTGTCAAGGACGCACCAGAGCCCGAAAAGATGAGGCCATTTGCCTTCGAATGGTTCGAGAAAATTAGACCATTTTAGATCAGTCAGATATGCGCGACAACCTACCAATCCTTTCCTTTCAGAAAACCACTCAAACGTGTACGTCATGGTAGGAAAATACAGCATGCCTGTGACGGGAACATATTAGTTACATGATTCTAACGGAAGCTAGATAATACGTACTGCCTCCGATCGAATAAAGAATTCCTTGAGTCAATAACAAAAGACCCGAAGTCTTTGCAAATGCTGCTCCAAATAAACCTGCGACGCATAGTACCAGCCCTATGTACATTCCCTTCTTTTTGTGTACTGGAAATCGCGAGAACACAGGAAGGATGATAAGTGAGGCAAAATACATTAATCCAGTGGATAGAGACCCGACAAGGGCGAGGAGCGACGATGGGGTGTTTTGGAAAGGCTCATGCGAGGTGTAGTAGTTGAGGAAAACACCATAAGAGAAGGGATAAGACCAGACAAGAAACTCGAGAAGCCATGGACTGACGAGGAACGCCCAGGCATGAAACCCACGATCCTATGGGAAAACTCGCCTTGAGGTTGGGAAAGTAGGTGAAATTAAAGACGAACCATCGGAGGCAACGACGACGCATTCAAAGGCACTTCGTCAACATCGCTAGCTCCTCCTGTCTGTGCTGTTTGCACATCTATAATCATATCCTCGAGATCAATCGTTCGTTCGTCCGAATTATCAATTTTCGTCCTGACCGCATGTCAACTTTCAGAGATCAGAGAATATAAAACGCTGTATACCGTGTCTGACTCAAATTAACCAGTTCAATTTCGGTGGACATGATGGGTTGTTTTTTTAAACATGTCGAGGAAGAAGAGTCATATTTATGTCAGTGAAATTTCATTTCCATCGGATAGCCGCGCCGATGATCAGTCATCAAAACTTGACCAATCCACTACTCGAGGACACCCGGGTCTCTGTTATCAGATATGAGCTTAAGAGCTTGAAGCAAAGAACAAGTGCTCTCACTGTACAATCAGAAAAAGAACATTGAACGTAACGTACGCGTAAGAACGAATCCTCCAAATGTTCGCCAGGGCGTTTCAGTCCGGCTAAATGTTCCGCAAAGTTAACTAACGCGTGAATGTTGGTCCATTTGCTTAGTCACAGTGTAAGCTACCTTTGCCATGGGGCTAGGGTATGCCGTGAGTTCCGCTGGTCCCAGCCAATGGGCATGAACTGCAAGAGATTGTAACACCTTAGCTTAATAGTTTATCGATAAGATGACCGAACTGTTCTTCTGTTTCAGTCGTCAGAGAATGTGTTTTCCACAGCAGATTGTTTTATCATGACCAGCGATAAGTTGATGTTGATGGATATTTTGACAGTCGTTTCGAGTGGGCTACTATCATCTACATCAGGAACTTGCCAAGGGCGTCGATCATCACCAGTAAATCAAGAGTATTTCGATATCGAGAAGATATATCTTGCAGTCGTCATATATCAATTGAAGACCGATCCTCTCCACCCTAATTCCTTGCAGTAATTGTAAAGCTTTGGCTAGGGCATCAGCGGCGGCATGGCACTAGTCATCCAATAGGGAGACTGAGGGTGTCTCAAATGGATGTACTGTTTTGCGCAGTGGCCCTGTACAGAGGTATTATGGAATTGAGATGTCTGGGAGAATGGATATCAAATTGTGCGCCTTGACAGGATCAATCACAGACCACAAACTTACACAGCAGTACACAACGTGCGATGATTATTGCTTGAGCAATTCTTCTCGTTCAAGAACCGACTTTTCCAGTTTAATCAAAATCGTTGTTCGTGTGGGAAATTGAGTTGTGGGTGTACTGTGTGCGGTGACGCGAGCGGGCTAGATCAGATGATATAAGTCCCAGGCACTACCCAAGAATAGCTTGGACATACGAAGCCTAGCCCGTCCAATACGGCTTCAACGATACCCGCGGTGAAGGACGAACAGCTTAATTGACTCATGTCCTTGGGAACGGAGATATGTCGCTCGATGGGTGGGTCATTGTCAATGATCATATCTGTAAACATGAGCCAAAGAGGACGACACATGTTACAATGACATACATTCATCTGCGTTCTCGACACTCTTTTCGATTGCATCCGCTGGCTTTCCAAAGACGGCCCGCCATACTTGGGTGTGAATAGTCATCAAGGAAGGCAGGAGCCGTATTTCTCGTTTCGGAGTCTTGGAGGATGATTCTGCACGCCATACCATGAGCTCAAGGACGCGAGTGCCGATGCGATAGCCGAGAGTATTTAGTCTTGCGGTGATTGTTAGCCGATATGATGATTTTAAGGCAAGAGACAAACCGGCGTTCGAGATCATTAATACCACTAACGCGTTTTTGGGTGTACTGCACTATTTCCGAGAAGAGAAAACTGAAAGCGGCGCCAGAGACATCAGTCACGCGAGGTTTGTTGAGGTTTCTGTCATATATGTTTGGTCTCGAGAGGGCCTGTTTATTGGTACCGAGAGCCGTGTTTATGGATGGAGCCGAAGGAATAGAATAGCGAGAACTCGTGGTCGGTGAGAGATGTTCTACAGACGAAAGGGAAGAATTGGAGAGAACAGAGAGCCTGGGATGCGGCTGAGAGTATGCCATGGTGGCCGTCAGGGTGAAAGGGTATATTGGCTCCGGCCAAATAAGGCATGCGGCATGCTTCGATGTCAGCATCAGCAGCAAGCGTCACCAATGAATCGCTGGGCCTATCCGCTAATGTCGTTCTTGGCGCACTTCCCTTTCCTTCCCAGGTTTCCAGGCGCCATCGTCGCATGAATTATCCTCTGCCGTCGCCTCAGGACCTCCAATCTCATCTCTATCACGCCTTTCTTGACGGCAAGACTGCAGATGTTGCCCTGCGTATCTCGGGCTCTTGGCGTGCTGTCTATCATCTTCACAGAGTCATTTTGATCCAGTCGGTAGGCGTGCGATGACTGTATTTTTGCCAGTAATTGACTATTTCCAGGGCTTTTTTCGCTCGCTCTTCACTGCAGGCTTTGTGGAAGCATCACCCAGTCAATTTTCAGTCCCGGACGAAATTGACGTTGTATTTGATGACCACAATATTACTCGTGCCGGTGCGTGTATTTTATTTTCGTTCTGCAACCTTTTTTGATTCTTGACGGTCTAGCATTCGAGTGAGTCTTCAACTTTACCGCCTTTGTTCAGGAAACCAATGCTTGACTATAGAATCTGTATTTCCCGCCTATATGGAGGTGGCCCGCCGCTGCATGTTTGTCCTTTGCTGCGGCCAACTCTTTCCCACCCATTGACCCCGGGTTTCCCGTATCAGCCCAAGTACGAAACACCTTCTGGTCACCAGGCCGCCACACCCCAGTTCCTGCTGTCACTTCTTGCTACATCCATCTACCTATCGATCCCTTCACTGGCTTCCCAGGCACTTTCATCTATCTGCGGCACTCTCGGTCCTTACACCGTCATCTCATATCTCAACTTCTCCCTTGGAAACTGCACCAGCTCGGAGGATGCAGCTCAGGGCGCAGTAGGGCTGGAGAGCGTGGCAGAACTCCTTGAAGACCATGATTCTGATAACGACGAATCTATTCCTCCGTCACTCTCGAGAAATGACCGTCCAAATTCGGTTCGTACTTCTTTCGAACCTGTTCATGATGGCATGTCCTTCAAGTCCCATCAAACCTCTATCAAGTCTCGTAGTCAGGCTGCGCCAGAGCCTGTGACATTCCATTATGGTGCAGTCTCGGACAAGATTGGTGAGGCTGCTGCAGCCTGGCTAGCTCGTTGGGGTCCAGATATTCTCGAATATGAAGAGAAAGTCGTCGAGGGTGTACTGGACAAGGACATTCCCCCGCTGCCTTCTCACCCAAAGACAATTCGTCGCAGAGCCAAGACGTTGGACTCAGCGGTTCGTACGGAAGTTGTCGATGCGGCCAGCACGTCCGTTACGAAACCAAGTATACCAGTGATATGGAGGCGCGGTGGTCTAAGCCCTCATTGGGTCAAGGCTCTTATCTCGTCGGATTCCTTTTTTACCAAAGATGAGATGGGACGATATGACTTCGCTAAGCGAGCCGTTCAATTACGGAGGAAGCAAGGGGGGATAGATCCGGACGAGGAGATAGTTTGGAAAGAGATGTTTGAGACTGGAATATATTATGCTAACATGGTGAGTCCGTATTTTTAATGACTTATGAGTGCTTCACTCCGTATGAAGGTGCCCGAAGATATCATTAAGATATCTTCCGATATATGTCCAACAACAGAACAACCCTACGTAGCCCTGTCCGTACTCCAGGCGGCCAATTGGTCTCAGACTCTTCTTCGACACGACCTCACATTCCGTCCTGCTTCACCTCCTACACCAACATTTTCTTCTGTCAAAGGCAAAGAAAAGGACCTTGGCGTAACATTTACCAGAGAGTCTTTCCTTAATGGAGGTACCAAGCATAAGGACGGCCCATTCTATCTTGTTCCCGTCGACCAGACTTTGCGAATTGGCGAAAATGGCGGGCCGTCTTCTGAAGGCAAGGGGATCTCAATGGAGCAGTTGTTCGCACACTCTCACTCCCCTTATTCGCTCTCCTCTGAAGAAAATTTGAAAGCCAAGTTCAAGTCCGACGAGGCCTCAAACTATCCCATCACGTTTGACGAGTCTAGTTTCTTTGGTCTTCTACCAAATTTCTATACCCCCTCTTCGACACGAGACGCCTCCACCGATCCGAAAGCCGTCTACTCACCTTATCCTCCGTTCAGATTTTCAGTCGAATTCTGGGACTCCGATCATTTGAAGGAGAAGCAGCGATTACACTCCCAAACTATCTGGTATGCTGGTAGTTTGTTCAACGTCTACATCCAAGTCGTAAAGAAGAAGGGCTCTACGGTTTCGGGCAAGGACCAAACGAGCCAGTTAGGCATATATTTGTGCCGACAGAGCACTGTGGAAGCAATTCCCGCACGAAGCGCACCAAATCCGCTGGTGGTACGACAGAGCAACGACGAAGACACTGCGTCTAGTCCGTCTGACCACAGTCACAGCGCAATAGTGAGTGGCGGACGCAGTCGAGTAGTATCCTCATCTAGCGCTACATCGCAACCTGCATCACCTATGTCCCCTGGCCCTGTGACTCCAACGCGTAGCACAACGCCGTTGTCGAGTCCTGCTACGTCGACATCCTTACCATCATACCACACCTTTCCAGATCGTCCTGGTACTAGCGGAACTGCATCTAGTTTCCGAGATGCGTATGGCTATCCGTACAGTCTTCCATATACCCTTCCGGGTACCGCGCCTTCTCAGCCATACCGGGATCCTCGACCCAGTGTTTCCGCCTATTTCATGATTTACTGCGCGAATCCGACGGGGAGTTCACAGACAAGGTTTAAGAGCACACCAGACGTGTTCAAGGTTAGCCAGAGTTGGGGATGGAAGAGCAGTTCGTTGAAGGGGGAGGATATACCAGCAGGAGACGATGATCCCGATGATGAAGGCAATATTATGAACCATCAGGGATCTAAGGTTAGTTTGAGGGCGACTGTTGTTCTTGGTGTCGTGTAGTCTATGAATCGTTTTGTATTGCAGTACCTTTCATCGCGTAATATAGCATAATTGTGGATATAATAAGATAGGTGGAGAGTAAATATATCAAGATGCCAATACCCCTTTCTCGATGTTGATCTTCTGGTTATTCTCGATAGAGATCTTGAGGATGGAGGTTCCATTCGTGGGTGGTCCTCCAGCTGTGGGTGACGCTCCGTCCGATGTATTAGAATGAGAGTCGCCAACACCGGCCGTCGAATTTGAACCCGTGGTAACGACTACTGTCCCGTTTGCAGCGCCTGATCCTGGATCTAAGTTGTCCGAACTCATAGCCGGATCCGACCCGTTAACTCCTTTCCAGGACATTGCGTCGTCCTGGATTGCCGAACCGACAAGGCTATCAGAGTTTGTGGAGTTCGTGTCGCCATCACCACCATCATCTGTGGTGCCAGGGTCCAGACTGCTTGTCGACGCTAGCGATCCGTCTCCCACTGCGGTAGGAGCACTGGGAATAGTAGTGTCATCGTCGAAACCACCTACACCGCCTGTTCCATCCAGTGGAATATCACCATCGTTGCCGGACGCTGTGTCACCAAAACCACCGGTTGCGACACCAGACTCTGGTGGCCCGTCTGATGGATTAGTGGCACCACTGGTTGTGTCAGACAGTAAAGAGCCCAGATTTTTGTCGCCGACATTGACATTGATCACAGTAGTACCGGGAGCAAGCTCCGTTACTTCTTTCAGCAAAGAGGATACTTCGCTATTGCCGGAGGTTGAGCTTGAGACTGTGCTACTTGGAGTGGCGAGTGCTGGCAATAATCCTGGTAGCCCAGAGACAGGAGCTTTGTACAACCGTTGATATGAAAGGAAACCGGAGGGAATCAAAAGACTGACTGGAGTCCCCATTGTTAGCTGCCAGTGCGCGTTCAATCTTGACTGTGGAACTGCCGCCAGCGAGACGCTTTGTATAGTCCCTGTTGCAAAGGTCATTATTCATGGAAAGTGATCGTATATATAGATTTTACCTAGCAGGCGCTGCAGATACCACAAGAGCGACGTGGGATGCCAAAAAGAGAGACCAGACATAGGCTTTGGGATCACAGTAGAACATCTTCAAGAATTTGGTAAATGTCCACACAAGCCAGCTTGTGTGCAACCTCTCGAAGTTAGCCAGTAACTCGAGGGAAAAGAATGTGAGCGCAGCTGAAGAATCGCTGGCTGCATAGATCATTATATATCTGGAATACTGGAATAGAGCTGGAAGGATCCGATTCCATGGTGAGGTTGCATTACGATGGATGATGGTGGCCGGAGTACCGCCATATGTCAAGATATCAACGGGTATCAAAGGGGACTAAGCACTGTCAGCTCCAATATTAACCGAACGCTGGTATCAACAACAACAACAGTTCGCGATCGTCAGAAGGAGAGCGCCTTTTTAGGCAACAGGAAACGATGACCAGTGATATTTGCTCTAGTTATTTTTCAAAGTCGGACGACCATGGCAACATCGAAAGGAAAACAGCCCGAAAGACAGGCACTCGTGCCTCCTCTCCCTAATCCTGCCACCGGTAGCGCCAATCCAGCAGCGTCCTTGTCGTCTCTGTGGGCTTATCTTCTGCCAGCCTTGAATCACATTGTAAAGTCTCCCACCAACAATATCTCTAAAGCCCCAGCGATTGATGTCGAATTCTATTCGGGGATCCATTCGGCTTGTTACAACTAGTATGTCGACCAATTTCATCTATCAGAAGAAAGTCTAAGTTTCGTTCTAGTATTACAGCCCAGACTGAAAATTACAATTCTCGAAAAAACGAAGATTCCGCTCTTACTACTGGGACAGACCTTTACGGACAACTGGACAAATTTTTCGCCGATACAGCCCGCGAGTTGCTCCTCGGTGCCCCTCAGGATGATTCCTCCTTGATTGATTACATTATCCCCTGTTTCAATCGCTACTCTGCCGGTGCTCAGTCCGTTAACCGTCTTCTCAACTACGTCAACCGTCACTATGTAAAACGCGCTGTTGACGAAGATAAAGGCTGGCTATCCATTAACGATGTTCTCGAGCATGTCGCCAGAACCATCACCGTCAATGACACACGAGAGAAGTTATCTAACAAGCTGAAGGAAAAGCGGTTGGACGAATTGAAAAAATGGGGGTACAACGATGGAGATCCTGCAGAGGCGTTAATTTTGGCGGAGTCGTGTGCAGAGGCTGCCAGTTCCCTAGACCGCATTATTCCCATCGCATCTCTCGCACATCGGAGATTTAGGGTGGAATTCGTGGAGCCCCTCTTAGCCGTTCCAAAAGTCAAGCGGAAGGGTAAAAACAAGCCCTTAAAAACGCCCAATGGAACTACTCCTAAAGGACGCTTGGCCCGAGCGGTCAAAGAGTTGTTGGAATCTAAGGAGGTGGACGAGGATGAACGGAGTAGGATCGCAGGAGAGCTTGCCCTTATTCTGCGCAAGATTGGCGTCGTGGGCCCCTTGCGCAAGAGGCTCGACAAGTATACCCCATCTCACTCGGACGGTTAAATCCATGCTAGCTTTTTCTGGGGCAATTGTGTTGCTACACATTCAAATCAGGCTGCCTTTCGTTATATAATAACTAAGGCGTGGCATAGGGCCTTATACTAGCCGGTCTCTTGGTACGTGTCATCTTCTGAAACCTGGCCCACCGTCTGGTCCATATATCTGATTGTCTGGCACCGGACGGTTTGCGTCACGCAATGTACCCCCTACTCGATCACGGACCCATCCATCATTCTTTGCAGCAATGTCCCGAAAGTATGTCGCCCCGCGCCCGTCTACATGGGCAAACGTCTGCTCAGTCTCGCCAGTTCCGTTGATCGCATGTCTCAGTCCAGGCCAATCATCCATACCTATCCAACCCTTGGCATGCTGTACGGAATGAATGGATGTGTAAGGGCCAGTTGGAAGCTGGATGGCTCGAATATGCGTCTGGTTAATCTCGGATCCGTATCCACCTGAGTTTCCAGATAATCAGCCACTGGACATCAAGAGACTAATGCGACCTCGATCTCACCAAACTGTAATTCGTACAAAGAATAGTTCGAGAATACAGATAACGGATACTCAAACGCATCTCGAAGGACCTGACTTCCTTCGTGCTTGGATTCGGTGGTTCCCGTCGTAGTTTGGTTGCCCCACTAAAAGTGAGTATTTCAAATGGTGTCCTCAAGGATGCGAGCAATATTCATACTTGGATCCAGCCTTCATCAATATATGCGCCATCATTGATGTAGTCCAGTGACTGAGTGAAAGTGACGATCTTTGTTCCTTCCGACGTATGTATTTCGCTTTGAATCCGCAGTTCACGATGAGCTGTAACTCTCGTCCAAACGGTTTCATTTCCTTCGCTAGCTCCACCGAGGGTTTGAATGTCCAGATCGGGGACCTCGTAAACTTTGATGGCCCCAGACGATTTTGAACTTCCTGTCCTGACATGTACGCTCCCAGAAACAAACCAGTTTGAATTGATAGAGGGATGAGTCCCTTGCCCTCGAACACAGATAGATACGTTGTGTTCGCCGCCGTCCAAGAAAATTGGAAGGGCCGGGGTAATATCTATCCAATACGATGGTGCATCGTATGCGCCGTATGAAGTCAACGGACGCCAGTTTGACGGAGTAATACCACCGGTGTATATCACGGCGTATGGCCATACGACACCGAAAAGCTTGTCGTCAACTAAGACCTGGACCTCGCGAAAAGGACCTTTGCCAATCAACCCTGTCGAGTCTGGGAAGTAAGGAGTGAATTCATCAGGCGTGTCTGAAGTCGACGGTCAGACATTCAAGATGAACCGGGATCTAACACTGAACGCACTCAGATACCAGAATTCCTCTGCTGAATTTCCCGAGCAAAAAATTTCGACGTAGGCTTCTACGGTAGTACCCGGCAGCGACACCAGCGTGGTACCTCCCGCGTCACTATCCAAGATAAAGTAATTGGCTACCGTGGGAGATAGATTCGAGAGTGGAATAATGAGATCGGATGTCCTTGGGTTTGGAAAGTTTGGCGTAGGAGCATAAAATGTCGCTGTTATAATCACTGTCCATCATCGCCTATCGTGAAGAAGTAATTTTTAGTGAGGGTCGGAAGACCTACCATCGAAAACACCGTCAAGTAAGCTAAAATCTCCCAATGAGTAATGTGATTTCGAGTTGGTTGGAGAATTGGATGAACGTACAGTTCTTCAGAAATAATGTTGCTAAAATCCATCATGAAATCGCCATCCTCAGCAAAAAGCGGAGTGAAATGAGTGACGTCCTTAATTCTAAGAGGATCACCTCATTTTCTGTAGTAGCTCATTGACTCTGAAGACGCACGTATTCCATATCGTTCCCGTCTTGGTGGGCTCTGCACTTGACGTACGCCAAACTATAATATCAAGTGTATATCAGTCTGTATCCAACCTATTCGACGCTGGATGACTTACTCTCCACGTGGGACAGGTAGATGGACTACAGACCAATAGTACCGTCAAAATCTCGGGCAAAGGCGCGTGGCAACACTTACACCTAGACGATCATATTGTGTACCATTTCTAAGCGAGAAAAATAAGACGAGAAAGACGGAGGGACACACGTCAGAGGGCTTACGAAGAAACCGAAACATTCAGACTAATAGCAGCCCATTGTCCAATATGTCCACAATCAGAGTTGGTAGGAGGGGAATAGGCAGCTATAGCAGGATTATTATAAGAACCATCTCCTATACGGAAATTAATCCGGTGATGAGTAGAAGATTCACAGATTTACCAAAAGTATGCCTCAATAATTCTACTTCACAGCTTTGCCCTTCCTGAGGAACGACTGGGGGAGCAAAGACCTGGAGATCGACCAGGGGAACAACGGTGGGATCATCGGTCATTAACGGCACTCGTTTTGTCAATGCACTTCCTGCTGAAAATTCTGCAAAACCTTCAATCAAAGGACCCAACTCTTCTTCGGTTAACTGGGCGAACGTAACCGACAAAATGCACAGAAGTTGGAGGAGCGACATGGCCCCAAAACGCGTTTCGATACTCCAAAGCCTGATCATGATGGTGAGGAATTGGCAACACCTTACAAAGCCGCGTGCCAAGCTTCCATCTTTTCCTCGAGAAGGTACCATGCGAACTTCGATCGCATGCAGCATATGGTGGTAGTAGATACGGACCGTGGACAGCCCGGCCACCGAACAGGTTCGGACCGAAAAGACCTTCGATAGCAATAGAGATTTTATTTCACCAGGAAAAACAATGACGAAATGCCATTCAATCATCCAACTTTTCTGCGTTAAAGATTAGTACTTCCATCAAAAAGGACATTCTAGAAAACAATTGAAAGAATTTAGAATAAGCACATCCATATATGAATGGGAGCACGAACCAGCCAAGCAGCCAAACGGAATCCTTGTTTCGCAATTTGAAGTTCGATCTATAAATGACGCATTGCCAAAATCAAGATTGAAAAACTGATAGAATACGGAAACATGACTTACCAGAGGAACAGCATCGTCATAGTAACTGGTCGAACAAAGGTCCGAAAAGTTAATGTAGGTAAAGACAAATTCCTTGAAAGACCTCAAGCACGAAACGAGGCTGATAAACAGAAGGATGACATACACAGTTCAGCTCATTGGCTTCCACGGCCCAGATGTGGGGACATTCTAAGGGGGTCGTCGCCCGAGAAGCCAGGTGGCCCTTAATGTCAGTTTCAACATTCCTCTTTTCCCTACGTGCTAGCTCTGTAGTCGACGAGCAAGAAATCCAATCGGATGTCAGATTCGCGTACGCGCCGGACTACGTAGGACGATTGGCATGTTGGTACTACGATGCTTTAAGACCCACCTTGATTCGAGTGGCAAGGGTGTTCGCCCACGACGATACAGAGTTGCCAAAATCAGCCTTCAAGCGTTTGTTGATAATACCAGAATCTTAGGTTTGTCAGGAACGAATGACATGGGATAATACAACGCGCGCACCCCAGACCTAAATAGACAGGTTAGGCGTTTAGGAAGATCGAGGAAACGAGGTCTCACAGCATGACTAACAGAGGCAGGTGCGCGTTTAGTACCGGGATACGTATGAAAGTGTGTAGACTCACAGATTAGTACTCAAACCGCTGCATTTCGCGCTGATGTCGTTGCCTCCCAGTTCGAAGGCCTCGACATGAAGGGGCTGCCCGATGTCCCCAACGAACTGTGCGCAATGCACTTGGTCTGATCACTGTAAAAGGAAAAGCAAGACACGCACGTGGTCTAAAGAACAAAATCTCGTCAGAAAACTAGTACTAGTAGAACTCTTTCGAAGAAAAGACATATTCACCTATGAATTTCAGTGCCTCGTAAACTTGCTCGTGAGATAACGAGTCGTCGATTACTCTGCTGGTATAGTTTGCTGATGCGAGTTAGCAGTGACGGTAGAGAACAGGCTGAGGGAACGAACCAATGGCAGTGACTAGTATCAGATATAAGCAAAAGTTCTAGCATGAGTAGTCCTACTTACGAATGCATCTTCCGTTCGAGCAGTCTCTCGACTCGGATACAGAACAAGAGCTAGGAGGATTGTCTAATAAAAGCGTTGAGCACCGGGGATGCTTGACAAATGCCTTTGTATTATTTTTACCTTCTGCATCCACGAAATGCAAAGGCGAAGACCTGTTGTTGTCAGAGTGAGATCATGTGTCAGCCTAGAATGGGGATTACTGACCATGAAAATGCAGACTCAGACCGTATACTATCGGCCCACTTTGAAGCATGTCAGCGCCACAAGCATCAGGCTACAAAGAAATGTACCGTTGCTGCAGAACTGAGCGTTTCTCCACTGGCAAGTGTAGATGCTACAAAAGAGGACGCTTTGGATGCAAGGAACTAAGACGGGTGTCATTTGTACTGTGCATACTTTAGTAGAATTTATGTAAACCTGTTGAGCAATTGCACTAGGCATAGACCTGAGGTCAATGATGGCGAGAGCAGAGGATGCTTGCATACCCGACGGCCTCATGTCCGCTAGCTCCCCAGCCGTAAACCTTGGGGAGGAGGGAGACGATAACAGCAGCAAGAGCACTAACGCACTTCATAGTGAAGAAGAACAAACGAATACCAATGACCAGGCCCAAGAGCCGCCAATTTATAGATTTCTGAAGGCTAAAATTAGACCAAGAGAACACGATGGAGACGTATGGACTGCCACCATGTGGATGTTGCGTTAATTATGGACGCCGCGTAAATAGGAATAGATGTTGGATGGACCCTCAGATCCATTTTTGCTTCGCAAGGACGGCATGCTTGGATTGACAAATCAAAGAAGAATCTTGACACCGATTTTTGAGTCGTTATATGACGAGAACATTATACTGCCGACCGGTACAGTGAGAAGAATGGGAGGGTATCCTGAAGCATGAAATTTACCGCTACGGTTCTAATTTGTTAGGGCACTTCCCAAGCGCACATGTACACGAGCACGTTGAAACGTGCAAAGATAGAAGCAGAGAGAACAGAACGCCCATATGGGCTGATTTAGGTTGATTTACACCGGCTGACCCGAGAGCCATTGTCGGTCCAGACGAACGTGCCTCTAGCAATCTCGACATGTGAGCATACAACATAAGTTTGTTACGCGCGGTCTCTTGACAGGAACGCATGATAACTTCGGGAATTCCGATATGGTGATTGGCTGGCAAGTTGTGAAAGGGTGTGGTTGTGACGCTGTAATTGCCCCCGGCAATCTTATCTCTGCCTCTTACCGTTCCTTATCATTTCTCTCCGGTTTAAACGCGTTCAGTCACTTCTCAAGGCTTTGATAGCGCCGACATGACAAAAATCAATACCATCACGGTATCTCCCCCGTTGATCAATACGTCCTGCGCATGGGCAGGCGATTTCAATCAACTTGAAGCCCTGTATAATTGTCCATTCACCGGTGCAGTTACTACTCGTACGGCATCGCTTCATGGATACAAAGATAACGAGAACTGTGCAGTCAGTAATATGACTCTGTGTATCGTTTCGTTTTCGCTGACAGTGCTGTAGGTCGCGTTCTCAATAACATCCATCACGTCGCTCAACTCTTACGGTTATTCCCCTTATCCTCTATCCTACTACATTTCGTGGATAGAAACCATCTTGAAGACTGCATCGCCTAATCCGCACAAGGCCTTCATCATAAGCGTGACTGCCTCTACTTGGCCAGAGCTTGAATCTGTTATCGCCGCAATCCAGTCTCTTCGAACCAGTATTGGGGATCGTCAACCTGGTGGCTCCCGGATCGCCGTCGAGCTCAACACGAGCTGCCCAAACATCCCCGGGTCCCCACCGAAAGGATACATATTCGATGATCTCCGGGAGCTGCTGAATGGACTCGAGATGGAGAATCGCCGAGACCCTACGCTGACCATCGGCCTCAAGCTCCCACCGTATGTGTATCAACAGCAGTTCAAGGATGTGCTAAATGTCCTGGCCGACTTTTCTACCGCTACGATGGGTGCGGGGGGCGTGATGAAGAAACGCAGTCCGTTTGCATTTTTGACGTGCACAAACACGTTGGGGAACTCTTTGTTGTACCCTGATCAGGTGGCACACAACGAGAGTACCAGTGGGAGCGACTTTGCCGTTCCGACTGGATTGGGTGGGCTGGCTGGCGAGTCATTGCATGCTCTTTCGTTAGGAAACGTGTTTACGTTCCACAAACTACTGCATGTAGACAGGGCCAAGGAGTACGATGGGCTCGAGAAGATCGTGATTATCGGTGTGGGTGGTGTGACAAGTAAGCAGGCTGTGGAGAGGATGAATAGAGCGGGCGCTGAAGTCGTTGGGTGTGCAACGTTCCTCGGAAAAGAGGGAATCAAAGCCTTCCAGATACTGTCGAGAGAATGAACGGTGAATGCGCTATTAAATAGGTATATATATATATATATATACATGTATGTTATGTTAAATAGGTTGTACATGTGTTTAGTAATATAGTATTTGGGTTGAATAAATCTGTGCAAGATACGCTGAAAAAAGGTTCCATGGAGCATAGTTGAGGTTATACAAAAGATGAGTATTCAAATATTTAGAAAAAAATGAGAACTCGTTACAATAATATCAAAATGTTTTGGGAAGAAGTGAACGTTGCAAACGGCCATTAAGTCCACACATAATCAAAGATAACAGTTGTCAAGTGCGCCATTGCCATACTAGAGTAGATGATTAAGCACGTATACCAGCTACAGTGCAGAGACACTTACCTCGTCGTGAGTGTTGTTGTACTGATTTGAAGACATAGCAAGAGAATACTGGAACCCAGAGATGGGTGAGCATTTTATGAACTGCCAAAATAGCGAAATGTGTTCACCATAAGTTCTGAGGCTGGGCTTGGGAAACCAAAAAGCCCATCATCGAACTCGGGAGGCATCTGAAGTCAACGTTGAGAAAGAAGGAGGAGGTAACGAATGCGAGGACTCACCGAATATTGTGACTCGAAGGAGGCGGCAAAGAGAGTGTTTGTGTCGGAGCCCATAGAAGGAATCGGGGCATTGAACTGATGTGTCAATGCCTCTGTCTTCCACCCCTGCGATCCGGTAGTACTATGCTGAACAGGTGGAGGAGAGGGCGCGCTCTTTCGAGATGCGCGCTTCTTCTTCGGAGGCTTGACCTTAACCTGAGTTTGAGGCGTCGCTGCGATCGACGACATCTTCCTCACGGCCTCCTCAAGTTCCGAGCCCGTCTTTCCAGTATGCAACAAAACTGCAATGTCTTTGGACCTAGTTATGTCCGCTTGCGTGTTTCGTTTCGTGTTCCTCTTCTTGGGCGGGGTGGTACGCTTCTGAGGATGGTAGGCGTAGTCCGGATAGAGTTTTTGGTGGGCTTCCTTTTCGACCTCGGCACGCCGATAATATTCATTCTTCTCTTCCTCTGACAGTTTCCTCCACAACTCTCCAATGATCCTAGAAAGGTGACGACTGTCATGTTCGGTGCCCTTTGGAATCAGCTTCTTGTCGATGACGTCTTTACGGAAGATGAAGTAGCAGTTCAGGGGTCTTGGAATCTTACGAGAAGAGCCTGTGGCGAATGTGGACGCGTCGGACTGAGAAGAAGAGGATGGAGATGGAGTGTCGCTGAACTCGGGTGCCAGAGGCGCGACCCCTGGGTACGGAGACACAGTGACGTTGAAGACATACTGCTGAGGCCGAAAACCTTGGCTAGCATGGACGTAGGCTGGAAACAGAGCGTCAGTACAGAGTCCGGCGCGTAGTAACAAAGTCCACGTACAGTGCTCGGTAGAGTACTGGGGAGCGGGAACAAAGCTGGACATGCTGAGGGCGATGAGGACAATGCAAGGAGACAAAGAAAAGAGCAGTCGGGTCCCCCGGCTTTATATTCGCGAACATAGGCATTCTCGACATTACGATCACAGAGAGAGGTGGAATGCGATCAAAAACTACACGCTACGAGCACATCGTGGCAGCACCCTTTCACATTCCCCTTTGAACGTCACAAAATTACCTTTTATAGTGATATCCCCGTAGAATCTGCTGAAGGGTGCTCGTATAGAGTGGTATATGAAATTCCTGTGAAAGACTGTGAAAGGGTGGACCTGAAATAACTGTGCACAAAATCAAATGAGAAACGTGATCTTGCTCCCAAATTCAGACTTCGTCGGGTCGGTTCCCGCTCCCGACGATCGCTCTTTTGGAGTGTGACTCGGGACCCCTGTTTGATTACTTAAAGAGAGCATCGAGACCCTTACCTCTCATTTCCCTCCATCACCATGCCTCCCCGCAAGAAAGCTGCTGCCGACGGTACTGCTGCCGCTCCGACACGCTCTAGTACGCGTATCAAGGCTAATAGCAAGGACGGCGCAGCAGCACCAGCCAAGCCAGCCTCCCAAGCCAATAACAAACGGGCGCTTAGCCCCGAGGACGAGGACGATGAGGATGACGCCCCACCTGCGAAGAAACCAACTAGCAAAAAGGCAAAAAAGGCAAAGCTGGATGACGAGGACGAGACTGTCACGAAGGATGATGAACCTGAGAAGATCGTTACGGTGCGTTCCTTCTAACACTGTTGACCGTTGATGGCGCTCAAGGTCATCTTAGGTGTTGAAAAGGGGTGCAGCTCCTGTTGATCCCCAGTCGGGGAAAGTTCGTACGTATATACTTGCAGTCTATAACTTCACGCACGTAATATCAACGTCGACAAGATTCACATCAAGTATATTCAAATGATGAGGGCGTCTGGGACGCCATGCTCAACCAGACTGATATCAGTGGTGGTTCCAACAAGAACAAGTATTACTCTCTGTCCAAGCCATCCTCAAGGGTCTTGATGAGTTCGCCAGGTTTTATGTCCTCCAGTTGCTCCACCCTATAAGCTCCAATTCTGCATGTGTGTTGTACACTCGTTGGGGACGCGTGGGAGAGAACGGACAATCCCAATGTAAAGGTCCCTTTCCTCCTGCAACAGCCGTCAACGAGTTCAAGAAGCAATTCAAGTCGAAAGCTGGTGTCGCCTGGGAAGCCCGAGTCGGCATGCTTCCTAAGAAAGGTACCGTGGTTGTACACAACCTGGAATCATCTTGACCGTCTCCTCAGGGAAATATGTCTGGCTGGAACGTGACTTTGCTGAAGACGATGAGAAAGACGAAGACGTTAAGGCTGGAGTGAGCAAGGCCCCTGCGGAGAAGGAGAAACCACCTATTCCCGACTCTGTTCTTGCGCCACAGGTTCAAGATTTCTGCAAACTTATCTTCTCCACCAGCATTATTGACGCAACATTGTCGTCCATGAATTATGATGCCAGGAAACTTCCTCTAGGAAAATTATCCAAGGCCACTATTTTGAATGGGTTCAATGCTTTGAAGACACTCTCTGAGGTCCTAGACGACCCTAGCTGTGATGCCGTAAAGGAAAATGGCGGCAACCAGCGCGCAGCTATCGAGCAGCTCACTGGCGCATACTACTCGTACGTAACATGGCCCCAAGGCGGCTTCAACTAACTCTGGCAAATGCGCAGAATCATTCCTCACGACTTTGGCCGACAGAGACCAATGGTTATTGACACTAAGCAAAGATTGCAAAGGGTCAGTTGTTTTTGTTTAATTCTCAAATTGTCTGACGGTGCGTGGTAGGAACTTGAAATCGTGGACGCCCTCGGCGACATGGAGATCGCGTCCAAACTCATCGCATCATCTAGCAACACCGACGCTGATGGGGTGCCCATTAATCCCCTCGATGCGCAATTCGACTCTCTCGGTCTTTCCAAGATGGAGCCTCTCGCTAGGGATAGCCAGGAGTTCATAACCCTCGAAGCCTATGCCCGGGATACGCACGGTGCCACCCATAGCCATATTCACGTCGAGGTGCAACATATCTACAGAATCGAAAGGTTTGTTTAAGGTAATTCGTGTCCCAACCGTGCTAACTTGCTGTTAGACCTGGGGAACAAGAAAGATGGGAACAAGGAGGGTTCCACAAGGTGGATCATGGAGAACGCTTGCTGCTGTGGCACGGGTCGAGGACCACAAACTTCGCCGGCATCCTTTCGCAAGGGCTTCGTATTGCTCCTCCGGAAGCACCGGCAAATGGCTACATGTTTGGTAAAGGTGTTTACTTTGCGGATGTAAGTTCTTCAGCCATGATCTTTTGGACATCGCTTATAATTTGACGCAGATGATGTCCAAGGTCGGTGTGGCATATTTCGTGGCTGTGTTTGATACTAAACTAGTGCTTAGTCTGCCGGATATTGCTATCCAGGGTCAGTAAATTTCCCTGGTGGAAACGCTTGCTGAAAGATTCGTATCATAGGTTGAGTAACAACACCGGTATCCTACTTCTTTGCGAAGTTGCAGCAAAACCCTTCTATGAGCGAACTGATGCTGTATGCATCCTTTCTCGGAAACAAAATCCGTCTTACTGATTACCCCGTCGCGTATAGGAATACAATGCAGACCAGAGCTGCAAACAGAATAACAAAAGGTCGTTTCACCTGCTCTGGCTCTTGGGCCTCTCATTGATTCTTTGGCAGGGCTACGAAAGGTTTGGGCAGAACTCAGCCTACAAAATGGAAGGACGCTGGGAAGTCTTTGGGTTACGATGAACTCATCGGCTGCGAGATGCCCGATGGAGGAGGATCCGATGTAACTACCGGTGGCTACCTCCAGTATAACGAAGTGCGCGATTTTTTGCCTTTTCGAGCGATGCTTGTTGACAGTGTGTTTTGTGTAGTACATCGTGTACGATGTCGCTCAGATTCGTACGAAGTATCTGCTGATGGTGAAGATGTAAAGCTTGATTATTTGAACTGTAATCGGACTGGCGTCGATATGATTTTATTAACGTCTATTCATTGTAACTTGCTCTATGTTAGTGCGATAAAGTGACCATTGTTCTATAAGGTATGTCGTTCGTCGATTACACCTCCCGGTGCCCTCCTAAAAGATCGCGACAAGCCAACATTCCAATTATTAGTGACATGGTCTCTAGATAAAGCAGTACACTATCAGCAAAGATTATAGCATTTAACATACGTCACCAAGGCGGATGCTTCACCCGTACTCCTTCTGACTTGTATAATCCCTGCTCCACAACAAGCCTGGCGCTAACAACACACCCCTCTAGCAGCGGAATCCCAGGATATGCAAACGACCCACACATCCAAATGCCTGGACTGCCATCTCGGAGTCTCCCTGCACCCTGTAATCTCCCCAGCGACTCTTCGCGCGGACCCCGCCACCTTGTCCTACCTTCCACATGGTATAACTCCTTTAGTGCTTGTTTCGACTCTAGCGTCACAACGGCCCGCTCCAGTCTCGCCACACTCAATATCCGTCCTTCTCTAGGTTCGATGATTGGGTCTGTGGACTGGAAAACAGCAGGCAGATGAGCAGGAAACCCTGGTGGTCGGGGGAGAACGTGAGTCGCCATGGTATATGATGATGGTAGACATCGTGATGATACTGTCTTTGGGGGTATTAGGGTGTCTGCTCGGGTATAAATCAGATTCAAGTCCCTATGGTCCCGCGTATCGTCGGGGAGAAGGGTTTCGTCCGTGTGGTTGATAACGAGAGTAGAATGGTATGTGAATTTCTCCAAGCAGTGCATCTGCTCCTCGACTGCTTCCCTTCTTTTGCCAGTTAATGATGACGCGTAGGACGACAAAAGTGGGACTGCACGGTTTGCTTGGGTAGCGAAAATAATATGATGGAAACCAGTATATGTCTTGGCACCGTCAGCGTTGGTGCAATTTACGGATACCAGATCCGGGTTGTCTGGATCGGCTTCGATGGAGGAAATGAGATGTGATAGATGGACATTCCGAACCGTGGATACGAGTCTCCCGACGACGTCCCGAACGCCATCGACAACCACATAATGGTGTGTGCCCAAGGTAAGCCAGATATAATCTGATAGAGGTGTGAATAAGCATGATGAATGCAAAATAAAAACAATGCCATGCCTAGAAATTCTTCGACGGGATGGTCAAGAATCTCCTGCTCCGGTGCCGTACATACAGCCGAGAATAAGGGCACCATAATAGTATGAGTGAATTCTGTCCAAACTTCCTCAAAGCCTGTCCATTTAGCCAGGAGACTCGTAGGATGAGTCTTCTTGACCCAGTCTTTGTAGGTCATAGTTTCGACTTCCGATGATCGCACCATGGGAATAGAGAGCCACAGCAGTCTTAGGTAGCAGAGAAGAATATGGATAGACCAAATGACAAATAATCCGATCGTCCAAGCTTTCGAGGCTGCTTGCAGTGCCAACCCCAGGTCTGGCTTGCTCTCGTCCAACGTTGAAGGCATGCTTACACCGCCAAGCCCTGAGGAGCCGTTGTATATCATTTCTGCAGTTATTTGCCGGCCCTTCTCCGACATGGAAAGGAGGGAGAAAGAGTACGAAAAATTTCGTGGTGTGAACTTGACACCGAGGCGTTTGTAGAGCGCCATTAGCTGCTTGTAATATCCTGGAATGGTACAATCAGTACATTGATGGTACGCTACACCAGCTCGAACGGTGGTCACCTCCTTGGAAAGAGCGCATGGGAACGTCTACTCTCCAGTCTTGGTCCTGGCCTGGTAGGGGCAAGGATATGGAAGAACTGTCCATCCCCAAGGTCGACGTCTAAAGCATAATGGTAAGATTTATGTACATGCCGTAGGATACTGGTACAGGCCTTTTCGAACAAATGAACATCAAAGCAAATGTCCCCGTCCTGAGAGTGCTTGGTCAGAAGGTAGGCAGCGGTCAGGCCAGCGAGGCCACTGCCTATTATAGCAACTTTGACCGTCCTCGGCATCGTTTGCACGCTGGACAATCTTTTACGCTCGGGAATAAGTATTGTCAACGTAAAGTGAGTCGATATTGGAGTCGTCCCATCCCACGGCGGTGAGATTTATCAGTTTTTGTACATCATGATTGACCGCGTCACGATCAGCGAACTGCCACGCAATTTTACCCGAAAGATCGGTTATCACGGCCTTCCGGATGCGGAAAAAGATGAAATGCGAAGATAGATAACGGATCACACAAAATATATATTCAACTCGTTCGTCTTCGCTTGTCCCTATGGTCCCGGTCGTCAAGACGCTCTCGAGAACGCCGCCGCTCTCTGTATCGATAATCTCTGTCGTCATCATATCCGTCGGGTGAGCGACGTGGGGATCGAGACCTGCGCCTCGAGCCCCGAGAATCATAATCATAGCGGTCACCCGGTTTACTTCTGTCATGTCGATGGTAGCCGTCATCCTCTCGACGTACTCCTCGGTCATAATTCTCACGTCCACGGTCTCTACTTCGGCCGTCATTGTCGTCTCGGACGTCATCATGCGATCGCCATGACTGTCCGTCTCGCGGTGGTGGAGGTGCTCCCCATGTGCGCGAACCTCCCGAAACGTTGTTCGAGCCTGTTCCAGGACCACGACCTGACAGTGGTAGTGGTCCCGTATTTTGTGGACAATCTGGAGATGATAATGAGGAACGATAATGACAGGACAAATGAAATTACCTTTTTTCAAATGTGGTCCACCGCATAAGAAGCAACCCCCTCCCTCAAGGGATTTTCCCCCGGCTTGAACTGGTGCATTTCCACCAAAGCCCCCAGTAGGGACCGTGGTATCTTGATCCAATAAGTGTGTATATTTCGTTCGGCTCCTCTTCCCAAAGTTTTTGACTTGCATGACTTTGGGTAAGGATGAGACGTCAACCGTAGATGTGGTAGCTTCCGTGTAGTCATGGCGCTTGAGAATCTCCTCGTCCTATTGCAACGTCAGAGAAGTCTAAGTCTACCTCTCAAGAAAGTATTGCGTACCTGGTGGAAAGCACCTTTGTGCCAATACTTTTGAAGGAACTTCTGCTGGCCTTTCGGCTTCTCGTCCCGAAGCTTTTGGGCGTGCTCAAGGTCCTCCTTTAGACGCTGTGCCTCGGGTAGGGCTCTACGACGTTCAACTTCTGCCCGCTCCTCTTCTCTGCGAATCTCTTCCTCCTTCTCCTTCTTAATTCGCCCAAGTTCGCGTAGTCGCCATGCCTCAAATTCGCCAGGAGGATCCAAGCCGTCGGTGTCATCAACATCTGGAATATCATCCTCCTTCTCCTCTGAATGTCCGATGAGTTACAAAAAAACGTCAGCATGAAAAACTCACTTTCTGCTAACTCCCGCCTGATGCTTTCCGCTACAAGGTCGTGGCTCTGCTTTTTCCGCTCTTCAAGTTCTAACTCCTTCTTCCTAAGAACCTCTTCAGAATCTGCAGCTAAGGCTTCTTTTTCTGCAATCGTGACTCGATTCCGTCTGTACTTGAAGGTGTTAGCCTGAAGGCAGGATATTTCCATTGAATACGCACTTTGGAACGAAGACGGGCCGCAGTTGAAGCTTTGGCTTTTCATCCTCCGAGTCTGTCTCGTATTCGCTAGACTATAGATTAATTTGTAAGAACGCTGTAGTAGGGGAAATATATGACAGACTTCGTCGGATTCCTCCTTCAGTTGACCAGGCTTCGTGTCCTCTTCAGACTCCTCTTCTTCGGATTCTGCATGTCATGAGTTCAGTAAAAGTTAATTCCAAGCACAATTAGAAAGCAAACCTTCTTCGTCCTCCAGGGCCGTTCGACCAGACTCGTCTCTGCCTGCAACGATGACCTTTCCATCTTTCGAGATATTGACATCTTTCAAAGCCACATTCATGGATTTTATCCGAGCCTTTGGGACATTTTGAGCGGTCGGCAGGTCTTCATCGTCTTCCTGAACGATGTCTTGCTCTCCTCCAATGAGAACATCGCCTTCCTCCTCAACTTCGGGCGCCTCCTCGTCAGATTCGGAGTCAACCTCAGCAACACCCTTAGGTGCTTTTCCTTTCCAATATCGTGCAGCGGGACGTGCGAGGCGGGGGGCTTGTTTGCGAGGAGCCGAAGACATGGAGGAACGATGACAGGGAGCGCGTTGTTTGTTTCGCAGGCCGATGGCACACTCACTTCGTTGAGGTTCGGGCCGACTAGGCCGCATCTCATAGCATCAGCATATCATCCACCAGTGTCTAACGTCCATTTTCAAAAGGCCGCCTGCTATTGATACGTATCTGACGTCTTCCTCTCTCTACTAGGGCAATGAAAGGTACACTTAGGCTGCGATCTATGTGTTGCTGATGTCACCTCTCGGATGGCCCAATAAGCATAATGAATATGAATTCGATGCCAGGTTTCAGGATCAAACGGGATATCGTTATGCAATTGGGGTTAACGTCCAATACTAGGGGATTGCCTACGGCTGAATTTCGGGTTCACCGTCACCCGAGAAATTTCCAACACTCCGTCGTGTTCAAAACATCTTCAGTGCACTGGGGCTTATTGCTGTGAGCCCGGCTTTCTACACACTTAGTAGCTCAAAGGGATAGGATCTTCGCCAACAGAACAGATTTTTGAAGTCGCATTTGAGAGCAGGGCAATTTCAGGTTAAGTAAACACGTACGTCTTCCATGGCACCGGTATGGTCCGACCATTCTTCGACTCGGATCACTCACTGGCTCCTTTTAACCTGGCCTATAAGAGAAGGGAGCTTATGTTTCATCGCTCTCATACTATCCTCAGTTCAGTATTTCTTTTGCCTTCTCTTGGATCCTTTGAAACGCCTCTTGGTTAGGACTCTCAAGGGTGTTGTTAAAGAACAAGACCTTCACTATGAAAGCAGTGGTCTTAGCTGTTGTTTTTGCTGTTCTATCGGTTCTAGTTCAGTCAAATGGTGCAAATTCCTCATACCTTTCGTGTTGGTAGCTCTGACCTTGCATTAGAGTCCGTTCCGGTAAATTATGGCATCGTCGTCTTTCCAGCTTTCCAGGCGCTTGATGTCTTTGGGCCCCTTGACGCTTTAAACATGCTCTCTTTCGCATACCCACTCAACCTCTTCATCATCGCTGAGACCCTCGACCCTGTCACCACCAAGCCGCAGTCGAGTCAGATGAATTTCATGAATTCCAACTTCTCCGAATCCATCGTACCTACCCACACCTTTGACTCGCCGCCTGAATCGCTCGATGTGCTCATCGTGCCGGGGGGCCTTGGCACACGCGCCTCGGGTCTTAATGCCACCATTGATTATATCGCTGCTACTTACCCATCTCTGCAATATCTGGTTACAGTTTGCACTGGCGCGACTCTTGCGGCGAGAGCAGGTGTACTTGACGGGAAGAACGCTACTACCAATAAAAAATCATGGGAGTGGGCGACGTCGCAAGGACCTAACGTCAACTGGATTGCGCATGCTCGATGGGTAGTTGATGGCAATATCTACACTACGTCTGGTGTCAGTGCTGGCATTGATGGGACATATGCTTTCATAGAGGCCGTGTACGGTGCTGACGCAACGGAATCTGTAGCCAATTCGATGGAGTATGTGAGGGAGACTAATTCGAGTTGGGACCCATTTGCAGAATTATACGGTTTGTAAGAAACGTTGTTTGCTACATATCTAGGTACATCTGCCAATTGAGTTGCTGGTTTCCATGTTCTCTTCGGTATCTATGGGGACTCGACGATGGGCTCCTCTTAGTGAAGTATACATACAGGATGTTGTTGACTAGGTACAATAACCTTTCCGTTGTGATCCCCACAACACTTTCAAGCAGGGCACTATGCTCATAGTAAAAGGTGAGGTATTCACTTCATCGCCGTCCACATAATAAATATTAAAGTTAAACTGCCTAATTTCCTATACACGGTGTGAAGGTAACTAGTTAGGTCCATTCAATTGGCCAGCTACTGGTACAGTAAGTGTACGACGGATGTGCATGATAAAGTACCAGGCTACTTATTATTTATACCACCTAATAAAAATACTTAATATCATTATTAGAATATCGTTACCTTCAGTACTTCGCGCGCCGCCTCTTTGCTTGTATCCACCACCTCCGAACCATTGATAAATAAACAGTTATGATCACTGTCGATAGACTAAGAACAATCCCAAACCCATGAAACGGATAACCTGGAAACAGGCCGTTTGCTAGGATGGTGACATTCATTGACGCAACACCTGTGAGATGACTAAGTCAGGGCAGAAAGAAACCTCGATGGTGACTGCTCACCGATCAATGGTTGGAGACATAGGGACCCGACACTGACGATTGTCACGATGATGAGAGATTTATCCGTGCCTGATTTGGTGAGAGCGATTGATGCACGCAGCTGGGAGAGGTAGATGGGATGGGATTGGCTAAGCACACGCTCATAATGCGCTAACGAATGCTGCAAAGTGAGAATGTGATCTAAGCAGAATGCCAATTAGGGCGAAGTCATATGTCCGAGCGCAGCATAAACGTACCCTGGATATCTCCCATGTAAATAGCGATTTCACCATCCTCTGCCTTCTTGTCCTGTCCAGACAACAATCGCTTTCGTATCTGCAACACCACGTCGGCCTTGGATGCCAATAAGCGTGTCAACGAGGTGACGAGGCGTCGAGTTGTAGCCATACGGCGCAAGGTCGAAGCAGTAGGACTCGTGGAGGTAGAGGTTTCTGGCGCAGAAGCTATTCGATTCTGTTTGAAAAGACGCTTTATCCTTCTAAACATGATGGGAAGCGGTTGATGAGGAAGAGAAAATCTAGTTCGGAGGCTGACATCTTTCGGTTGTAGTGGTTTTTCGGAGAATTCTTCCTTTTCTTTGTCGAAGCTATGTATCGTCACAGAGGGTGATATCGCAATGTTGACCTGTTCTATCAGTGGTCGATGGGAATTGTGGCGAGCTCCAGGATGTAAAGAGAAAACAAGTTCTTCAATCGCGACCACTTCCTTTTCAATCTCTTCCAAAAAGGGGGAAAAAGAATCGACGATCGAATCCAGCAGACCGTGAGCAATCCAAGCTGCAAATAGTGCCTTCAGCAAACGTTGTCCCGTTATGACAGCTTATACTCACCCGAAGACAGACTACGGACTTCTTCCAACATGAACAGACGATTTCTAACGCGATTGATGTGCTCGGATATGTCTGTGAAATGGAACTGCGGTACATGAGCCCTCTGCAGATAAGCACGAGGTATCAAAACATACTGTACAGACACCTTCATTGAACACAACAATGTAAACATTGGCCTCCCCTAATACTCCTTCTTCAGGCCGACTGTATCCAATTTCTGTGCTTTGATCAAGTCTTTTATGGAGGCCGCCATCTCGAATAACCACGCTTTCAATCGCTCTGAAGGAAATGAAGTAATAGCCGAGTTTGGGGAAGAGTTCGAGCTTCTCTCTTGGATCCTGGTGTAAAATGTTTTCCAGAGTCAGTGGATGGAGATGAAGCAGCTTGCCGATGTCATGCATGTCAGCAGAAGTTGGGGAGGCGACGTCGAGGAACCAGGTTTTGGGAGAAGGGTCGTTAACAATGCTTGTCGATGTCATTGGTGGCTCCCGCTGTTTCCCCTTTCTCGGTTTTCGAACTTCTTTGAGGTCGGGGAAGGAAGCCGGACGATTGGGGATGGTGCTTTCAGGAAGCATGACGCCCTGACGAGATGAAGGTATATCAAGTGCCCTCGTAAGACGAGCTCGTTCTTGGTATCGCCGAGCTTTTGAAGCCTTCTTCAAGGCCGTATCGAGTTGACTGAGGACAGATGATAACGAGGAAGTGAGGGTGAATTTCTGTGTTTGCTGAGAGCCGTCCTGGCCATCATCTTGCACGAAGATGCGATACGCAGGAGACAAGTATAGGGCAAACTGGCGTGGAACGAGCCTCGACTCCTCCCGGGCTTTGATCAAGCTTATTCGTGCCGCAATGTCCCGCTCGGACTGGTCGCTATGGAGGTTGCCCATGCTCTGACGACGCCTACGCCGCCGAGCCATCTGCGAGCGTGAAAGGGTGACTATTGAAGACTTGGACGAGGAAGAAGTCGTGGAGGAAGATGAGCTACTGACTCCGCCCCGGGCCCAGCGAGAAATTGCATGTTCTACGACCGCTGCGATTGTGCCCAGCCGAGCGGCACCAAAACTTGAGCCGGATGACGAGGACGACAAGGACATAATGGATTCTGGCCTCGGCGACGGAGAAGGTAATGGGCCTCTGTAAATGTCGCCGTCATCGTTCAAGTCGTCGTTGTCACGAGGGGATACGGTGGCGGGCACCAGCAATGGAGACATGGTCAGTCAGCTTTCCTGTAGTCGTGGCGACGCCGAAGACTACAGTGGGCGGTGACTATGCCGTTGAGGTTTGGTGGCGCATGTGTGAACTGAACTAAGCAAAAAACAGTATCATGAAATAAATTCATGGTGGCCTAAGTTTAGATATTCCCACGCTACTCTACTCAATCCTTGGTCGTTTGTTAGGCCTTCCTGCACCTTCGCTTAGCGCGTTACGTTTACCGAATGGCCTAGATTTCTTTTCTTTCTGGCCGATTTTCTTCTGTTTCTTTTCAATCGCCTTTTTTACTGCACGTTCTCCGCCACTTTGGGCTAGGGCATCATATCTAGCATGCATCAATAGTTTCTTCTTGTCGGCTAGAAACAAAGTTTTGGTGAGATGAACCCATTAGAAGCCTTGGAAAAGCAGCGTACCTTCTTTCATCCACCAGGATCCTTTACCCTGTCCCTGCTTCTCCTTCTCCTCCTTCTTCAGCTTATCAAGGGCTGCTCGGTCCACCTCTTCTCGCCTATCTTTATTAACGGCACTTTCGGCTCTCTTGACCGCTAATTCCAGCCGTTCCACCTCATTTTCCCTCTCGGAGCGAAGATGCTTAGGTGATGACACCAAGAGCTTCCTAGCACGCTTCAAGTTTTCTCGTAAGATCTGCAACTCGTCTTTGTGCGCCTTAGTTAAGAACGCATAATTGTGGCGGTATTTCTCCTCTGAGAATTCGCCTGATAAAGGTAAAAATCTTGGATCCCGTGGTTGCTAACAAGTGGAGGATTCGGTTTTCAAGTACTGCAAAATTAAAATTACGCACGATTGTTTTCACTTCAACAACGGTGCGTCTCCGAGTTACCGGTTTCTTAGAGGTCATTTCCATGGGACTATCTGATATTTCAACACGATGAAATCGACTCTAAGATGAGCGTCACGTACGCATGCTTGTTTGGCCGTGGCGCGGCTTTAGGCCTCTCGTGGTCGGATCGTTCCTTGTTTTTCCTCTTGCTTGCGAGGGTATTAGACGTTGATTCTACTTCCCCGTCATCGCTTTCTTCTTCAGAGTCAGAAATGGTTTCCGCTTGTACTAGAGCACGTTGCGCAGTACGGAGGGAGCCCATGGATAGAGAAGATATATCTGAAGCAAACCGTTTATTCAGAACGAATCACCAATAGAACTCGCACTTGCCATCATGGATTTCTTTCCTCTTTGTTTACATCAGACACCAAAAAAGTCAAACTTAAAGCAACATACCGGTTTCGAAGGTCCTGGACGAGCCATTGCCTCCTCCCACTCATCGTCAACCCATTGTACTGCTCTTGGTGCATCAGCGTCTTCCATATCATCCTCAGCTTCATCCTCGGAAATTCTCTCCTGCGGTTCATCCTCTGAATCAGCATCCTGCTCCTCCGAGTCATCCTCAGACGAAGGATCCGAAGAATTCTGTATGATCTCGTTTGCTTTGCGTGTTTTCTCTAGTGACTTTTGCATCTTCGCAGTTGGATCCTGCAGATTGGGCGACGGCTTTGCATTGGATTGTGATAATGGTGTGGTCGAAGGACGGTTTCGACGAGGAGGCGGTCGAGAAGCTGGCCGTGTACGACGGGGCATTTAGAGAGCAAGAAAGAATGAAAATCTATTTCAAATTTGATCTTCCTTCCAGTGACGTCACGTGCCCTAATGAATACAACATAACCCAGGGATCTCCGAGTCCCAGCTTCACAGTAACGTTATCGGCAGGTTATCGAGATTTGGATTTCTTTACTCTAACAGTCGGTATTTGAGGCATAAGTATAGAAAGCCTTCCGTTCCGTTCATGATCCAAGTCGGAATTTTCTCGCACGTTTCGTTGAATTACCTTGCTGAAAAGCAAGGTCAACCCACAGTCATAAAGTTTCCTTTTCCGTCGTCTGCCAAAAGCAATTAAGTACAAATAGGTGGCTGTGCTCAATCCTGCAGTCCTCTTCCTACTCTCGCATCTGCCAAAACCAAACAAATACAACGTAGCCGTGCAGCATGTCAAGACTCAGTACTCAGTACTCAGCCGTTTACCATCTCGACTCTATCGCACCTGCAGCACTAGCTTCAAAAAGTCGCCTCGCACATTGAATATTGAACGTTTGAACCTGAACATCTGGGGAATTGCTTAAGAATTGGATCGTGAGTGACTAATACCTTCTCCGTATTTTCCCTTCGCTGATGCTCATGCGTTGCACTTTATAGTCTGTTCCACTTACGAGGACTAGTACTACTCGCTGTGCTGTCCTAGCACAATTAACACTGCATCTGTCCTTCTTGCCACCAACAAAAAGCACACTTTCTAACTTCGTCTCTGGACACTTGCAGAGGGAAAGTCTCCCTTTGGCATCCCATGCTCAATACACGAGAACATTGTACCCAACAAGATCATTATCACGTATATCAGCCCGCAAGACGAGGATCGGTACAAGCTTGTAAAAGGACCACAAGGTGATAGTCGAGGTACTAAAGGAGCTCATCCAGGGGGAAAATACAGGAAAAGGCGAGGCAGAGTGGAAACTGAATGCTTTTCTGGCAGAGGGAATAGCCAAGGATGACCAGGACCGCGGAGCTAGGTGTGATCGCCTGGACCACCTATCTCGTAAGCCTATATGGGAATGAGCTCGCCCATCTACTGTTCATGGTCCCGATGAAGCTTTCAGCCGCCGTCGATATATTATATTCAGGTTTGCGCATGATGCACGCAGTTGATACTGGTGAGTACATCTGTTAGTGCTCTACGCCATTGATCCTTATCCATTCACTAGATTCTGCTATTCTCTCCTCCCCCTTGCCACGTATCCACCACACCATGACAAATCGACATCAACCCCGACCCAACGACCCATCCCCACGACCCTCCTTCAGTCGGACATTCCCTTCCAATATTGCATCATCCCCTACTACTCAACGACGTCTACCTGTTCCCGCTGCGCTGGTCTTTCAATGGCTAGTAACTTGCGTTGTTGGAAAGTAGAAGAGGACGTTGCCTCCTGTCTGGTGCGAGGAGGGAGTGAGTATGCCTGGAGACTGCGCGAAATATGACCCCACCCCATCCTGGTGTGTAGGTGTCCGAGTTTTGGCTGGAGACAATGGATCGTCTTCTGGCAAGCAAGACGTCTGCGCCTAGACGATGTGTTCAAAACCGGTGAACACACCCACGGCGAAACTTCGCATAGGGTAGGGACGGCAGGTAGTCTTAGGAGGGACTGGTTTTACCTCGACGCCATGTATCGACGTCCGGCAAGCGAGAGCATGGCGTCGGGGTATTGTTGGGGATACAAGGAGTATAGGGCTAGGGTAAACTGGACATAGTACGCACGTCGCACGATGTCGACTGTCTTCGTTACTGATCGAGATCCTTTGCGTCTAGCTGTTATTGTACACCTCGCACCCCAGCCTCTCCCTGGACGACGACTTTTGCGCAGACATGACGTATCGACATCTGGCGAACGAGCGCACGGCGTCGTGACACCGGTCAGAATTTTGGAATAGATTATGGGTCTGAGTTCGGGGACTCTTATTAGAGATGGTTTGGCACTATGCAGTGTGGATTTTTCAATGTACAAATGATCTGCGAGGTATACGACTGGTATATCGGTGTTCAAAGAAGCAGACGTGCCACGCAAACACTTCGTAACATATTGGTATGACTTACGTAGATCAACCTGACGAGGAATCGTCGCTTTCAGTGTTTCCTTACATGTTTTGAGTCGGGAGCATTGCCAATGAAAAGGTCGACTCGAAAGAGACAGCAATAGGGTTCAAGGACAAGATTCAGCAAGGTCGTACTCGCCTCGGCACGCGGCAGGCACTTGTTTGAAATTAGGTGATCATGCAAAGTGTCAGTACTTCGGCTCATCCAAGCTCGTCGATGCTCTAGTTGGATGCGACCGCAAGATACAGCGCCTCTCCAGCAAGCTGAAGGGCCATGGCTGTCAAGGACCTAGTCGACCGCTACGAGTCCTCACTGTCAGCATCCAGTCCAGTTCCTGGCCCCAGTCGTCCTACAAGCTCCCAGTCGATTCCACGATCCTCGAGTCGTTCCAAAGTTGAGAAAGATGACAGCATACCTCACAGTACGCTCTGAATCCTGTTTTTCCTAAATATTTCTTACCTGAATCACTCGTACAAAGCGATTCTACCACCACCACATCCCCTGATGAAGAAGACTATTACGACTCCTCATGACCCCTCACGACAGCTCACAATTGACATTGCTGACCAAGGCAGGAGCAACAAGAACATTCCCAAAAGTACTCATGAAGACAGAAGTTCGCTCTCTGGTATAGGCAAACAGTTCGAGCCTCCATCCCCCAGCTATAAATCGGACCAATACCCACTCATGGATTCCGATTCAGACACCCTTGTATCCGCACCTTCATCCAAGGAGAAATCTTCACTAATCCAGCGCCATAACGCGAAACAAGTCGCAGTACCTCACACGCCCATCGCCGCTACTGCTTTGTTTGCTCGAAAGGCAGCCCCGCTACATCTCCCCAGGCTTGACAAATATCTTTCTTCACTTCCACCGCCAGATTTCCTCCAGGATGATTCCAAGTGGGACAAGACTTCCATGTTTCCCCCCATGGACCGTCTTTCTCTTACTGGAATGTCCTTGGACGACTTGGAGACTAATTCCAAGGTTCCTGCTTCATGGAGAGAAAGAAAGACGATATTTGGATCAGCGGTTGGGATAGTGTTGGGTGTCACGGTGCGTCTCTATACCTATTGATGAACGCGTCATTCAATAAGACCAGGGTTCGAGTGCACTCGCTACGTATTACAGTCTTCAGGGCCTGACGAACACCGTACAAATATTCGCCTTGATCTTGAACACGATCGGTCTGCTATGACTTGTTATTCACTTTCTTCTTTAATCTAATTGCCTGTTATAGTGCCAGTGAAGGGGAGCGAGGTTTTGAGCGAATGGAGACAGCTGTTTCTTGGCACCATGTTAGTCCTGGCTCTTTTCTTTCTACCAAAAATTGACCGAGATCTGTAGTCCAAATATTATTGCCCTCAACTTTGCATCTACGCTAATTCAATCATTGGTGTACCTCATCATCTTCTTCGCCATCTCCTCAGGCCTCCTTTACTATTTCTTTCGCTCTGCCCTCGGATGTGATCGTTACACGTGTATCGAGGGTTTACAGCAAACGGTACAAGAAGGGAAAAGATGGGCACTACTTGTCGTGACCTTTATTTTAACCGTGGTCTATCTTCCTCTCAGCACGATGGCAGTTCACGTTCTCGTTTGGTCGGAGGATCTTTGGGCCGTAGCCAATCCATATACGAACGCGACCTCTTTCCCGTCCGTTGTCGCTTCTTTAGGGCCAGCAGATGAATATCGCGATCCCTTGGATTTCTGTTGGACAACAACAATGAAGAAGAACGAGATTAACTTTGCACCAGTAGTTGTCGTGCTTGCGGCCATAGTGGTACTCTCAGTAAGCATCCTGCTGTGTCCTTCGGCGTGACACTGACCTCACCTTTCATAGCTGACGATCTGGTTTCCAATCGCGCTTCGTAGTGTCATCAAGCACTCTGTCCCCAAAGTCGATCGATATACCGGCTTGGGTAGACTGAGAAATAGCGTAGACCTTGATGGAGAGTACCATCGATTACTATCTCGGGATCAAAACCCATTTGCGTTTCTTTATAGTGGTAAGTATACTAATTATTCGGTCTTTGGTGCTGTCCTGACTTCAAGGGGGACAGGCTATCGTCATGGTTGGGGAACTTACCAGTCCACTTACCTCTTTGCCAAATTTAGCACGCTTGTCATCATCGCGGTCATTGATCCTAACAACTGCTTGTTTCGATCCTTTTCTCGTTCTACCATCCCCATAGTTCGACAAGTATTGCTTCTAATTTCCACCATCGGATTCTTCTTGGCTCAATGCATCTTTGCGCCATTTCTTGACCCGGTCAATAATGCCAGCGAATGGACATCTAGGCTGAATTATGTGGCCACAGCGACTATTGCTTTGTTGGTCGTTCTTGACATTCCTGGGCAGAATATTTACAATGTATATCTGCTTTATATGTACGTGTCAAATCCTCTCCACAAAGACATGACTCAACGGGGTGTTTAGAATTTATATCATCACTTATGGCTTGAGCATATGTAAGTCTACTTCTGCTGTGGAAACGACATTGTAAACCCTTTTTCTAGATTTTACTACCATTAATCTGGGTCCTGTACGTCGGATGATCAAAAGTAAATATACTTAACATGCTTGATAAACTCGGAACTAACACGTCCTAGGGCTCGCGCGCAGGATAGATTTCAGTAAGTCACTTTAGCCGCCATATTTTTGCATACTGAAGCAAGTCTACAGGCATTGATATATTTTCTCCCCGGTAAGGAGACTTGATAGTCCTCTAGTTCAATTCAGCTAAGCATGCGATCCGGCAGACTGGATCTTTCCCCCCTCTCTCCCCACACCAAGCGACGCATATGGCAAGAGTCAATCACAGCACTATTATTAACAAGTCCCGAGTGTAGGATCCCCACGAAGCAGCGCATGGTATACGCTCAGGCTCGAGACTCTGAATTCCCGCCATATCTTCTGAATTTCTACGGAACGCCTGCTGAAAGACACGCAGAGAATCTCAAGGTAAAATAAATGCAAATTCATAATAAAATGTATGTGATCGATGACCTCTGGACTAGATTTTACGCGAAATTGGCTCGCACAAGTATAATAAGGCGTCCGCACTGTTATCTGGACCAGATTACGAGTGGTTTAGGAGGCTGGAGTCCCAGATACAGAAACACTTCATCGGCCCTGATTGTTATTGGAAAAGCCCATCTGAAAGTAAGCCAGAAGCAGTTGGATGTGCTAACTTCTTCGGCAATGCTTGGTGGATACCCTTTCCTCCTATCCTAGTTCGTCTTATCTCATCCATATTTTATCGAATTCTAATGTCAGCTACCACCTAGGTGCTCCGCTACGACAGCGGTTCTTACGCTGTTTTACAAGAAGTAGCCGAGCTTGAAGCCTATATATCCCAGAATTCTTCGCATAGCATTCGCAGACGACGCCATGTACGACTGTCGCTCAGAGCACTTGACGGGCAGGTGGTGAAGTGGCCGTACGAGCATATAACGGTAAAAGCGTTGTCGTCATCAAGGAGAACTACCTGGTCTGACAAACTAATAGCCCATAGGCTCGCAGTCTCCTTTATCTTGGGGTCGGAGAAGATACACCACGCAGTCCTCAACCCATTACGATTATTGCGTTCTGCGAATCAAGCACCGTGGCCATCTAGCCTGGCAGGGCCTCCAGCTAGGGAGTGGTTTTGATATTCGACTCGTCTATTCAAAGAAGCTGGATCTTGATGGCAGCGTCATTGGTTTAGATGACGATTTCGACCTCACATCGCCGCTTGCCCGCTTTTTCATGTTGAACAGTCAGCTTATCTCTTCGAGACTAGCATACATCGAAAGTACGTTAGCCAGTTATAGACGGCACCACAGAAGAGAGTGTCACCGGAAATCGGAGACACTGACGTATCGCTTTTTGTCCCACGTATACGACCATCCGCGCGAGCCTTCGGGCCTTACGGCCAGTTCTATAGAACTGGAGAAGGATCAACGAGTGCGAGTGTTGATGTCCGGAAGCGAAGAAGTGTTCTCAGCAGCTTACACTCGATTTTCGGCGGTATCTGTTAATGAGACGAGTACTTGGTGGTATATATTCTGGGTATGTCTTTGAGAAGATGCTGTTTTCATGTGATTTACATACATGTAGGACGATCTCTGGCGACGGAATCACGACACTATATCAGGATTAGAACTCCATGCGGCCGACTTCAATCCATCTTACCCAACATCTATTGCCTATACCCCTCTCCCTCGAGCAGCACTGGAGACATTTCTCAATCAGCGAGGTCTTTTATCGAAGTCGCCGCGATGGGGCGACTTTTTCCACTCTGGCTTCTTGAACAAACTATATCTGCGTCTGAATGAGACAGTGTTTCGTGGATCCAGTAGAGTGTGTCTCTTTCTCGACGTGTTGTACAACTTCTCATGTTCCTTCAGGCTATTTTATTCCACATTGGACAGGACCACTCGGAATTAGATATGGAAGATGTAGATCTTGACACTTTAGTTCAACCTTCAACGTTAGGCACTGGAGGGGGGACAGATCACGACAATTCCTCTATTAGGGCTAGGCCTGCGTACAGGTGGGAAGGCTTGCTTAGCGATCCTGTGCTCAGTGGGTGCAGAAGGAGGAATTTCCTTGCCAAGCTTGGTGCGTGGATGGGCGTAACTCCACTTTGGAGATCGGGGGTACCGTCGCCGGGCCTTTCGCTCGACGTTCGGATGGAGAATGGACGATACGTACTGCTCGATGATGGTTCCAGCTTTGGAAGCAGCCACGTCGATGGTATGAAGCTTGATAACTTATGATAATGACTGGACGACATATAATGAGGATTGTATCATAGCAGTTTAATCACATCAATACGAAGACACCGTGAAACCACCAGGTACGCCTAGCGAGAGTCAGAACCACGAGCCTACCACACACAAAGGAGCAAACAACGCACATTCACAATCCACCAAGCACTAGTGACATACGTTCCAGCAGAGGCAATCAACAGTCCGAACTGATACATCTCCCCCTCCTCCACCAGCTTCTTCCCCTGCTTCCCCTGCTTCTGAACCATGACCAAACTCGAGAGGCCCTCCAGCGCGATGAACAGCGGGCCCATGTATGTGAGCAGCGTGCCCCATACGGAGGTGGCGGGGCAGAGCCACGGGTGGACGGACGTGGAGAATGCGCTGAAGCATATGAGCAGGAGGAACGGGTGCATCGGGACTGGGAGGAGCGATAGCGCGGGGGAACCCCAGAAGAGGATTATGGTGCCGTGGATGGCAGCATGAACGGTGAGGAGGAGGGAGAGCAAGAGGAATGTGGGCCCTCTCCAAGCCAACCTTGACGCGAGTGAGCACTAGCGGCTATACCTTGATTCCAGCCAGAGCAGCGAATATCAGCGTAGCACTGCAAGTCGTTCCTGTACATAATTCAGGCCCTCGTAATCTTCTTTGATTAGTAGTAAGTACTTACTCCCATCCATCTTCGCTCCAATCACAGGGGCGATATCCCTCCTCGAAACCTTGACCACCCCAGGATTCCTCTCTCTATCCGCCAGCCTCTCAAGCTCATCTCTTCCCAAGCCAACCTTGACGCATCCGCCGATGATCCCAATAGTAGCCGGAACGCAGCCCGTGGGTCTGACAATGTCTTCGAGGTCTAAAGCGAGGGTGTAGGGTGGTCTCGAGAGCGACGACGGGTCTGTTTGTGGACAGGGCTTCTTGGACTTCAGGGCAAATGTCGAGGGGCGGCGGTGTGCTGTGCTGTGCTGAACCGGGCTCGAGATACGAGTCTTCGAGCGAGGCGCACACGAGTCAGGATCGTCATGGTTTTAAGTAGAACGGTGTTCATGGCGTGAGAGGGGCGGAAGATCGGCCCGGTCTCAAGCATGACAACTCCCAAAGCCTCCATCGACATCGCTCTAGACGTCCCAGGTGGGGTCTGTTCGATAACTTCACAGCCCCTGGACGTTCAGCAAATAGTCAAATCTGTAGGGGACGACGGTGCGGGCGCTACCGCCGTTTTCATTGGTAAAGTCGACCCGCTCTTGGCCAGGCTTGGCTTTGATATCCTTATACTGCCTACTAGGTACTACGCGAAATTCATTCAAAGGTTGGTATCAATCCATCGGCACTATGGGAAAACCCACGTCTATGTGCTAGGGAGAACCGTTACGCGCCTCGAATACCAGGCTTATTCAAAATTGGCTATCAAGACCATGGCTAGTATAAGTTCAAGACGCGTGGCAAAGCCTAACACGTTCGGAGCATCAGCCAGAATCGCATAGTTCCCTCATTCGTTGCGCCGTTCATCACCGGATTGGTGTCGTTCCCGTTGGAGAACCCTCAATAGGTACTAGTACAGACCTCACCTATCCTTACAAGGCTAACGCCAACCCCAGTTATCGCCGTCTCCTCTCCCCACCGTAAAGAGGCCTTCGTAGCATGCGAGAGGATTCTCGAAGAAGTGAAGCAAAAGGCACAGATCTGGAAACGAGAATACTACGAGGGAATGGATGACAGCGAAGCAGAGTGGAAAGCTAACGCATAACAAGTACAGGAATCCCTTGAATCATCAATCTACCTTTCAGCCATTCCTATTGGACTGTGTCGCCTTCCAGTCTACCTTGCTTGCCTTGTTTTAAATAGGGACCCCCCTCGGCTCAAAAGTGCCGTCAGGAGGCTACTGACTCGCCTCGAAACCACCGATTTTCAAGTTCCGAATACCGACTTCGTTTATCGTCTCTACATCTGTTTCTCTTATTTATAGGCTCGGTGCCGCCCCTCAAATCATGTCGAGCCATCGCCTGCAACTAGTCTCTCACCGATCCGTGCAACTACGCTCCCGGCTCCCGGAAACATCCATTTTCCGCACATTCTCACCTGTGGGTACACTTTGCATGGCATCTTTCAGTCTGGTACCAATGATATCCACCCGCCTACCACGCCCACCCCCAGAACCGTGTTAGATCGCAATCTAGGCTCTGAAAAAGGCCATCCAGCCTGATGCTGGTCTGCATGCGCACATTCCCTCCGAAAGGAGATCGCAAAAGAAGAACGTTGCATCGGAGGTGGACTAAGACAGCATTGGATCGTTCACTCATAAGGCTATTCGGTCAATTCACCGACCATTTCAGCCTTTACTCCGCTACATCCTAGTCAAAGTCATGACATGCACCAGCTCTAAGACACAAAGTCGTGATATTGGTATTGTGCGTCTTCGGTCATCTCTGTGAAACAAGCTCTGATAAATGGGGAACAGGTGGCTGACGACATCTCATCGAAGATAATAACCTTCACACGCACACCGTGTTGGTTGATGCGAATTTCCCACCGGGGAAACGGCATGGCACGGCAGCGTCATAATGCCCCGACAGAGGCTAATGCCAAACCACGCTGGAACCGCTCTTGACTTGGTCGTTCGGCGGTATCAACCGCCCCTAGAGCTTTGAACAGCCGGTTCTTTCTGGGATTTGCTGGACTCATTACCAACATCCGGGCTTCTACCTTTGCATCCTCAATGAAACCGAATCCATCATCGCTAGGAAATTCTGGAACTGGAGAGACGTCATCTATGAAGTGGCTGAGACGCTAGTACTACGGAACTTTTACTCTGGTAAACCAGACTCAATGATCTGTATGAAGACAGGTCGTTCAATGCGCGTAGGCGGAACTTTAGTGTCAACGATCACACGGCGACGAAACCGGCATTATAGAAGCTACAAACTGAAGGAGGTACGAATAAATAAGTGAGCCTTTTAAAGTTCCATTGGCTTGGACAATAATCGCCATTTTCATGCGTTATCTAGTATTATTAGTATTGTCAGAAACGACAAAAGTCACCTCCTGGATGCTGGTAGTAGTACATGTACTGCCTTCCGTGATTATGGTCGCCAGAATACTGAGCCCCATCTGTGAGGCCTTGTCTTCTTCACCGTACAGCGAGCAGCTATCTCCCCTCATTCGCCATCTTTTCCGATCTTTTCTAGATGCCCAGTCACTCTTCTGTGTAACTTGATTTAACTTCCCTCCAATACCATCGCATCATATCGTTTCTATGGCCCACCCGTCGATTCTCTCAGCTCTCAGTATGGGCCTATCACCGCCTTTACCTACCTCAGCGTCCAAGTGATGGCTAATGAAGAAACGACGATGGAAACAAAGATGAGTCGACTCATACTCGGATACACTGCATAACGCCCTGTCTCTGGAGATGTATCGAGTACCGGTAAGCTTCCGGAAGAGATCGGGGTTCTTTAAGCTCATTATGGGGTACGTGTTGTATTCTCTTCTCCCCGCTTTTCCGATAGATGCCCCATTTCCAGGATAATTTTCTTCCATCTTATATGACCGTGCTTCGGGCTCTCATTTCTATATGATTTGCAAAGCTGGTACTCCTACGAAGATCTCTACTGGGACTCAAATATCAGCGTAGTGACATTCGGCACTGAGATCAAAACGTTCCTAGATTGTGGAGCAAGACCTGCTTAAGATTCACATCATGACAGAACAGGCTCGCATCGGTAGGCGCCTCACTTGAGTTAATGAACTTCTTGATTCTCTAACCGGAGAACATAATTCAACAGAACACATATCTGAGAAGCTCACAGTTCATGTAAAGTGGCTTCCCTACAATAGAGGCTTTTCTCCGGCAATACCTCACTTCGAGTCACATTGACCGTTAACGGTCGCACTTCCGAGTTGAAACGAGTTGAAAATGTCAATGTCCTTCAGTATCAAGTCGATCCAGGATCCTTACGCATTTTCGGTGACTTAATGAAACATCATGTATATCTTTGCAGCAGTCAATGAGCATGGCCATGAGATGCATTGTTTATAATGGTAAGGTTGGTACGTGTTATTCTCACCCACTACCCCGTTTCTCTTACTTTTCCTCATGGCGACTCAGACAGATATTCCACCAGATCTTACTGATGAAGACAAAGCTTTCATATTTCAATATCTCGATGCTAACCTGAACAACCAAATTCTCTATGCGTTATTACATGGTAGGCAACAATGTTTAGCACCTTGACATGTAAGTATTGACTGATGACAGGTATATACACTGGAATTCTTGCTGTTACGTTGTGGAATATATGTGAGCCAGAGCATCTATACTACGGCATCCAAGCTGATGTGAGTGACACAGCCATCAATAAACGCTGGCCGATCCGACGAGCCTTGGTTGTCATTATTATTCTCCTCTATGCTTTCACTACTATCAATTTTGCTGTCAGTTGGTCATTGATATACTCCGCATTCATCCGAAACGGACAAAGCTTTTGGACCGCATTCTCGAAGCTTAACGGTGTGGACCAAGTGGCCTATTGGGAGATGGGTATTGCAGCGTCTATGAGTACCCTTCTCGCAGACTCATATATTGTGTGTGCTACTTCGCTAGTGATTATCCATGCTAGCTTACCATCTTTTCAACTCTAGATTTGGTGCTGTTGGATGGTCTGGGGACAGCGCTGGCTTATTGTCCTGCTTCCAATCCTTTCCCTAATTTTCCGGAACTGGTAAAGTGTCCAACTTATCTATCCCTTTCATATATTCAACTTCTGTGTAGTTTCGAAAATCATTGATGTATATTATGACTACTCCAGTGCATCTCCGGACTCATTATTCATGATGCTCTATGTATCCTTCATCCTGGCAACAACATTATGGTGTACACTGCTCATCATTTTCCGCATTTTGAGTGTTACTGGGGTTAGACGTGGAGCAGGCAGCCGACTGAGAGTTTATCGCCATTTTATTGAAGTGCTAGTGGAATCCTCCGCTTTCTATTCAATAACTCTGATTCTATACTTGGCTTTCTTCATTCGCAATGATTTTCAACAGTTTTACATTGAAGCTATAGCTGGTATCATGAAGGTATGTTCACAATCTTAAAACTCATTATTTATTAAGCACCTTGTATAGGGAGTTGCACCCACACTCATTGTTGGCAGAGCAGCGGCAGGACACACGCGTCCAAACGAAGAACATGATGAAAGTTCGCCGGTGTCTACCATTCGTTTCCAGACGTCTTCGCAATCTTCCCAACCTTCGCAACCTTCCACAGCAAGCTTTCAGAATTCCACTGTGCAGAGTGCAGTCCTTGAAGAGGACATTGAAGCTCAACGGTCCGGAGAGCGGTCAGATGAGCTCGTGGTAGTTATTGAAAGGATGGAATAGACTCAGCTCATGGCGAACGTCTGAAAGTCGGGGTGAGACTGGAGACGAAATTTAGACTGTAATTTTTGTTTGCTATCCTTTTTAATTATCGTACTCTCTACTTTATTTTTCGATCAACTATAGAGTATGTAAACTTCTGCAATCTCTCCTTCCCTTTTGATCTTTATGCATGAGCTTGTAGGACAGTCCTAAGGAGCTGAACACGCTGCCCCTGAGTAATACGCGAAGAAAGAGGAATTGGGATTAGCCGAACCCAACTTGTTTCTTGCTGTTGTGCAAGATGCCAAGATCCCGCCCTGCGCTTCACCCTGCCATCTGGGAACTCGAAAGTTTGCAAGAGCCGCCCTTCAGAACTCGAGCAAGCATCTTCCGACGGGATATCTGGAGTTTGATTCTAGTTTCCCTTAGCGCATCACTTTGCTATGGAAACTAGATACCACCTTGGATGATTCAGACATCTATATCCCGGATCCCCGTCATACGTCGCAGACAACAAGCACTACACCCATCATGCATCAACCTCGCAACCTTCCAAATGCACCATCGAACGTGAGTCTTCTTAAGATGTCGGTATCATTGCGAGTATCGCCTTTGCAGCCTATCCGTGATCGCCAATCTTCGTCTTGACGCCGTTTAGTGTACGCATCCAAGTCAAGCCAAGTTAAAATTCAACTACCCAAAAGCGGCGGACATGCCACGAATCAAGGATTCTCCTCAATGTCTAGTTTCCAATGCCTTGCGTACGATTCTGCGACACGGATGGCGGCAGTCGGTGCTGGTAATATTTGGGATGACGTCTATGCGGTGCTGGATGCCCAGGGTGTGAATGCACTCGGGGAGGGTAATGGGGATTGATGCGACTGGGTTCACTCTCGGTGGTGGTGCGTATGCCTGTGATGATCCAAGTCCTAACTGAACGACTTTCTGAAGGGTATTCATGACTGAGCAACCGGTAGCGGCTCGCTATCGATAATGTGCTTGCGTACGAGCTGGTACAGCATTCATTACAACGATTATGTTTAAACAACAGCGGCGACTATGACTGCAAGTCTTACCGCTCCACCTAGCAATGTTGATGGTTGCGGTTACACTGACTTGCCCAGTAAGACAGTCCATCGCCACCATACCTGGGATAATAAAGCAAAATCACGGGTCGGAAACGAGAATGCTACGAGGGATGGATGTCAACGAAGCAGAGTGGAAAGCTAACACATAACAATTACGAGGACCATGAATCATTAAATAATCCACTTTCCATCATCCTTAGACCGTATCATCCTCAGTTACCTTACTTCAGTAGGTCTAAAATCTTCTCTTCGTCGACTCTTTATTTGACCGTAGTCGCTATGACCTCAAAATATCATAGACGTTGATATATTCATAACGTGAAGTCAGGCGATGATGCAATAGTCTAGTATAAAATGTCTCTCTTCCAGCGCTGGAGAGAATATCCTGAGGCTCTCTTTCCACGATCCACTTGACCTTGAACTCCTCTTCCAGGGGAAGGAGATTTTCCACCGGCGTGTTTCCTGCTGCTATAGCGTCAGCAAGCACAGAAGGTAACTCGGCCTGCTCAAGCACAGACAGATGGATCGTTTCGTTGGTAACATTGTCAATACTCAGAGGTAATTTGCGCTGTGTAGCGAAAAACAAAGACGACAGGCCTGTTCTAGGGCTAAGGCACGATCAGTCAATGCAAAGGAAGAAAACATAATCACTTACTTGTGCGGCTTCTGAGCGCCCCAAGGTGCAACGGGCGAAGGCACGGAGCGTAGATATTCCATATCTAGAGATAGCATATCCTGAATGTTAGCCTGCCGATTAGGTCAGCCTAATTTTAGGGCGCTGATGCTCTGGTTCTTACCGCCATCCAGATCAATACTATGTCCGCCAAGTCGTGGTCCCGATATCCTCCTCCTATCTACGTCAAGGAGTTGGATGAGAACTTGACAAAGGGTTCGGGATGTTAGCTTACATCTGAATGGCACCCTAAGGACATTTGATTTTTCAGATTTTGCGTACAATATACATTCAAGAGACTAACCGCCAAACCAGCACTAACAAAGAATCAAGTCAGAAGGGGGAAGGCTAGCTTTTAGTGAACAATCGACCTACTTGTTTGAGGATTTGCCCTTTACTGAGACCTTCAGGCGCTCGCTCATACTTTGCGCAATCCTATAACATCAACGAACAGTGTCAGAAGGGTAAGGACGACCAGGAGCGGACTTGTCCTTACGAAATCTCGGCGCGTTTCATTCAGCGCCAGAGCGTGGTACGCCCGTTTGATATGTCCTCCTAAAACTTTGTCAGGAAATCCGAATATCTCTTTTGCTTTCTTGAGATTAAGAGTAAGCTCGTCAGGAAGCCCGAGGGAACCAACAGTCTCGAATACGCCAACGCATCTAAGTCGAATGTAAGCAGCGAGCGACGAAACCAGTCAAAGTCAATATTTACTTGATGGAAAAAGGAGTATTAGCACGCTGCAGCCCATGTGCATCTGGCTTCGTGAAAGCGTACAGTTCATCTCTTAGTAAGCGTCGCTCTTTTGATAAAACAGTGAGTGTCAACGCTTATGAGATAACTGGAAAACCGAGCCTGTTTCGTTGTCACTTTTAGCAAGACGTTGGTAGGCAATAAAGATCCGAGCAAAGTTGTCCATGTCCCTGCGGTCGAGAAGCCCGATCGCTCCCTGAAAATTTTGACCAAGTACGTCTGATACCGAAGAGAAGAGCAAGGTCTCTTACAATGAACATGGCTACCATACGCGCAGTATATGCACCCTACGGAGTCTTTTCAATAAGAATCAAGGGCCCGTCAGCTTGGTTAGTCTTCCTTACCCTCGAAAATCCGAATAGGAATATCTACAGGCGAGCGGGTAAGTTGGCAGGCGTATGAAATAGTTTTCATAACTTTCATACCTCGTCACCCGGAAAATAGTTTCTGAGAGCCGCTCAGTGATTCGACGCATAGGAAATGGAGAGGAGAGAACGAACAGGGCAATAAAACCATAGGCTTCTTCCACTTTATCAGCTAGAGGTAGTGCCATATCAGAGCATGGCCGGAGCATCGAGAACGGAGAGCATATACCTAAGGATCCTCCAGTAGTCGCTTCGAGGGAAATACATGAGCAAGAGTGTTCAGGATAGAAAAGATCTTGTTTATTACCATCGACGTATTCATCGTAGAGGTTTCCCTCAGAACCTATTCCGGATTGGTAGAAAACAATTTGCTGTATTGGCGGATCGGATCGTGTGTCTTCGTTTGTGATTGTTCTTGCGAGCCTCTATAGTGTCAATTGCAACAATGCTACACATAAACATAAGACGGAAAGAGAGTGAATGTATTACCAGCGTATTTGTATATAACAAGCGATCCTGCGTTAACACGCCTACGTGAGGTGAGTAAGCAGGCGGCTGAGAGTTGTCTAAAGACCCACCATCCTGCCACGTCCTAACCAAAATTCGTTCTGTCAGAGCGAACATGGTGATCTCCAAAAAGTTCACCTACCCATCACAGCAAACTATCAGCCTCTTTCTATCGCGCGTGTTGTCAGTCGAAACTTCAGACTGACTCATTGGATGGAAGGAATCGCGGAAAACTCACTCGCAAAGGGGGCCTTTTAAACTGCAGCTGATATCTCCAGCACTCTTACATGACGGCGCCGATCACAGTCTGCCGTTCCCGTCGTTTGTCACCCAGTCGCCGCTTGTCTTCGCTGCGTCACGGTTCATTTCAGTTGGCATGCATCCTATTTCTCAACAATATGACATGGAGCCTGTCCTTGAATAACCGGTATACTTGAAGAGAATCGCACCTGTTCTTTGGGCTCGTTTTACACCCAAGGCCAGAATGCCCGTGTGATATAGATGGGAAGACGTCCGAAGGTACATCATAAGGACGTGCTTAAGATTCCTGTTTCGCTGTTGACAAGCTGACACTGAGAATGCTCGTCTGAGCAGCTACGTTGGACTGTCCATCGAAAACAGAGAGAAGCAAGCGCGAGTGACAGCACTTCACCGGCTAGATCTGCGGTCGGATTGTGCTGCTTCGACAAACACAGCTTCACCTTTAGGAATAGGTGAAACGAAATGGGATTAAGGTCAAGTATACATAAACCTAGCTATACGCGTCAGCTCATGCATCGCGAGTCACCTCCACCAAAACACTCACAGATATGTATTCTAACTTGTATAAATGTCCAACATTATTAGAACAACTTCTACACACACAGCTACTTCCCAAAGCGCATCTCGGCACCTGCGTACTCGTCAAGGGCCTCTCTAAACTCCATCTCCGTTAGTGGGACGGGCCATCTGGCAGAGTAGAATCTCTGAGGGAGGACCCAAGTTATCCAAGCCGCGTGCCGTTTTATGTGTCGATTATGGCTGGGGAGATATCAGACGCTGGGTATTCTTATACAATCAAAGGAGGAATCCTACTATATTTCAGTAAGTCTTGTTTGCCAAGGAGGAAACCCGTGTAGTTCTGGTGGTGTACGGTTATACTTGGATGGAGACATCGGGTGCACGATCATGAAATCAGGTGGAGGAACTCCGTCTTTTCCTACATACAGCGAAGACATCAATAGCAGAAAAAGAAAAGCACAAGCCGGTACATACCCTCGAGTCTCTGACCTAATTCCTCAACCGAAAGTTTAAATTTGTCGGTAGATATTTTTGAATAAGAGAGCTCTAATTTGCAAATGGAACGCGCAGCCGCAGCGATCGCGGGTTTAGATGAGGAGGAGGAGACGAGGTACAATATCATTGGTCCATGTGAATTTCGCGTAGCTACCAAGATATTATTAGTACACAACCAGTAAATGTCTTGTCGATATGTCTACGCACCTGAAGGTCTCCGTCGTCCATCCGCAGCAACACAAGACCTTGGAAGAGAAATGACCGTGTATGGATTCACTTCTGGAATATGTTCTGGAGAGACTGGCCGGGAATCTGGCTCCGAGAGCGGGGGTGTTGGGGGATACTCGTGGTCCACGGAGGCAGCAGTTTCACAAGGTTGCGATGACAGGGCTATATGGTGACGAATGGTGGTAGCTGATGCCTGGAGTAACCCTACGTGCAGTGAGAACAACCGTCCCGTCAATACACATCAAAAGGCACACCTTCACTGTCATATAAAGTAACCTTCTCAATGCCCAATTCACGACACCAGTCTATCGTCCTATAGACACTTTCCAACAAACACACATGTGTAATGTCCGGATGTACATCAAGGTCTGGAACGAAAATCACGGCCAAGTGTTTTGGTACACGACGACGCGTTGCATTGAGAGGAAGAGGCGGAACAAAATTGAAACGTTGCCAGCACGAAGACACGAAGACGGCAATGGAATATAACGCATGAATCAAACGAAGGAAGAGAAAGGCCACGACAGCCATCGTGGCATTGAAGAAGGAGGAAATTTGTCAATATGCGCGGTGCAGTGCCTGCGATCTGGTCCCGGCTATTTCCTAACGTAAATTTGGTGACGTGTGACCACGTACGCGCCTAAATTGGGCAGCTAAATTGACCATTGAAAATTTCGAAGTTAGGCAAACTGTTACTAAGTACAACCATTATGCATGTCCATTCCGTTGCTAGTCAAATTTGAAAAACATCTCCCATCTCACAAGAATTCCTTAGGCCGCTGAGCAGCATCCCCACCAGCTTCATCGTAGACCAGTCCAGCCACTCTGAACGCAAGTTCTATTCATAGAGATTTAAAAATATGAACTTTCAAAACAAAAGGAACACTCACCATCAGCTTGGGCACGTATAGCAGCCTCTGCATATACTCTAACAACGTCCTCCGTGCCGCTAGGGCGGACAAAAGAACGACCACCCTGATACAAATTAACCAGCTCCTCAATCTTCTGCTGAAGCCCCGGAGGACTAACAAGCCGCCTCTCAGCATCTTCCGTGCGGAACGCATTCCGATCACCAACAACCACTTTGACAAGCCGGTTAGGCAGATCCGCGTACAGCGAGTCCCACTCGACACCAGTGTAAGATTTATGGGCAAGGACAACTTCAACGAGAAGCATATCAGACAGCGCATCCCCAACCGTCTGATTGATCAACTCCGTCAAGCTGATCAAGTGTTCTAGAGCTCCGGACTGGGCAGGTGACAGTGGTTGATGGGATTTCAGCGTGGCCAGTGTAGTGCTCGAGAAGAGAACGGTGCCATGTCCGTTGGCTTCGAAGTACACACCAATGTCATAGTGTTCCGCGGCATGGTGTAGGTGTTTCACACCAGTAGGCACGCATTTGACAGGAAGACGCTTCGTTCTTCCATAAGTATGTGGATTCTATGGATTGGAGAACGACGTACTTCTAGGAGGTATTTTGTCGAGGCCCCGTTGGCATAAGCCGTTTGCACGATGCCGACTTTGATTTCGTTTTCAAGACCCGCGAGTTTGACGAGGTCGACAATAAAAGCAGCAACCAGCGCCGCGATTTTGTCTCCGTCGAGCATGTGGAAATGGCCACGTTCATCGAGGTAGTAGTACATTAGGCGATCGGCATCACCGTCAAGACTACAAGCACGTTCACCAGGCTGTAATTTGTCGGCTAACGATGGAGGGAGTTTCTGTGTCGTCTTCACAAAATCTGCACCGCAGTTCTTGTTTAAGACTCCAAGAGCGGTTGTCGCGGTATTCGCTAAAGAAAATGGAAGGGTATCACCTAGGTATTGAGATAATTGCTCGGCAGCAATGGCACCGACACCATTAGCACAATCAATGAGCAGTGGTGGCGGTGTTGGTCTCCCAGCCTGAAGAGAGATGACATTAATGCAAATAAAACCTTAAGAAGGATACTCACGATGAGCTTCTTGAAAGCACCGCTGAGTTTCTTAAAGTAGCCTTCTTCCGAATCAACCCCGTACGAGTCCTCTGTACCCTTGGTGTTGATAGCTCGGACCAAGTAGTGCAAAATCGGAGTCGTAGTAACACCGGCGTTCCTCGCATCGGCTCCAATAGACTTGAACCCGTCCTCCAGAGCGGCTACGAGCGCCGGGCCGGACGGCCGCGTATCCCTCGCGTAAACGACGCGAGATGGCTTCGCCAAGTCGATTTTGGCTGTTTGCACAAACGCCTCTAGAGCTTCGACAAAGTCTGTAGCGTTGGAGAGGACGGTAGCGTGTCCTTCCCACGATGCTTCGAGCATCTCGCCTCGCGGATCAACTATCTTGACGCCGTTGTCCTAGGGTAGCAACGACTAAGGGTGGGATGGAGAGGGAGGTTACGAGGACGGAAACGTACATCCTCAGGATTGTGGGACGCGGTGATCATCACCCCGACGGTCCTGCCATCGAATTTCTTGCTTCGCAGCGCAGCGATGATGCCTACTCTGAATAGGACAGGGTCCAATACGGATGCCCTGCGATATTGGTGAGTAGATCATCGTGTATCGAGTCGAATCGGGACGTACAGTGTCCTGAAGCCGGCTGTACCATATTGGTAAGTGACGTTCTCTGGCTTTGGGTGGAGATCGGATAGGGATTGGATTTCTGAGCGAGGGAGAGAGGCCATTACTGCTACGACCAACGTCGAGGGAAACTAAGGTGAAGGAGCTGTAGTGTGGGTCTGCTGCACAGGAAAGTGTTGCACGTGGCTATGACGCATTAATTGAGACTCAAACCATCATCATCATCTCTAATCTAAAGGGCATCTCTACTCCTTACATGCCGTCTAAGTCTCCTGCGCAGGTCCTGTTAGAAAAGGCAGACAAGAAGGCCAACTCATCCACTGGCTGGTTCTCGTCCTCTTCCACCAAATGGGAAGAAGCCGGAGACCTGTATCAGCAGGCTGCGAATTCTTTCAAGCTCGAGAAGCTCTTCAAGGAGGCTGGGGACTGCTTTGCTAGGGAGGCAGAGTGTAGGGAGCAGTGCAAGGAAGACAGTGAGGCTGCTAATGCGTGGTGGAATGCTGCCAAGGCGTACAAGCGCGGATATCCTCAGCGTACGCATCTTTGTGCTGTGTTTATTTCGTTCTGCTTATCTGTTTGGATATCAGAGGCCATCGATGCGCTGGGTCAAACTATAACCTTCCTCACCAAGTGCGGGAGGTTCCGGCAGGCGGCCGATAGGGAGAAGGAAATCGGGCAGATATATCTGCAGGAGAACAACGATCTACGGAAGGCATGCGACAGCTACGAGCGAGCTGGGGAGTGGTACGCCCAGGAGGACGCCATGGCGTGAGTACCATGTCCCATATCCCAAGATCATCATTTCATTTCATTCGCAGCACCGCCAACGCCTGCTTCAAAGACGCCGCCGACCTACACGCCGACCTCGAAGAATACCCGCAAGCCATCGCTCGCTACCAAGAAGTCGCCAATCACTCTTTAGGATCGAACCTGACGAAATACAGCGTGAAGGAATACTGGCTACGGGCCGGCTTGTGTGCTCTAGCTATGAATGTACGTGTCTGATGTCGTGTTTACGACGCCATCTTGTGCTAATGCTATGCCAGGATCCTGTCACCGCCCGGCGAAGTGCGCAGGCCTATGCGAGTCAGGATGTGACATTTGCGTCTACTCGGGAGAGCAAGTTTCTGAATGCCCTGATTGAGGCTATGGAAGCTGGAGATATCGAGGCTTATACCGGAGCTGTGGTGGAGTACGACCAGGTTACCAAGCTTGATAATTGGAAAACCAGCATGTTGCTGAAGATTAAGCGAGGCATCCAGGAGGAACCGGGCCTCACCTAGGCAGTAGTAGAAATCGTCGTGTAATTTTATGTATGCTTGGACGGTCGTCATTAAATAAATAAGCCGATTTGTGCAGATTTCATCACATTGTGTGATTCGACTGTCATGTCTCGAACCTCCGTTCTTCACTTTTGTTCTTCTTCTTTACCTACCACCACCTACAGCCAATGTGTCGTTTTGTGATCTACAAGGGCACGTCTCCCGTCCAACTCTCACATGTCCGTGTGGATCCCCTCGTCATTCCCTGCCCTGACTTTTATTAGCTTCTAACGCGACCATGCCATTCAATAATAAACCAAGCATTTGACTCTCGTTTACGACTAGATCGCCGGAGACCGATGAACGGAGATGGGTTTGGTGTTGGTACGTGGTGGTCGCGTGTCGTGTTTGAGTCACTGGCCGTTCATTCCTGACCATCGGAGGACAGGATGGTATGATTCTGTATACGACGAGGAATTGGGTGCCCAGCCTTGCATATTCACGTCTGTCACACCAGTGAGTGCGTGTGGTCCTACATGGTCATCGGTTATCTGAAGAGATCCAGGCATGGAATAATATCAATCTTACACGACTCGCTGAAAAGATCAAGTCACCACTAGTATTGTGAGTCGGAGACATCGGCTGTTACCTCGCTTTGGTATTCATTATCCTCAAGTGGACACGTACGAGCTACGACAGCGGGATCATTGTCTCTAGACAACTGTCATCCGTTTGTACACGGAAAGCTCATGGTACATTGATTTCCCCTTTGCCTAGCCAAATTGTGACTCACAGACGGACGGACTCTAGTTCATGCACAATGGTGGTATCGCCGATTTCCATCTGATCAAGCGGAAACTGCAGAGTCAATTGCCTGATGTCGCCTTTGATATGGTCCAAGGCAACACAGGCGAGTCATACCCCAAATTCCCTCCATTTCCCAGCTCACACTGCTATTAGACTCTGAATGGGCCTTTGCACTCTTTCTATCAAAGGTGACCCGAATTCTACGGCTGTTCCTTTTCGGTTTCTCATCTCCGGCCAGCTTCCAGACCCGAACGCCACGACCTTTAGCTCCCAAACACTGCGAAAGGCGATGCTTGACACGATTGCTTCCTTGAATACCTTTGCGGAAGAGGTTGGGATCACTGAGGTTCGAAGCAATTTCTCTTGGCAGTGTTCGTGGATCTGATTGTGTTGCTCTATAGCCGAGTCTTATGAACTTTTGTGTAACGGATGGGGATGCTGTCATTGCTACTCGGTATATCTCATCACGGAAAGATGAAGCAGCTTCCCTGGTAAATATGCATTGCTGAGGTCTATCAAGCTAATGGCTGACGTGATCGCAGTGGTTCTCGTCCGGCACAACGTTCAGTGAATACGCCGATGGCGGTCACTATAAAATGTCAAAGGCTGACAAGCGAGAGAACATAATCATGGTGCGCCTTTATTTAACTCGTCTGCATGACTTACGTATCCTTCCAGATTGCGAGCGAGCCACTTACGTTTGAACGAGGTGAGGGTCGCCTCTATTATTCGTGTACCGGTGCTTATCCTCCTTCCTTAGCTGATTGGATGGAAATAAAAACCAACACCATGGTTGTCATCACGCCCAAGATGAATCTCTTACAAATACCGATAATTGACCAATTTTACGTCGCACCTTCAGATCCTAATTCTGCTCGAACCATCGAGTTTGCACGAGAGAAGGGGTTACTTACGCCTCGCAAGGAGCTATCTTCGCCATAGATTATATAGAATACCATAGTTTTTGTTGTACATACTAACTGGAAGGAAGTTGTTTTATTACCCGACGGTGTTCCTCGATGGAAACGAGCCGCGGTCCGTACTACAGCTCCTCAAGGTACAGAGGCGGTATCTACGACGCTAGCTACAATGTGCGAACTACAGAAAAGACCAAATGAGGAGTAATGCTGCTACACCCGTCCTATGCTCTGCGGCTATGGTAAAGCCCGTCATGAGTACCCCTCACGGCCTCGGCAGTAGACTGATGAAAGGAACAGTTACATATCGTCAACGAAGCGTGCCGCACTTGCGACAAGGACATCCGTCTCCACCAGCGGGTGATCGGACGATCTTTCTACAACCAGGATACCGTTCCCAGAGAAAGGACGCGCGAGCAGGCTGGGCTGGTAAGTGCACACAAACAGAACACGAGGAAAATCTTCCACCTCATTGGAACTCCCTGTCAACACTGCTATTCAAGTCAAAGCCCGGGTCATCGCAATACGGTGTGCCGTAATACGAATGTCGAGGTGAGACCGGAACACTGCGGGAGAAGACCTGAACGAGTAGAGACGTAGTAGGATCATCGACGAACCTCGGTCTTCCACATCGACTCGACAGCATCGTTACGAAATCTGTGTCGTATAGCTCCTCCAGAGTTGCATGGATTGGGTAGTTGAGACGTTGAAGGGCGGTAGTGATGTCTGTCAGCCAACACCTGTTCCCACTCAACCACAAGATTTGGACCCTTTCCAGCTGCCTAAGTGTAGTGACGACCACAACCTGGGACCCGTAAGTGAGGAGAGAGTCAACCCAGGCGCTGTAAATTGCGAGGGTGGATATCCCCCAGATACCTCTCCATCGCAAACACGCAGTGCCTTCTTGAATCTTTACCACCTCGACAGAGTGCTCTTTCGAGATATCCATTGCTGTGGAGCAGAACACGATACCGAGGTACTTGGTGTCGTCAGTACACTTCAAGGGGCGACTCTGGCAACGCAGTCGGCAGTGTACATGGTCTTGGGTCAAGAGAGGAGAGCGTAGATATGCTGTAAGAAAAAATACAGCACGAGATCCCATGCGCACAGCTGGGTGACAACTATTTTGCACGAGTCAAAATGTGCCCTGCCTGCCCTCAGAATGACATTAAAATCCTTTAGTATTTCCTTATTAGGGAGGTGCCAAATAATCGGCACCCAGCTGTGCCAACTGATCAAAGTGCGTATGTCTTTGCGAATTTGATCAACAATCCTTTACTGCTTGCCCACGGCCCATAGTCATCGCAGGAGACTGTATCCTAGGGATAGATGTGGACCACATCGGCATGTTCAAGATTAGTTGGTCACCAAAGAACACATCGTCAGGGCGGGGGCGCGGCTTTAAGTCAGATCCAAAGAAGTTCCAGACTCCAGGAGATGTACAGTTCCCCGCCAGAATCCCCACATCAGCTGTAAAGAAGTCTGACGAATTTTCCCCAGACGTACATACCGCTGTACATGGCTCGTAGCCCGTCAAATAGGGGACCAGCCACACCAGCTTTGTACATCTGAACCTCGGGCCAGAGAGGCCGCGAAGAGAGGGCGCCGCGAAGTGAGTGGGAACTAATCCGCCGTTTTCATCGGTAAGGTCGACCCGCTCTTAGCTTGGTTCTGATAACTTTATACTGCCTAGGTACTACGCGAAATTCGTTCAGACGTTGGTCGCAATCCATCGGCACTACGGCAAAATGCATATCTATGTGCTAGGAAGAACCATTATGCGCCTTGAATACCAAGGTTATTCAAAATTGGCTATCAAGACTATGGCTAGTATAATCCAAGACGACGCTCGGAGCATCAACCAGAACCACAAACCTCGCTCGTCCGTCGTGCCGTTCGTCACCGGATTGGTGCTGTTCCCGTCGGAGAACCTTCAATAGGTATTGGCACAACCCTCATCCATGTCCCATCCCTACACTAACTCAATCCCCAGTCATCGCCGTTTCCTCCCCCCACCGTAAAGAAGCTTTCGTAGCCTGCGAGAGGATTTTTGAAGAGGTAAAGCAAAATGCACAGATCTGGAAATGAGAATACTACGAGGGAATGGATGACAGCGAAGCGGAGTGGAAATCTAATGCGTAACAAGTACAGGAAACCATGAACCATTAATCTATCTTCAGCCATTTTTTTTGAACCGTATCTAATGTGAAGCCCTGTCTTCTTCGTCGCTCAACGAGCAGGTATCTCCCCTCGTTCGTTGTTTTTTCCGATCTTTTCTAGGTGCCCGATCACGCTTCTGTGTAACTTGATTTATTGCTGTTTGCAGAATAGTTGGCGTAGCTGCCTTTTTGGGCCTGGTTGCTTTTTTTTTGGCGCGAAAAGACTTTTCAGCTGTAGCTCGGTCAGTACATTAGATATTTGCTTGAAATAACATATGTTTCGACATTTCCTGAAGCCCTTGAGGTGCCGGTGCAGTCAGAATTTTAATTTAGTCAATTCGAAAATTCTAGCCTGCTGTGAGGGCTCAGATCAACTTTTCAGCTGTATCTTGCCAACAACGGATGCTACGAAGATGCTCCAAGGGAGAAAGTCAATGTATTCATACAAGGCGAGATGCACAACAGCATTTTTGGTGCCAGAAAAATCATCACGGTGTTAAATCAAGAGTTGCATGTTTCGACCCGGACCCTGACATCCTAAAGGAACAATAGGATGCCACCACAACTCTAAAGACAAAGGATATAAGTAATGATCTCAGTCGGGCACAGCGAAGGTGGAACGACTGTATTGAAAGGTACTGTACCTAAAGACAAAGGATATAAGTAATGATCTAGTATGAATGAGTGTGAGTAAGTTATAAGCTAGAGACAGTAAGGTATACGTACCTCAGTCGGGCACAGCGAAGGTGGAACGACTGAGGTACTCGGGTATCGACGGCTAAGCTATATAGTGATCGAGTCAAGGACAGGAGGTAAGATATATATAGTAAGTAAAACGAACGATGGGAGAAAGATAAGGAAACTTGGTATACTGTACGGATATCCTCCAACACTCCCCCATATCCATACTATGCCACAGGTGCAATGTTGAGATCGTCAAGATAGCCATGATGAACATCCCGAGGGAGAGCCTTGGTGAACATATCGGCCGGGTTTGAATTTCCACGAATGAAATCAATGCGTAACTTGCCGTCTTTGACTAGCTCCCGAATATAATGCTTGCGGATGCAGATATGCTTCACTTTATGGTGGGCCCTCATGTTCGTTGTAAGCGCAACTGCCCCCTAGTTATCACCATACAGAACTCCTGGGCATGGGTGCGGTAGCTTCACCTCGTCCATCCATGACATCATCCACATCATTTGTTGGGCGGCGCGAGTGAGAGAAATATACTCGGCCTCAACGGTTGAGAGTGCTACAGCAGCCTGGCATTTCGAACTCCAAGAGACAGGCCCCCCAGCCATGGTGAAAACATAGCCCGAGGTCGAGCGAGCGGTATCCCGGCAACCTCCATAGTCAGCGTCGACGAACCCAACTGGCATCAGTGGTTCGTCTCGGGAGAAAATGACCCCATAGTCCATAGTCCCTTTGATATAGGCGATGACATGCAATAGTGCACGCCAATGGGCCATCCCTGGGTTAGTCTGAAAACGAGCCAGAAGGCTCACTGGGTAACAGAGATCGGGTCGAGTTGCAAGCTGCCCCCACATAACTCGGCCCAAGAGACATCGATACGGGTACTGAGCCATGTCATCCTTCTCGGCTTGGGTTGAAGGGCATTGAGAGCTATCGAGTACAATTCCAACAGGCAGTGGGGTCGAGCGTACCATGATGTATTCAAGGCCAAAATCCTCAATGACGTTCTCCCAGTACGGTTGCTGAGAGAAAGATATAGTCCTGGCATCGAGGTCCTGGTTGATTTTCATCCCCAAGAAGTAGTGGTTCTCCCCCACATCCTTAAGCTCCCATTTCTCCCTCAACTCCCCTTTCCTTTGGCTAGCCTCATCTATGCTCGAAGACGCCCCCCACACATTGTCAGTATATGTATCTGTGAGGGTATAATTGCTACCTGGCTCACCAATCGTTCGTACACATGGGTCGGCCTGAGAAGTCTTGTATCCCAGGTCGTTGTATGTCTTCCCGAGTGTCTTGAACCAGTCATGACCGCCTTGCATCGTCCCATAAATTGTATGAACCAGCTTGCACACCTTCTCCTCTTGTCCTTCGATGATGTATCCTGGTGGTTGGTGCATGTAGATGTCCTCCTTTGTCTTGCTGTTCAGGTAGGCTGATACGAAGTCCACTTGCCATAGGTGTAAGTCGAGTTTGGCGGCGATGGCAGCAGACATGCGAATGGAGTCAAGGTGAGTGATGGCAGCCCAAGTCTCGTTATAATCCAGGCCCCGTTGCTGCATATAACCCTTCCCTACAAGTCTCGCCTTATCCCGCAACCACTTTCCATTGCCATCCCACTTCATCCCATAGACCCATTTGCAATCCTGTTAGGATCGTGCCAATAGGATTGCGGCAGTAAGTGCACGTAGCAGAATGCCGCGGGATGCGTCGGGCGTAGGCGAAGCTATTAGCAACGTCACCCCTGAGCCAAAGCCCTAAGATGGATACAGGCGGAAGTCTGCAGAGTGGCAGAGACGAGGTAAAAGATAAGTCCAACGGATCGGAGTTCCGCGGACTGGAGAACGAGAGTTAGACTTAGAGTCAGAGAGAGAGAGAGATTGGGCTGAACCAAGTTGATATTCGAACTGAGTATCTACAGTGTAATTCTAAGGCTTATATACTAGTTAGGAGTCCGATCTAGTTCCTACTCGGAGTGGTCTACATTCTAGGGTTGTCGGAGGATGTATTCTACCGGTCGGTAGCCGATGGGGTCCGATGACATGTTCACTACCGATGTTGGGCTATTGATAAATTAATATGGAGAAGTGAAATATAAAATGGAATATGAAATGGAATATGAAATAGAAACTGGGAATCGGAATCCGTAGGCTTCCGGGCTGTGGCTTGTTGGGTTGAGTGGAAGTTGGGTTTCCATCGGCATGCTCGTTACAAATCCATTATATTAGCTCCCTCTGGTGCATCGACAAGGTCCCAAGTGTGCTTCGTCATGTGCATCTGGTATTCAACATCCATCACAGCCTTCCAGCGTTCTTCATCAACCCGCATGGCGTCTTGATAATTCTTTGGGATATACGAGTCGGGCACGTTCTCAGCTGCAGCCATTGATGCTCGTGGTCTTCTGCTGTTAGTTGCCCATTCATCTCCACGGTCTCGAGCATCGGCTTCACATTGTTCGGATAATAGAGACTCAGTAGCGTTGTCACTAGGGCGAGTTAAATGCGACGACCAGTGTAAAACTGGTTCCATGGGAACTGATGGAGTCATTGATGGAACAGAGGAAGTAGGGGGAACAGAAGCAGATGTGGTAGAGGGCGTGTTAGACTCCTGCACAGTGAGTGGGACTTCTGTCTCAGTCTCCCCCACACTCACAGTGCGATGCGCATGCCCCTCGTCAAAAACAACGTCACGAGAGACGAAGACATGGCCCGATTCATCAAGCATGCGGTAGTTGGACCCTGCATAGCCCAAAAATACGCACTTCTTCGATCAATCATCCAATTTGCTTCCGCCATCCACCAGAATACCACCCGAAGTGGGTTTCTTCACCCAGCAAGTAGCCCCAAAAACACGTAGAAACGAGACGTCCTGGTGATGGCCTGTGAACGCTTCCGCCGGCACCTTGCCAGGGTGACGACTGGAAGGTGCGAGATTCCATGTAAAGATTGACATCGATGCAGCCTCCGCCCAGAAATGATCTGGCAAACCAGAGTCACTTAATAAAGCACGAGTATCCTCCATGATCATGCGGATTGCTCTCTCCGCAAGACCATTCTGCGCTGAGGAGTGTGGGGCAGTCAGCTCCAAAATAATCTCATGCTCCGCACAGTACTTGGCCCACTTAGACCCCGCGAATGCCCTGTCTGAGTTTCAGCCATCTTCCGGAACCTATCAAAGGCTGCCACGGTTGTCTCATCTGACTTATCAGCCAGGAATTCCCCCACCTTGAACGATGTACCACTATCCACAATGACCATCATATACGTCTTCCCGCTCACTGACGCAGTCCTCGACGGCCCCCACAAGTCTGTAGCAACAAGGTTGAGTCCCTCTACATCAGGGTCCGTGGGTTCATCAAATGGACGATGGGTCTGGCATGCGAGGATACAGTCTTTGCATTGCCCATGGAGGGAAGTGGAAGTAATGTTCAGGCCATCAACAAGGTTTTTAGAGGCCATCTCCTCAATCGTAGTGGGACTCATGTGCATGAAACGACGGTGCCAGTCTGCGAGCGAGGTAGGGGACGAGCGGGACGACATAGCTTGTGGTTGGAGGGCTGCATCGAGAATGTACATTCCATCTGAACCTCGTCCAGCAAAGATCTCTTTGCCAGACTGATCACAGACTACTGCTTGTCCATTGGAGAAAACAGTGGAGAGCCCAGCCCTGTCCAAAGAGCTAACAGACACGAGGTTCGCAGCGAGCGAGGGTGAGTGCAGTGCATTCTTGAATGTCAGCTTGACATCCTTCCCATCCAGACGGAAAGTCTTCGAGACTGTTCCCTTTCCGAGGATCTCAAAAGTCCCTTTCCCTTCGATGGCCGAAGAACCAGTGCGGAAAGCAACGGGTGTGTACTCCGTAAAATCTTCACAATTTCTGAAGAAGTAATCACTGGCACCAGAATCCATGAACGTCAGCGTAACAGAGGGTGTGCGTCCTTCAAAGGTGGTTGTCACAAATGCCCTATCCTCAACCTCGACATTGCTAATCAACTCAGCAGGTCCCACGTCCTCCTCAGCTTCATCCTCAGCTTCATCCTCACTTTCTGCCTTGTCATCATCGTCAACATCAACACTAGTCAAGCCAGGCATATCATCATCTGTGTCGTCGTCTGCATTGGAATACTCAGTGGCAGAGGAGCCCACACTTTCAATGTCAAAGGTATCCTCAGCCATTTCGGAAGATGCTGTGGAAGCTGAATCATCTCCCTCAGGTTCATCCCATCACCAGAAAGAACGGGTCCCATTCCACTCATAGGCATGACTCCCCGTCTCCCCATCCTCAACGATGATCCCATTCTTGTCCCGTTCCCGCTCAAGAGTAACGACACGTGCAGCGAGAACAAAATGCCTTGGTGTATTGGCCGAAGTGTTCACGGTTACATGGTTAGCCCGTCTCTGTCAGCCAAAATTAGGGGGAAATTGTCCCTCCTTTCCCCCACCTGGCCAATAGCAGTTTTGCGCAGTATGTTTGCTCTTATCTCGTGCCTTACAGCCAGGATTAGAGCATCCGATGGTAGAAGATCTGGCTGCTAATGCTTGGGACTGTGTGGGGCCTTTACCCGCCGCACGTAAGGTAGCAGCATGGGTCTGAAGGTGGGAGATTATATCTGTGGAGCTAGACAGCTGATACAAGCTTGGGAGGATAGGCATCCAGTTGGCCATTGGGAGAATCGAGCGAATAATGATACCGCGGAATTCCTGGTCTGTGAGGGGGGTGGCACGAAGATCATTAATGGCACGTCTCTTTGTACGGAGCTCTGCAACATGGGCATCAATATCACCATTGCCATCAAATTTGACTGCATTCAAGGACGTCTCAGCCTCGGAGAGAGCCATGTCAGTCTTCTTGGCGTGTTCAGCGATGATAGAATCCCAACATTCCTTCGCTGTCCCGTCAGTCCTTACCCCTAGTCCGATAGGGTCAAGAACATTGAGAACAATGTGGGAATGAGCTAGCTGATCACGGAACGTCCATTCGTCGTGGGAAGGGCTCGAAGAGTAGATTGGTGTGGGGTCTGGTGGTAGTGGAGTAGTTGTTGGTCCACTCGCGGAAGTCGCAGAGGCGGCAGGGCAGGGTATAGTACCTTCTATGTACCCCCACAATCCTTTCCCCTTCAATAGTTCAGTAAGCTGAAGTTTCCACGAGGCATAGTTTTTCCTGTTGAAGTGGCTATGGGTATCGGGGAGGATTGTAACTCCCGACGTAGTCGACGACATGTTAGGAGTATGTGTTCAATAGTAATGGTTGGGCAAGTGTGAGCAGTGGGCAGTAGTTGAGTCGTTGATAATAAAAATTTTGCCACGTATCCTTTTTGACTGAGCTATAGGCTACAGGGCACCATAACCTAAAGACAAAGGATATAAGTAATGATCTCAGTCGGACACAGCGAAGGTGGAACGACTGTATTGAAAGGTACTGTACCTAAAGACAAAGGATATAAGTAATGATCTAGTATGAATGAGTGTGAGTAAGTTATAAGCTAGAGACAGTAAGGTATACGTACCTCAGTCGGGCACAGCGAAGGTGGAACGACTGAGGTACTCGGGTATCGACGGCTAAGCTATATAGTGATCGAGTCAAGGACAGGAGGTAAGATATATATAGTAAGTAAAACGAACGATGGGAGAAAGATAAGGAAACTTGGTATACTGTACGGATATCCTCCAACAAACTCCAATTCCATTGCATGCACCTCAGAAATGATACTCAAAAATTATCTCAGCTTACCATATGCTTACATCTGGTTACCTTCTCTCGCAGTGATGAAAATGTCAGTTATGCATGCCGAAATTTGAGGAACTCAAAACTTGCTCGCGAAACTTCAGAATTGGGGCTCGCATCTCGGAAATAGTGAGGGAATCACACACATACAAAATTCCATGTAATTTGATGGGGAAACGGAGAAGATATAACTGAAAAGTGATATTGCGACTCGACGGACAAAAAAAGCGATCAAGCCCAAAAAGGCAGCTGCACCAACTATTCTGCAAACAGCAATAACTTCCCTCCAATATTGTCGTGCCATGTCAACATTAGCCTTGACATCTATAGCACACAGGCCTATTCTCTCTGCTCGGTCATGGCCTATGACACCATCTTTGCCAATCTCAGCGTCCAAGTGATGGTAAATGAAGAACCAACGATACAAAAAGGTGGGTCCGATCGACTCATACTCGGATACACTGCGCAACGCCCTGTCTCCGGAGATGTATCAAGTACGGGAAAGGAAACAGCCTCTGGAAGAGATCGGGGTTCTTCAAGCTCATCACGGGGTACGTGTTGTGTTCTCTTCCCCTTCTTTTCTGATAGATGAATCATTTCCAGAGTAAACTTTCGTCCACTGTGTACAACCATGTCCAGGTATAACTTGCAGATGTCGATACCCTTGCCAATCCCTTTCTCAGCACTCAGGAGCCATAAGCCCCACTATCATACATGACATCAAAACTTACAGACTACCTTTTTTCTATCAACATTGCAGCCAAATCTCACGCTATGATGGAACAACCTTAATCTGACAGCTGCACTGAAATCTCGTCAGGATGGTTTTCTTGATTCCCTTCCAGGACACAACTTCTTCCATGATTCAACAGAACACATCTCTGAGAGGCTTCCAGTTCACATCGCCACTTTTCCTACAATACAGGGCTTTCCTCAGGAATATCTCACTTCAAGTCACATCTCCATCACAAGCTGTTGAAACTATCAATGTGCACAACAGCTCAATTATTAGCCAAACATGTTTGTCACGTAAGGATCCTGGTTCGACTTGATACTGATGGACATCTTTACAGCAGCCAATGCCAAGCATGGCCATGAGCTGCACTATTTATAATGGAAGAGTTGGTACATGTTATTCCCATCCACTACCCCATTTCTCTTACTTTTCCTCATGGTGATTCAGGCAGATATTCCACCAGATCTTACCAATGAAGACAAAGCTTTCATGTTTCAGTATCTTGATGCTAACCTGAACAACCAAATTCTTTATGCACTATTACATGGTAGGCAACAATGTTTAGTGCCTTCACATGTAAGTGTTAATTGATGACAGGCATATACACTGGAATTCTTGCTGTTGCATTGTGGAATATATGTGAGCCAGGAGCATCTCTACTACAACATCCAAGCTGATGTGAGTGGTACAGTCATCAACAAATGCTGGCCAATCCGACGAGCCTTGGTTGTTGTTCTTGTTCTCCTTCATGCTTTGACTACTATCAATTTTGCTGCCAATTGGTCATTTCTATGCTCTGCATTCATTGAAAATGGGCAAAGTTTTTGGACTGTATACTCAAAGCTTTGTGCTGTGAACCAAGCAGCCTTTTTGGAGATGGGTATTGCAGCCTCTATGAGTACCATTCTTGCAGACTCATACATTGTGTGTTACTTCATTTGTCATTATCCATGTCAGCTTACCATCATTTTGACTCTAGATTTGGTGCTGTTGGATGGTCTGGGGACAGTGCTGGCTTATTGTCCTGCTTCCAATCCTTTCCCTGATTTCTGCAACTGGTAAAGTGACTGATCTCATCTATCCTTTTCATATATTCAACTTTGTCCCTAGTGTCAAAAATCATTATTATATATCATGACTACTTCAATGCATCTAAGCCAGTACTATTCATGATGCTCTACACATCCTTTGTCCTGGTAACAACATTATGGTGCACACTGCTCATCATTTTCCGCATTTTGACTGTTACTGGGGTTAGACATGGAGCAGGCAGCAGACTGAGAGTTTATCACTGTTTTATTGAAGTGCTAGTGGAATCCTCTGCTCTCTATTCAATAAGTCTGATTCTATTCTTGGCTTTCTACATTCGCCATGATTTTGGATGGTATTACCTTGATCCCATAGTTGGTATTGCGAAGGTGTGTTCACAATATTAAATCTTGTTATTTATTAAGCACCTTGTGTAGGGAGTTGCACCCACACTCCTTGTTGGCAGAGCAGCAGCAGGGCACACACATCCAACTGAAGAACATGATGAAAGTGCAACAGTGTCGACTCTTCATTTCCAGGCATCTTTGCAACCTTCACATCTTTCCGTGACAAGCATTCAGCACTCCACCATGCAGAGTGCAGTCCTTGAAGTGGACCTTGAAGCTCAACAGGAGTGGTCAGATGAGCTTGTGGTAGTTGTTGAAAGGACGGAATAGAGCTCGTGTCGAATGTCTGAAAGTCGAGGTGAGACCGAAGACTAAATTTAGACTGATTTTGTGCTTGCTATCGTTTTTGATTATCATACTCTCTACTTATTTTTTGATCAACCATACTTAGAGTATCTAAACTTCTGTAATCCCTCCTTCCCTTTGGATCTTTATGCATGAGCTTGTAGGACAGTTGAACGCGCTGCCCCTGAGTAATGTGCGAAGAAAGAGGAATCGGGATTAGCCGAACCCAACTTGTTTCTTGCTTTTGTGCAAGACGCCAAGATTCCACCCTGCGCTTCACCCTGCCATCTGGGAACTCCGAGAAAGTTCGCAAGAGCCGCCCTTCAGAACTCGAGCGAGCATCTTCCGACGGAGTTTGACTCTAATTTCCATTAGCGCATACTTTGCTATGGAAACTAGATATCACCTTGGACGATTCAGTCTCGTCTGCAACAGACATTTACTCCCCGCCATACGCCAAGCACTACACCCATCATGCATCAAGCTCGCAACCTTCCAAATGCACCATCGAACGCGAAGATGTCGGTATCATTGCGAATAATCGCCTTTGCAGCCCATCCGTGATCGCGAATCTTCCTCTTGATGCCGTTCAGTTGTACGCGTCCAAGTCAAAATTTAACCACCCAAAAGCGGCGGTGGATACGCCACGAATCAAGGATTCTCCTCAATGACCGGTTTCCAGATCGCCTTACGACGTACGACTTTGCGGCGGTGGTTGGTGCCGGCAATATTTGGGACGAAGTGTATGTGGTGCTGAGTGCTCAGGCCCAAAGTGCGAACGTACTTGGAGGGTGTGAGTTCCTTTCCTGACAATCGGAGGACAGGATGGTACGATTCTGTATACGACGAGGGACTGAGTGCCCAGCCTTGCATATTCACGTCTGTCACGCCTGTGAGTGTGTGCAGTCATCAGTTATCTGAAGAGATCCAGGCATGGAATAATGTCAATCTTACACAACTCGCTGAAAAGATCAAGTCGCCACTGGTGTTGAGAGTCGGACACGTTGGCTGCTACCTCGCTTTGATGTTCATTATCCTCAAGTAGACACGTACGAGCTATGACAGCGGGATCGTTGTCTCTGGACAACTGCCATCCGTTTGTGCGCGGAAAGCTTATGGTACATTGATTTCCCCTTTGCCTAGTCGAGTCGTGACTCACGGACGGACGGACTTTAGTTCATGCACAACGGTGGAATCGCCGATTTCCATCTGATAAAGCGGAAACTGCAGAGTCAACTGCCTGACGTCGCCTTTGACACGGTCCAAGGCAATACAGGCGAGTCGTACCCCAAATTCCCTCCATCTCCCAGCTCACGCAGCCTATTAGACTCTGAATGGACCTTTACACTCTTCCTATCAAAGGTAACCCGAATTCTCTTTTCGGTTTCGGTTTCTCATACCCGGGTAGCTCCCAGACCCGAACGCCACGACCTTTAGCTCCCAAACATTGTGAAAGGCGATGCTTGCTTCCCTGAATGCCTTTGCAGAAGAGGCTGGGATCGCTGAGGTTTGCTCGATGCTGTTTCTCCTGGTGTTTATGGATCTGATTGTGCTGTTTTGCTAGCCGAGTCTTATCGACTTTTGTGTAACGGATGGGAGACTGTAATTGCTACGCGGTATATTTCATCACGGAAGGATGAAACGGCTCCCCTGGTAAACAATGCATTGCTAAGGTCTATCAAGGTAATGACTGACGCGGTTGCAGTGGTTCCCGTCCGGCACGACGTTCAGTGAATACGCAGATGGCGGTCACTATAAGATGTCAAAGGCTGACAAGCGAGAGAACATAATCATGGTGCGTCTCTTTTAATCTTTTTGCGTGATTTGCATATCCTTTTAGATTGCGAGCGAACCACTTACGTTTGAACGTATCTGCTTCTAGCTGATTGGATGGAAATAAAAACTAATACCATGGTCATCATCGCGCCCAAGATGAAGCTCTTACAGATATCGATAATCGATCAATTTTACGTCGCGCCTTCAGACTCTAATTCTGCTCGAACTATCGAGTTTGCACGAGAGAAGGGGTTGCTTACACCTCGCAAGGAGCTATCTATCTTCGCCATAGATTATATAGAATAGCATATTTTGGTTGTTGTACATACTAATTGGAATCTAACCAGGGGTTACCTGTGCGGGGCACGATAGTTGATCATTACATCCAACTGTACGATGAGTCGACAGCAATGTGATATCTACTGATTAGAGCTATCTTGCGAAGAAGGGGAAGTTGTCCCGTTTCCATTTCTTGAGGAGCGGGCTGTCATCATTTGAATAGCTAGCGGTGTTCCTATTGCAACGCAAGTCAGTCAAAAACGAAGCTTTCTTCTTCAGGTCGGGTGAGATAAACTTGGAGGGAGAGCCATATCCTTTGATCTAGAGTGCGGTGGCACAAACGACCGTCCCAAGTACGTGAGTTTGTCGAGTTCGCTCTCGAAGACCTCGGCAAGACCTGCCTTGTCATGAATGGCACTGTGAAGGAGGTCCGAGAGCTTTCAGTCAGAATCCCCAGCGTCGTAGCGAACGGGAAACTATAAACCCAGAAAATAGCAGCGGCAGTTTCGGGCTGTTGAATTTGAGCCAAGGTAGAAATGCTTTTAGCTCGAGCTTGTTCTCTGGAACAACGTCTCCCTCTTGGCTTCAGAACACCTGTTTCGGGGAGACTTGGGGAAGACGGTGTGAGAGTAGAGGCACTTGTGCTTGACATGCGTCAGGAAGGGCAGCGCGAGGGGAGGTGGGTAATGACTGTTTATGTACTTTGGACGGAGGGCGTCTCCTCGTAGTAGGGGTGTGCAAGTTTGTTCATATATTAAGTATTTCAGTATTGGAGCGCGATGAAGGGGAGGGAGAAATAGTCGCAGTCGTCTGGGAATGCGATTGATTGCCATGACAGGGATAGGCTGAAGACAATGTGAGATGAGAGCTCGTTTACATCGCGGGTTGCCACCCGCCGGTAGGTGCAATTCGCAATCAGTAGTTCTAGCACGTCTCTGATGTCGTCGGGGGGTGTCGAGCGAAGCTATGTATGGCAAAAAAATTCAGATCAAAAGATGCAAGGTATAGCTCAGCAGGGGTTAGTACACGGGAAGAAGGAACGAATGCCGACACATACAGAGTGTCGGCATAGAGGCGTCGTGGTAGCAGGAAGTTTTGAGAGCACAGTGGATGTAGACTGACATCAGCTGACAAGGGGGAATTTACCACGGCCCCTGTTGTAGTCACGTTGTTCGTGATTCTTTTGTCCCGCGTCGACTGCAGTGGCATGCGTGTACCGACAGAACGCGAACATGTCGTTTAGCCCTTGGATCCTCTGGAGCGCACTCTCCCATACTGCCAGGTAACGTTTCTCGTGGCTGACCTAAACGTTTCTAAACCATCCTCGCAGACTGTCCACCGCCCTTCAGATCCTGATCTTCCTCCCTCTCACACTAGTCACACTCTCCAAACCAGCCTTCCTCCTGCTCTCCCTCCTCCTCACCGTGCACGCCGCCATCCATGGCACCATGATCCTCTTCTGGGGTTCCCCCGCGCTATCGCTCCTCCAAGTCCCGATGCACCCGTTCCTCCTCCTCGTCTGCTTTAATGCATTCTCCACCTCCGTCCATCCGTGGCTCGGCCCCGCCACCTCCATATGGGGTACGATACTCACCTACATGGGCCCGCTGTTCATCGCGCTGGAGGGCCTATCGAGTTTGGTGGTGGTGCAGAAGCTGGGGCAACAGGGGAAGAAGTTGGTAGAGGAGGGGGAGATATATCAGTTTGGGTTACTCATTGCTTCGGCTGGGACGTATGTGGCTAGTGCTTGGTGGATTGTTAATGTGCGTTGTTCGTTCCTTTGTGTGTGAGGCTGGCTCGTGGTTCTGACTCTCGCTAGGCGTACCCTGCGGCTGCGTCTTCCCCGCTGTCCTCGACGTTTCTCGGAGTTGCGATTACCGCGTTGCTCTTTCTTACCTTCATTGGCTTCTTTTTGAGACGGACGAATATCATCGAGTCTTCCGGCCTGGCTTTGTTCATGGCGTACAATGTCTGGCTTTGTGGATTTGACCAGGAGTTATCTTCGGACCCGTCTTATTCTTAGTATGTACTACTCTACCTTTCGGAGAGGCGACAGTACTGATTGCTGTGATAGCGTCCCGCTCCTCCCAAACCTGATTCCTCATCTCCAGACTTTGCTCAATTTCGTTACGAACACGCTGCCTAAACCAGTGTTGGTGGCTTTGTTGTACCGACTGACGGTGTTGCAGCTGGCTTCGAAGATCTTGCCGGGTATCGGCGCCGACAGTTGGGACGACGAAGATGGTGTTGATAATGGCTGGGAGGATCGACCGGTGAGAGAACGTGTATACTTATGTCCTTGCGCTAATCTTTCCTCTAGACGTTGACGTTGACTCGGATACTCTTGACGTACCGACAATTGATTTTCGTGACTGTGTACTCTCACCTCCTCTGTGAGTCTTTTCGTCTTTCACTTGGGGTACATCGCTGACCCATTGTCCAGTGTTGGATCATTCATCCCAAGTATGGTGGCGATGGATAAACATCTTCTTCACGCTGGTTATGTGGTCCATCGAACTACTTGTTAGTACTGAAGACGATACGGTCCAAAAAGAATGGAAGGTAGATTAATGTTTCACGGTTCCTGTACTTGTTATGCATTCGCTTTCCATTCTGCTTGGCTGTCACCCATTCCCTCGTAATATTCTCGTTTTAAACCAGTGCTGTTTGCTTTACTATCCCAGGTATGGTGGCGACGGGCTGTCTTACTGGGCAAGTCGATGTAACCGCAAGCATTGTTAGGTGGAGTGGTAAGACTTGCAGCCATAGTCGCTGCTGTTGTTTGAACATAATCGTTGTAATGGATGATGGCATTTGGGACTACTAGCTCGTACGCGAGCACATCGATAGCGAGCCCATACTGGTTGCTCAGCCACGAATACCCTTCAGAAAGGCTTTCAGCTAGGACTTGGATCCTCACATGGCATCGTCAGGAAACAAGTTGGTTCGGCTGATCCCGAAGCACTTTTCTTCCTTCGCACATTAAGCGCGTTCAGCTAGGCGCAACCATCTTGTAATCGCTTAACTATGCATCTGAATCAGGAAATGATGGAGAACAGAGTATGGCCTGAGTTATGGGTATGTTGAATGTTCTCTGGAGTTCCTACTATACTCATAAACATGTAGACAGTAGAAATAACATTGTTCCTCAGGACTCTCCTACAAGCTCATGCATAAAGATCCAAAGGGAAGAAGGGATTACAGAAGTTTAGATACTCTATAGTTGATCAAAAAATAAAGTCGAGAGGACAATAATCAAAAAGGATAGCAAGCAAAAAATTACAGTCTAAATTTAGTCTCCAGTCTCACCATAAGCTCTATTCTGTCCTTTCAACAACTACTACATGTTCATCTGACTGCTCCTGTTGAGCTTCAATGTCCACTTCAAGGACTGCAGTCTGCATATTGGATTCTTGAAAGCTTGCCATGGAAGGTTCTGAAGGTTGAGAAGATTGTGAAGATGTCTGGAAATGAATGGTAGACACTGATGAACTTTCATCATGTTCTTCAGTTGGCTGTGTGTGTCCTGCTGCTGCTCTGCCAACAATGAGTGTGGGTGCAACTCCCTACACAAGGTGTTCAATAAAACATGAGAGTGTTCAAGATAGCATACACACCTTTGCAATGCCAGCTATTGCATCAAAATAGAGATATTCAAAATCATCACAAAGGAAAAAAGCCAAGTATAGAATCAGAGCTATCGAATAGAGAGCAGAAGATTCCACTAGCACTTCAATAAAACTGTAATAAACTCTTAACCGGCTGCCTGCACTGCGTCTAACCCCAGTAACAGCTAAAATGCGGAAAATGATAAGCAGTGTGCACCACAATGTCGTTACCAGAATGAAGGATGCATAGAGTGTCAGGAATAGTACTGAGTAATTTTCACTGAAGTACTGATGATATACATCAATGATTTTTGAAACTACACAAAAGTTGAATATATGAAAAGGATAGATGAGATCAGGTACTCTACCAGTTGCAGAAATTAGGGAAAGGATTGGAAGCAGAACAATAAGCCAGTGCTGTCCCCAGACCATCCAACAGCACCAAATCTAGAGTTGAAAAGATGGTAAGCTGACATGAATAATTACTAACAAAGTAGCACTCACAATATATGAGTCTGCAAGAATGGTACTCATAGGGGCTGCAATGCCCATCTCCAAATAATCTGCTTGATTCACACTGTTAAGCTCTGAAGACACAGTCAAAAAGCTTTGCCCATTTTTGATGAATGCTGAGCATATAAAAGACCATTTGGCAGCAAAAGAGATAGTAATCAGAGCATGGAGGAGAATAATGACAACCAAGGCTCGTCGGATCAGCCCTGAGCGTTTATTGATGACTGTGTCACTCATGTCAACTTGGATGCTGTAGTAGAGATGCTTCTGGCTCACATATATTCCACAATGTAACAGCAAAAATTCCAGTGTATATGCCTGTCATCAATTAACACTTATATGTCAAGACACCAAATGTCATTGCCCACCATGCAATAATGCCAGGAGAATTTGAGTGTTCAGGTTAGTATCAAGAACTTGAAATATGAAAGCTTTGTCTTTGTTGGTAAGATCTGGTGGAATATCTGTTTGAGCCACCATGAGAGAAAGCAGGTGCAATGGGATAGTGGGTTATGAGAATAACATGTACCAACCCTACTGTTATAAATGGTGCAGTATATGGTCATGCTCATTGGCTGCTGCAAAGATGATCATCAGTATAAAGTCAAATCAGGATCCATACATATTGAACATGTTTGGCAACTTAGTGAACCATCATGTACATTGACATTTTCAACTCATTTCAACTTGCAAGTCCAATGTTACTCGAAGTGAGATATTTCCGGAGAAAAGCTTCTATTGTAGAGAAGCCACTTACACAAACTGTGAGCTTCTCAGGTATGTGTTCTGTTGAATTAGGTTCTATCCAAGAAGAGAATCAAGAAGTTCATTAACTCAAGTGAGGCACCTACCAATGCAAGCCTGTTCTGTCATGATGTGAATCTTAAGTAGGTCTTGCTCCACAATCTAGGAACATTTTGATGCCAGTTTCTGAATGTCACTATGCTGAAGATCCTGATATTTGAGTCTCAGTAAAGATTTTCATAGGGGTACCAGCTTTGCAAATCATATAGAAATAAGAGCCGGAAGCATGGTCATATAAGATGGGAGAAAGTTATCCTGTAAATGGGGCATCTATTGGAAAAGCAGGGGAAGAGAAAACAACACATACCCTACAATGAGCTTAAAGAATCCTGATCTCTTCCAGAGCTTTCCAGTACTCGATATATCTCCAGGGACAGGGTGTTACACAATGTATCCGAGTATGAATCGACTCATCTTTGTTTCCATCGTCGTTTCTTCAATAGCCATCACTTGGACACTGAGGTAGGTAAAGGCGGTAGCAGGCCAATACTGAGAGCTGAGAGAATCGACGGGTGGGCCATAGAAACGACATGATGCGACGGTATTGGAAAGAAGTTGATCAAGTTACACAGAAGAGTGGCCGGGCATCTAGAAAGGATCGGGACAGATGGCGAAGGAGGGGAGATAGCTGTTCGCTGTGTGGTGAAGAAGACAAGGTCTCACAGTTGGGCTCATTATTCTGGTGACCGTAATCACGGAAGGCAGTACATGTGCTACCACCAGCATCCCAGAGGTGGCACTGCAACTCACGACGTCTTTGTCGTTTCAGGCTATACTAATAATACTAGATAACACATTAAAATGGCGATTATTGTCCAAACCAATGATTCTTTAAAAAGCTCACTTATTCATTCGTACCTCCTTCAGTTTGTCATTTCTATAATGCCGGTTTCATCGTTGAGTGATCGTTGATGCTAAAGTTCCGTCTACATGCATTGAACAACCTGTCTTCATACGGATCATTGAGTCTGGTTTACCAGAGCAAAAGCTCCGTAGTACTAGCATCTCAGCCGCTTCATAGATGACATCTCTCCAGTTCCAGAATTTCCTGGTGATGGTGGATTTGAGTCCAGTAAAGCCCAGAAAAAACCGGCTGTTCAAAGCTCTAGGGGGTTGATACCGCTGAACATCCAAGTGCTTCGCTGTCATCCATTCCTTCGTAGTATTCTCGTTTCCAGATCTGGGCTTTTTGCTTTACTTCTTCGAGGATCCTCTTGCATGCTACAAAGGCTTCTTTATGGTGGGGAGAGGAGATGGCGATAACTGGGATTTGAGTTAGTGTAGGGATGGGTGAGGATTGTAGTAGTGCTTATTGAGGTTCTCCAACGGGAATGACACCAATCCGGTGATGAATGGTGCAACGAATGAGGGAACTCTGCGATTCTGGTTGATGCTTCAAACATGTTAGGCTTTGCCACGCGTCTTGAATTATACTAGCCATAGTCTTGATAGCCAACTTTGAATAAGCTTGGTATTCAAGGCACATAATGGTTCTTTCTAGTACATAGATATGCATTTCTCCATAGTGCCAACGGTTTGATACCAACCTTTGAATGAATTTCGTGTAGCACCTAGTAGGCAGTATAAGGATATCAGAGCCAAGCCTGGCCAAGAGCAGGTCGACTTTACCAATGAAAACGGTGGTAGCACCCGCAGCGTCGTCCCCTACAGATTGAACTATTTGCTGGATGTCCAGGGGCTGTGAAGTTATTGAACAGACTCTGCCTGGGATGTCTAGAGCGATGTCAATGGTTGTTGGCCCGGTTTCAGCACAGCCTCCCACCGCACTGCTCCCCAAAGTCCAAGAAGCATTATCCACACACAAGCCAGTAGTAGCCCTAGAAGTCAGCCAGCTGTATCCCCGGCTACACGTACAAAACCTACGACTACGTGCACCAACATCGCCTTCCTCCACCGTCTTCAATCTCATTTCTCTCCCTTCCCTCTGCCCGCCCCTTTGTCCATCTGCAATTGCTGCCTCCCATCCCGCCCTCCTATCCTCAGCCGTCGACCCTCATCCTTCGTCTTCAGCATCAATTGCAGCATCTTGCCAGACAGCCGCATATCGTGTCAGTGCCAGGCAGTGCAAGAAAGGAGGGCCAGTGTCGTGCAGGATGGTGTTTGGGTACTAGTAGGCACAAACTCACAGGGTAGCTCCATCTCACAGGTGCGGATTGGGAGTGTTGATGTGGATGCACGCGCACTCTGCGTAAGCCACTTGTTAGAATACAAACAGTAAGCCCTTGTAAAGTCAACACCCCTTGATAATATTAACATGCCTTCATTCACAGCATCCTTCGTTGTTGTAAACTGAGCCATTGCACTGCATTTTCATGAGTGTTGAAGGGCGGGAGTCGGTGCAGAGAAGTTGTTCATCCTCGGTCAGGGTACACATCCACACCGGGTGCGACGATGGCTCTGCCGCAGGTGTTGGTGGGAGTATGTACACTGTACATGGTCTACTTGTTAGAATACTAATGAAAAAATATTGTAAACTCAACACACCTTCAAATACCACACCAATAACATTATCATCAACCCCTCATTCAAGCGAAAACGTTGCACTAACAGATAAAGACCTCAAATAGTCATTGTGACTCGAGCCGGGGCGCTATGCTTGCCGAGTGTTGGTGGGACAGCTGCCATGACTGTAGAGCTTGTGGGTGATCATGTTGGTGTTGGTAGACCAACATCTCTTGTTTGGGCTTGTCAGGGATGTGTCAATTCACCCTAAAATGACAGCATCAGAAACAGGCGAGAGGGTACTGAAAAGGCATACTATGAGGCATGTTGCACGCGAAAACAGGCTCGCGAGAGGTGTCAATTGACTGTTCGAGGGGACGGCAGCTTATAAAAACCTAGGCAGTTGAGAATACAGAAATTCGTTGAAAAGACAATACACACACCAGCAGCCCCATGTCCTACCAATGCAATTGATTGATATATAGCTACAGATAAGGATTTTTGTGAACAAAAGGCAATGGCACTCACAAGGGGAAAAAAGCTTACCTCTGCATTTTTGAACGTGGGAGAACTGCATCACGATCTTCGAGATCGAGATCGACAACAATGGCAAAGGGACTACCAAACAAGCTATGAGGATAAAATCAAAGAAAAGGAAAACAGACGAGCTCACCACTGAGCTCGACGATGAAATAGCAATCAAGATGGAAGTCCGTACACCATACTAGGTAGTAGCAGAGTCGAGAGTGAGGAAGTAGAGGTCAAAAGAGGAGGGGAGGACAAAGGGGTGAAGTGGGAATGAAGCAGGGAACTGGAGTTCGATCCCAAAATTGACCCCACTTTTATATCCAAGGAATCTCATCAGAAACGGTGTGGAGTTTCAAGTTGGAAAGAACCCGGAGAGAACACGAAGAGAGAATAATGAAGCAATCATCGGACGTTGATCAGTTCTGACTGACAGCGTTGTTATTTCCAGTGTGCAGTAAGTTTGACATATGGCGACTTTGAACTTCATAGATTAACAGTTCAGATAATGATATTCATTGTCCTTGTCTCCTGGGTAATCTTGTCAGCTCCAACTCTGAGATTAGACTGGGAAGAAAAAACCTTGAATGCTTCGCTTGACTTGTGGTGATCGGAGGCTCTGGATATCTTGCCAGCCTCTGTGCCGTGTTCCATCGAGTACACCTTTGTACTCATGCGTTTGCTCTGTGTGGATCAATTGATCAAGCAAGCAATAAATCAACGCTCTTGAAGAAATTTAATATAATTTGAGTCACTCCCAAAGAAACAGAACCTGAAAAATATGCACCAGTGCTCGATGTCTTCGTATCCTCATGCTACCAGTCCCATATTGGGAAAGCAGCAACTCAAAATGACCTCGGGGCTAGGAAACTGGGGATGGGTTAAATTTTAACAAATTCAGGACAGAATACACACATTTTGAATTGCTGAGACCCATTTCCAGGACTTGAATCGGGGGAGGAACATGAAAAACAGCTGAGAGTATGACAGCTCTGCACTTGCAAATCAATCGACAAACGCCACTCCAGAGACAATGCTGAGAGTGCAGTGATAGGAGGAATACCATTCAATTCTTCATACCAGGCTGCATAAATGTCCCCACATTCGAAACCGGTTGAAATTTGAATAACACCGAATTGAAGGGTTGCTCAAATTATACATGTGGTGATTACAGGAAAGTTCTAAAATTCAGAGTGAATACAACAATTTGAAGTGACATTTTGATGGGAACATACACGAGGCATCAGGATGGATAGACGTCTTGCCAGTGATATGTCGATGTCGACTGATGTTGGTTTCGAGTCCTTGAAGCAAATTATGAGGGCCCTGCTACATACATTCCTCGAAGAATAACATTATTTGACCTAAAAAAAATACAAGAATGAGACTCAGCACAATTTACTCTCAGAACCTGCACAAGTTCACTCACCAGTAGTATCCCATTAAACACGACATCATAAAATAAACCACAGTTCCAGAAAATGGATGAAAATCAGGGAATCGGCGATGTCATTGATATCCTAGTGGAAGGAGGTGTCGAGAGGTGGGACTTGAGCAGAGCATGTCCAGCTGATAGTGAGGAGGTAGGTGAAACGAAAACTGTCCCCTGTCGAAAGAGTAAGCAGTGAACTTTGAACAATGGAAGATGTTGTAAAACTAACCTGGAACTTGAAACGAGATAGCAAGTGATTGATTATTCTAGTCTCGGGAGAATTCAATGTTCATATGACATTCGCTTGGCGTCAAAGGAGCCGTAAAGCATTTTGAAATACGTCATAAGAAATCGAGGTCTTTTGAAAGTCTGAAGATGCGAAGGAGGATGGCAGGCTATGTGAAACAAGAAGACTTGAGTCTTGGTGGTGAGAGAATAAGCGCCGGCAAACTAGATCATTTCACAGATTGTGTCAGCCACATGCTCTTGCTTGGACTTTGCTCCTTTGCTCGTACATCCATCTCGCCTCGCATCTCTCCCCTCCCTCAGTTCACTTTTGGTGATTTACTTTTCACCCTCTAGACCTCGAGGAGGATTTGAAATGTTCGAGATTTCGGGAGGGAGGTTTTTTTAATGGAAGATGTCAACAGAGCTGTGCCTGTCAGGTAAGTTCTTCCTTCTTCAATTTGTATTTCCAGTTCCTATCCGATGTTCTGCTGTTTTACGTCAGTATTGTAGTAGCATGAATGTGGCCTCTCACCCTGGATAATGTCAGCAATTCCTGGATCAACTGACTCTGGGTTTGGATACACTTGGCACAAACTTCTGTTCACATGGGGTGCCGATATGAAGGCATATACCTCGATTTTGGGCTGCCTTCTGATGTCCCACTTGCTGGACACATGTGATGTTTCAGAGTAAGTTTTTATTTGTTTCTGGGCTACAGATGATGTGAATAACACTTGGATAGAAGATGTACAATGCGATAATTGAAGCAGGTAGTCAACTAGGCCAAATTTTGGAATAAAATCTCCCATGAACTCAGAAGTAAGCATTGTCTCTTTCATAGGAATGCGTAACGAGTTCATTCTGATTTGTTCACTCAACTATCGCAGAAAATTATGATTTATTCAAGGAAATAAGCATGCTACATGTATATCTAACACCCGTGGATCGATGCCGTTGTCACCTACAGACCCAGAATCAATTTCTCATGCTCTATCTCAATTCTTGGTACCTAATTTCACCTGAACATTCATTCCTCTCGTCTTCTCCCACAGATGCCCGACAGATCTCTGCATCAAGTCCCTGAAACCGTCAGAATTAATGATCGCAAGCCAGATTTCAATGGCTTGACTCACCATCACTCACGAGAAGATCTGTTTCAAGCCAAGATCTCTCTTGTTTCACCAAAGGGTTCATTTGCGATAGGATTCTATGAATCGAGGTCAATTAGCGCACCCAAAATGGATCAAGAATGTACTTCTCCTGCCTATGCCTCGCCATTCACTGATCAACAGCAGCGTCAAGCTTGGAGACCGGAAAATCTTACAGGAACCCGATAGTCAATGAAGAATAAATGCTATCACAACTTACAGCGACAAAGATCACTTGAAATTCTCAGCTGGCAGTACAATTGCGCCTAGGTTAGACAGTCCTCAAATGTAAGTGACCTCGAAATTTAATTTGGAATGAATACTCACTGTTGATCTAGTGCAGACCCGAACTTAAGGAATGAAACCTGCATGATGGCCAGCATTCGAAGACTCACAGAGTCGCAAGCGTACTTTCTCAGAGGTGGCACATTGCATCTCCACGTCGATCAAGATACCATGCAGACCATGGAGAAGACATTGGTAAGTAACCATGTCAATCACCCATCAATTTGTTTACTCACCATTCATTTAGAGTGGCTCCGAACATGGCGTCGGGGGACCCTGGATTTGCATGTCAAACTTGAAGTGATCATAGCAGGAGAAAATCGTCCCCTGGCATGCCACCGTCAAGGTCAAATTTGAATTCAAGTTCACGATCTTGAGAAGACACGACTATAGCTGCACATCCCACTGGCTGTCTGAATCCTGTTGGTTCTGCTGCATTAACACGAGGTCAGGCATGTCTTACCAAAGCGACTGCTACGCTCAATGCCCAAGATCCTCCATTTGACGTCGGGTGCATCGTCTCCAAGAAATTTTCCTGCCGCTCACTGAATGATTTGGAAGCTGGTTGCCTTGAAGTTGAAGCTGAATCATTGTGGGTTGAGTGCAGATCAGAATTGGAATTACCAGGGTATAGATGGCGATTGCGTCTTTGGATTCAATTTCGTGCCATTGGCCAGACGGTTGAATGCGAGAGATGGAGAAGTCAGTTCAACGGGAAATTGCTGGCAACAGCAAACACAGGTGCATACACCTCTGGATTTCAAGACTCTCGAAATTCACTTCTCTGTGGGAAGAGGATAAGCCTGAGAAATGCTGTGAGTACATCTCTACTCCATGAATTCCTGTTGACTTACCTTCAAAGGATGCCAGGGACTTTCAGCATTGTGTCCAAGAGCATGATGGATGAATTCTGCCTGATTTACACCTGAATTGCTGGTATTCAGTGGGCTGCTTTGAGAGTTCTTGGGAGGTACGGATGACGACAGGAGCTAGAGTCAGGGGCAGTGACTGTTGGCAGGAAGAGTAAACAACGTACGTTGATTTGTTTGTATATCTTGGCACATCTTGACTCAGGGACACAGTTAATGTTACATTTGATGGAAATTTGGAAGTGTGCCATTCAAGTCGAGCCCATTTCTGAACAAGTTAAATGACAGACGGATGTCCGATTTCAGTTTTATTTTTTCTGAACAAAATACACAATTTGAGGGTTACGGTATCCGAGTGTTGAGGCTTCTCGAGCGCAGAAGATTGTATATGTTTGAAGTATAGATGTTTGACAGGTGTGACAACACCAACAGAGTCCGTCGTCATGTTTTTCCCCCGCAATATTGTTTATCCTATTGTTGACAAGTGCCGAAGTTCTGTTGATACCGTGTCAGTTTATTTTCTTTCTTATACCTTTACCTGTACAAACTCTGCCACCTTCCATCCCCATTCTTCCCTCCCTCCCTCCCTCTCCCTCCCCACTATCCCCTCCTCCACTTCATTTAACACGGAAACAGCATGTTCTCTGCTCTGTGGCTTTCCTTCAATGCTTTTCCATTGCAAGAAGAGTCTTGAGCATTGATGCCCATATTGGGGTCAACGACATCAATCAACCATGTGGTGCACACTTCTTTCCTCCTACCACCACCACGCTAAGTTTTATTCCTTCTCATCGTATGTTCTTACACTCATGACTTCGAATTTAGAGTCTTGTTAGCAGCACAAAGCTATGGTATGTGTTTCTAGTTTGTATCTTGGCTGAAACCTTCACTCCCCAGATGGCCTCAAGTCCCGAATTTTTGTGATGGACGACATATGACATGATGTTCACGTCGTTTTCTTACCTATAGGTCTCCTGGATGGGTCAAGTCACGTAGAATTTGCAGAGTAGAGCGCATTTACGTTACCAATGCAAGTCTTGGTCTAGTGATACCAGTTCCAGGACTAGACTAATGGCCAATTCAGTGGCCGTTGCTATGTTCTTCAAGGCCAGGGTTTTGGAGCCGCCCAACCAAAAACAACACGGGGATTGGCCCGAGACGACGTATCATCATCTGGAGAGTGAGGTAGGTCTTCAATTAAGTCAATAACTCTATATCATCACTAACATTTGCTTGAAGTTGCTGAACTTCTTCCAACACCAGGATTGCACCGAGACAACGTATTTGCATCCGCAGAGGCGAGGTAAGTCTTCACTAAACTGAACTATTGCCTGCAATGACTTTGCCTTGAAGCTAGATCAAACCAAGGTCAGGATTGCTCCGAGACAACATGTTCGGTTAAGTGAATAACTCTATATCATTATTAATATTGTCTTGAGGCTGCCGAACTGGAAAGAACATGGGGATTGTGTCAAGACGATGCATTTTCGTCAGGTGAGCAAGGTCAGTGTCTGCTCTAGTCCATGAACTATCATTATACTGACATTGGATTGAGGCTGCTGAACTAGTACCAACGTGGGGGCTGTTTCGAGACGACATATCTTCGTCTGCCGAGTGACCTAAGTCATTGCTTAGGTTGATAACCTATTATCAGGACTGACTTTGGATTGAAGCTACCTAAATCAAACCAAGACTATAATTACTCTGAGACAATGTATCCTCATCCAGTGAGCGAGGTAAGCATTCAGTTAAGATGATAACTTACCATCATCACTGACATTTTCTTGAAGCTGTCGAACTCCAATCAACACCAGAATCATGCCGAGACGACGTATCTTCATCCGCTGATTGAGGTAAATCATCGCTTAAGTCAATAACTCATTATCAGGGCTGACTCTGGCTTGAAGCTACCCAAATGAAACCAAGACCAGGATTACTCCAAGACGACATATCTTTGCCTGGAGAGCAAGGTATGTTTACTTTATGAGTCTCATTTCCCTTACTAAGGTGTTTCCCCAGTATTCGAGCTTGAACAAATGCAGTGAAGAGTTTGAGTATATGTATCGCCTTCCGACGAGCGAGGTAAGTTGTTTTGTAGGAAAACTCTCATTGATATTTTCTCATTCTTTCACAGGGACAGAGGTTGGTTTGCCAGAATGCGAACCTTACGGAGTCAATGGCATGCTTGCAGGGTAGATTTGAAGTGACCCATGAAGCTCTTTCCACTGTTCTCGACTCTGAACCGATGTCAGATAGTATGGTAAGTTGTTATTTAGTATCTTGTCAATATCTTTGTGTTAAATTTTTACACGTTCTAGATTCGAGTTTGACCTTGATTTTCGAGGCTGAAACCCTGTGGAGCCAGCATCACACATCAAGGAAAACGCAAGTTGGGTTATTTTCTGTTGATTCTGCTTGAACTTTAAGTGGATTTTCTTGCAGGATGAGCAAGACATGACCGTAGAGCCATGTCGTTCTTGAGGCAAGCCAGGTACCCAAGATTTAACTTAAGCCTGATTCGATGTTGTTGTGCATGCGGGGAGTGGAGGCACGCTTGCAAGGATTCAGGCAACTCAGAGAGGGTTTCTGGTTGAAGAGGTGGTTGCCTGGAGAGGTCCCAGTATTCTGAATAGCTGTCTTGGGCAAGTCCCAAGACTGGCTAATTTTTTTTAGACCCTGCAAGAAAGGAAATTGAGGGTGTAGTTATGTTTGAGTGTAGTGAGTACATAATCCAAGGAGGTCTAAACCACACACACGAGTGGCGAGAGAGTGCCCATTTCACCACAGAATAGCCTCATTCAGTCTGCTCTCGAGGTCTTGACATCTCATCAACTGCCATAAATAGTGATCGTCCGCAGCATCATGACGATCCTGACTTGTGCACGCCTCACTCAAAGACTTGCATCTCGAGCCCGGTTCAGCACAGCTCACCACACAGCTCCTCTGGACATCTGCATCTACCCTGAAGTTCAAGAAGCATTGTCCACACACAAGCTAGTAGTAGCCCTCAAGACCACCCTCATTGGCACGAGGATGGATGGAGGTACTGTTGGCTAATATACTGGGGTTTCGTGGGGGCTGAACTGTACAGGAATGACTTGCAGTGCTACACTGATATTCGCTGCCTTGGCTAGTATCAAGGTATGGTTCCACATCTAAACCATGTTTGCAGACTCTCCATCACTCTCCAGATCTTCATCTTCCTCCCTCTCACACTAGCCACACTATCCAAACCCGCATTCCTCCTGCTCTCCCTCCTCCTCACCATACACACTGCCATCCATGGCACCATGATCCTCTTCTGGGGTTCCCCTGTGCTATCGCTCCTTCAAGTCCTGATGCCCCCTTCCTCCTCCTCATCTGCTTCAACGCATTCTCCACCTCCATCCACCCATGGCTCGGCCCTGCCACCTCCGTATGGGGTACGATACTAACGTATATGGGCCCACTGTTCGTCGCTCTGGAGGGCCTATCAAGTTTGGTGGTGGTCCAGAAGCTGGGGTAGCAGGGGAAGAGGTTGATGGAGGAGGGGGAGATGTATCAGTTTGGGTTGTTGATTGCTTCTGCTGGGACATATGTGGCTAGTGCTTGGTGGATTGTCAATGTACATTTGCTTCTTGCACTCGTGGGTTCTGACTTACACGTGCTTGCCAGGCGTACCCTGCAGCTGCATCTTCCCCGCTGTCCTCGACATTTCTCGGAGTTGCGATTACCGCATTGCTCTTTCTTATGTTCATCAGGTTCTTTTTGAGGCAGACGAATATCATCGAATCTTTCGGCCTGGCTTTGTGGATTTGACCAGGAGCTGTCTTCAGACCCATCATATTCCTAGTATGTTCCATGATATCCTTCAGGGAGCCAATGCTGACTGTTGTGATAGCGTTCCACTCCTCCCAAACCTGATTCCTCATCTTCAGACTTTGCTCAACTTTGTTATGAACACGCTGCCTAAACCAGTGCTGGTTGCCTTGCTGTACCGATTGATAGTGTTGCAGCTGGCTTCGAAGATCTTGCCAGGTATCGGTGCTGATAGTTGGGACAATGAAGATGGCATTGATAATGGATGGGAAGATCGACCAGTGAGAGAGCAGCTCAGAGTGTATACTTGCGCTAATCTCACCTCCAGACGTTGACGTTGACTCGGATACTCTTGACGTATCGACAGTTGATTTTCGTCACTGTACTCTCATCTCCTCTGTGCGTCTTGTCGTCTTTCACTTGGGGTACATTGCTGATCCATTGTCCAGTGTTGGATCATTCATTCCAAGTATGGTGGCACTGGATTAACATCTTTTTCATGCTAGTTATGTGGTCTATCGAACTACTTGTTAGTACTGAAGACAACACAGTCCAAAAAGAATGGAAGGTAGATTGATGATTAAAGGTTCCTGTACTTGTTATGCATCAGCGTTCCACTCTGCTATCCATTCCCTCAAAGTATCCTCATTTCCAAATCTGTGCTTTCTGCTTTACTTCCCCAAGTATGTACCGGAGAGTCATACATGACCTCGTCAGAGCGACTTGGACACATACACCAAATGGCGTCTTCGTTTTGCCCAGCTGGGATGAAGTCAGGCATGAACCAACAAGCAAAGGTGATACTCACAATGTATTCAGCAGACCTGAGTTTGATGGTGCATTTGGAAGGTTGCGAGCTTGAGCTTGGTGGGGAGTAGTGCTTGTCATCTCTGATGTATGATGGGAGTAGATGTCTGAGACTGAAACATTCGAGGTAATAGCTTTCGACCATTTACGGCAGCTCCGCCTTGAGATTAATAGCGCTCAAGGATCTTTGCTTGATGTGACCATCCTGGAATAACATGGCTCCTTAGGACTGTCCTACAGGTTCATGCATAAAGATCCAAAGCAAAGAGGGGATTACAGAAGTTTAGATACTCTATAGTTGATCAAAAAATAAAATAGAGAATACAATAATCAAAAAGGATAGCAAGCAAAAAATTACAGTCTAAATTTAGTCTCCATCCCACCCTGACTTTCAGATGTCCACCATGAGCTCTATTCTGTCCTTTCAACAACTACCACAAGCTCATCTGACTGCTCCCTTTGAGCTTCAATGTCCACTTCAAGGACTCCACTCTGCATGGTGGAGTGCTGAAAGCTTGCCATGGAAGGTTGTGAAGGTTGAGAAGATTGCAAAGATGTCTGGAAATGAAGGGTTGACACTGTCACACTTTCATCATGTTCTTCAGTTGGCTGTGTGTGTCCTGCTGCTGCTCTGCCAACAAGGAGTGTGGGTGCAACTCCCTACACAAGATGCTTAATAAATAACAAGTTCTAAGATCATAAACACACCTTTGCAATAGCAGCTATAGCTTCAATGTAATAGAATCCAAAATCATTGTGATTGAGGAAAGCCAAGAGTAGAATCAGAGTTATTGAATAGAGAGCAGAGGATTCCACTAGCACTTCAATAAAATGGTAATAAACTCTCAGTCAGCCACCTGCTCCATGTCTAACCCCAGTAACAGTCAAAATGCGGAAAATGATAAACAGTGTGCACCATAATGTCGTTGCCAGGACGAAGGATGTGTAGAGCATCATGAATACTGAGTCAGATGCACTGGAGTAGTCATGATGTACCTCAATGATTTTTGAAACTACACAGAAGCTGAATATATGAAAAGGATAGATGAGATCAGACACTTTACCAGTTGCAGAAATTAGGGAAAGGATTGGAAGCAGGACAATAAGCCAGTGCTGTCCCCAGACTGTCCAACAACACCAAATCTGGATTTGGAAAAGATGGTAAGCTGACATGGATAATCACAAGTGAAGTGGCACACAATATATGAGTCTGCAAGAATGGTACTCATACAGGCTGGAATACCCATCACCCAGGAGACTGCTTGGTTCCTACCATTAAGCTTCAAGTATATGGTCCAAAAACTCTGCCCATTTTCAATGAATGCAGAGTATATAGATGACCAACTAGCAGCCAAATTGATAGTAATGAGGGCATAAAGGAGAATAATAACAACAACCAAGGCTCGTCGGATCGGTGAGCATTTATTGATGACTGTGTCACTCACATCAGCTTGGATGCCATAGTAGAGATGCTCCTGGCTCACTGATATTCCACAATGTAACAGCAAGAATTCCAGTGTATATGCCTGTTGTCAATTAACACTTACACGTCAAGTTGCTAAACATTGTTGCCCACCATGTAATAGGGCATAGAGAATTTGTTCATTCAGAGAAGCATTGAGAGTTTGAAACATGAAAGCTTTGTCTTCATCAGGAAGATCTGGTGGAATATCTGTCTGAGTGGCCATGAGGAAAAGTAAGAGAAACAGGGTGGTGGATGAGAATAACATGTACCAACCAACCCTACCATTATAAACAGTGCAGCTTATGGCCATGCTCACTGGCTGCTGCAAAGATGACCATCAGTATCAAGTTTAACCAGGATCCTTGCATGCTGAACATGCTCAGCAAATAATTGAGCTGTTGTGCACATTGATAGTTTCAACAACTTGCGACAGAGATGTGACTTGAAATGAGATGTTCCTGGAAAAAGTCATACATCATGGGGAAAGTGGCAATGCAAACTGGAAGCTTCTCAGAGATGGGTTCTGTTTGATCACGGAAGAAGTTGCATCCTGGAAGAGAATCAAGGGACCATCCTGATGAGATTTCAGCGCAGCTGTCAGATTGAGGTCATTCCGTCAGAGTGTGAGATTTGGCTGCAAAGTTGACAGAAAAAAAGTAGCCTGTAAGTTTCGATGATATGTATGATGGTGGAGCTTAAGGCTACAGAGTTCTGAGAAAGGGATTGGCAAGGGTATCGACATCTGTAAGTCATACCCCGAATGGCCGACGGCCATACACAATGGATGAAAGTTTGCCCTGAAAATGATTCATCTATCAGAAAAGCAGGGGAAGAGAATCCAACACGTACCCCGTGATGAACTTGAAGAACTCCGATCTCTTCCAGAGGCTGTTTCCTTTCCGGTACTTACTTGACACATCTCCGGAGACAGGGCATTGCGCACTGTATCTGAGTATGAGTCGATCGGACCCATCTTGTTTGTATCATCGGTTCTTCATTAACCATCGCTTGGATGCCGAGATTGGCAAAGATGGTGACATAGGCTAAGACTGAGTAGAGAGAATAGGCTGATGAGCCATAGATATCAAGGCTAATGTTGACATGGCGCGACGGTATTGGAGGGAAGTTAAATCAAGTTACACAGAAGAGTGACCGGGCACCTGGAAAAGATCGGAAAAGATGGCGAACGAGGGGAGATATCTGCTTGTTGAACAATGAAGAAGACAGGGCTTCACAGATGGGATCATTAGATATCGTCCAATAAGAATGGCTGAAGGTAGATTAATGATTGATGGTTTCTTGTACTTGTTATGCGTTAGCTTTCCACTCTGCTTCACTGTCATCCATTCCCTTGTAGTATTCTCGTTTCCAGATCTGTGCCTTTCGCTTGACTTGTTCGAGGATCCTCTCACATGCTACGAAGGCTTCTTTACGGTGACTCGGAGGAGAGGAGACGGCGATAACTGGGGATCGAATTAGTGTATTGAAGGGATGGTGAGGATTGTGCTAGTAGCTATTGAGGGTTCTCCAACGGGAACGACACCGATCCGGTAATGAACGGCACAACGAATGAGGGGGCTCTGCGAATCTGGTTGATGCTCCGAACGTGTCAGGCTTTGCTGCGTGTGTTGAATGATAGCCATAGTCTTGATAGCCAATTTCAAAATAAGCTTGGTATTCAAGGTGCGTAACGGTTCTCCCCAGCACACATATGCATTTTTCTGTAGTGCCCCCCGATGGATTGCTACCAGCCTTTGAATGAATTTCGCGTAGTACCTAGGCAGTATAAGGAGATCAGAAGCTAAGAGCGAGTCGACCTTACCAATGAAGACGGTGGTAGCGCCTGCAGCGTCATCCAATACAGGTTGGACTATCTGCTGAACGTCCAGGGGCTGCGAAGTTGTCGAGCAGACCTCCCCTGGGACGTCTAGAGCGATGTCGATGGAGGCCTTGGGAGTTGTCATGCTTGAGACCGGGCCGATCTTCCGCCCTCTCAAGCGCTCTCTACTAACACGAACATGGTCATCCTCACTCATGCACGTCTCGCTCGAAGACTCGCATCTCGAGCCCGGTTCAGCACAGCTTCCCACCATACCGTTCCCCTTAGTATCCACTCCAAAGTCCAAGAAGCCTTATCCACACACAAACCCATAGTAGCCCTCGAAACCACCCTCGTCACACACGGGTTCCTCTACCCGACCAACTACACCCGACCTAGAAGACATCGTACGATCCACGGAGTGTGTCCTGGCTACTATTGGAATCATCGGGGGACGCGTCAAGGTTGGCTTGGAGAGGGATGAGCTTGAGCAGATAGGGAGGGGAATCCTGGGGTGGTCAAGGTTCCGAGGAGGGATATCGCTCCTGTTTTTGGTGCCAAGATGGATGGAGGTACATAACTGCTGCTAAAGAGGGTTTTGCGGGAGCTGAATTGTGTACAGGGACGACCTGCAGTGCTAGGCTGATATTCGTTGCTCTGGCTGGAATCAAGGTATGGTTCTTCCCCATGTACCGTCGGTGATAGCCAATTCTTTCTTTTTACAGGTGTTCGCAACGGGAGGGTGAGCATTTTCCTACTCGAACGACGTGATCTCATGCGCTTTTTAGGCTTGGTGGCGTTCATCGTGGAGCACAAGACTTTATGGTGTTCTTGAATTGCGAATAACATAACGCTAACGAACCATCCATCAGCAATGGACATCTCAGCTGACCTCTTTGAGCTCACCCGTTGTCCAGTCGGTCTTGTGTCTTCGGGGGTTAAATCCATTCTGGACATTGGAAGGTTCGTGACGCGTCCAAAACTTGGAGAGCCACTTTTACTAATGAAACCTCGCAGGACTTTGGAATATCTCGCACGTCTTGTCCTCGTAATGGTCCTTGTTCCCCTACCAATACATTCTACAGGAAACACTGGGCGTTCCTGTAGTCACGTATGGGAAATCTCGTGAATTCCCCGCGTTTTTCACTCGCTCGAGCGAGGGTGGTAGGTCGAGGAGGGGGATCCAAGTGGGTAAAGGCACCCTTCTGACGTACCCAAGGAAGGCCTAATTGATAAAACCAGGTTCCGTGTAAGGTGGATAATCCTTTATCTGCCGCAAGGCTTCTTCGTACGCGTTCTCTCTCAAACCATCACGCTGAGCTCATTATCTCTATTCAGATACACAATGGCAGTTCGGTATGGACAACGGTATACTGATAGCAGCACCCATCCCGGAAGAGCACGAGAAAGAGGGGTCCTCCATCCAGAAGGCTGTGGATCAAGCCGTTCGCGAGTCCGAAGAGAATGGTATGAGTAAGAGGGGGAAGGAAGTCACCCCATGGCTCCTCTATCCCTAGCATTGTCAGATCTCAAAATATGACATTAACCCCAACCCGCGCGACAGATGCATTCCAGACTGATATTCGAACTCTTCTACGCGTACAAAACTTATGACCACATGCACCAGCATCGCCTTCCTCCGTCGTCTTCAATCTGATTTCTCTCCCTTCATGCATTGCCAGCCCTCCGCCCGCATCGGCTACTGCCGCCATGCACCTCCCTTCATCCATCTGCAATTGCCGCCTCCCGTCCTCAGCCGTCGGCCCCCATCCTTCATTTCTCATACCTGCAGCATCGATCGCAGCGTCTCACCAGACGGCCGCGTATCGTGTCGGTGCCAGGCAGTGCAGGAAAGGAGGGCCGGCGTCGTGCAGGACAGTGTTTGGGTACTAGTAACCACAACCTCACAAGGTAGCTCCATTTCGCGGGTGCGGACTGGGAGTGTTGCTGTGGATGCGCGCGCACTCTGCGTAAACTACTTGTTAGAATACCAACAGCAAACACTTGTAAAGTAAACACACCTTGATAATACCACTAAGCCTTCATTCACGGTATCCTTCGTCGTCGTAAACTGAGCCATTGCACCGCGTTTCGTGAGTGTTGAAGGGCGGGAGTCAGTGCAGAGAAGTCGTTCGTCCTCGGTCAGGGTACACATTCACACCGGGTGCGACGACTCTGCCGCAGGTGTTGGTGGGAGTGCGCGCACTGTACATAGCCTACTTGTTAGAATACCAACAAAAAAGATGGAAAAAATATTGTAAACTCAACGCACCTTCAAATACCACACCAATAACACTACCATCAACCCCTCATTCACAGCGAAAACGTCGCACCGCTAACAGACAAGGACCTTGAGTAGTCGTTCTGATTCGAGCCGGGGCACTATGCTTGCCGAGTGTTGGCAGGACAGCTGCCATGACTGTAGAACTTGTGGGTGGTCGTGTTGGTGTTGGTGTTGGTGGACTGGCATCTCTTGATTGGGCTTGTCGGGGATGTCTCAATTCACCCTGAAATGACGGCATCAGAGTCGACAGGCGAGGGTATACTGAGAAGGTGTACTGTGGGACATGTTGCACGCGAAAACAGGCTGGCGAGAGGCGTCAATCGACTGTTCGAGGAGACAGAGGCTTATAAAAACCTAGGCAGTTGAGAATACAGAAATTCATCGAAAAGACAATACACCCACCGGCAGCCCCATGTCCGACCAATGCAATTGATCGATTTATAGCTACAGATAAGGATTTTCGTGAACAAAAGGCAACGGCACTCAGAAGGGGAAAAAGCTTACCTCTGGATTTTTGAACGCGGGAGAACCGGGTCACCATCTTCGAGGTCGACGACAATGGCAAAGGGACTACAAGCAAGTTATGAGGATAAAATCAAAGAAAAAGAAAACAGATGAGCTCACCCCTGAGCTCGACGACGAAGCAGCAGTCAAGGTAGGGTACGCAGTCCGGCCCGTGCACTGAGCGAGAGCATACTAGGTACTTAGTAGCAGAGTCGAGAGTGAGGAAGTAGTGGTCAAAAGAGGAGGGGAGGACGAAGGGGTGAAGTGGGAATAAAGCAGGGAGCTGGAGTTCGATCCCAAAATCGACCCGGCTTTTATATCCAAGGAATCCAATCCGAAACGGCGTAGCGTTTCAAGTTGGAAAGGACCCGGAGAGAACACGAAGAGAGAATAACGAAGCAGACGTCGGACGTTGATGGTGCTATCAAGATATTCGAAGTTCAGCGATTTTGAAAGGTATGCTGGCCACCAACGTATCCCGTTGTCGCGTCTCCAACCCCGTGATCTTGTTGATTTCTCTGGGTAAATTTGTCGGAGAGTCCTGCCGACAGCCTGTCGAACTGTTTCCCTCTTATTCCATTACCTCCATCAATCTAACCTCCCGTCTCCCACAGTCACTCTTCCCTCCCTCCTAATCTCTCTCTCCTCTACGCCATCTAGCATGTAATCAGCGTACCATGCTGCCTCCCATTTGTCCTCGATGGTTAACAATACGAGGTGGTGTTATGGGCGTTGATGCCCATATCGGGATCAACAACGTTGATCAACCGCATGGTGTAGACTTCTTTCCTCTCACCACCACCACGGTAAATTTTACCCCTTCCTATTGTGTGCTCTTATGCTCATGACCTTGAGTTTAGAGCGTTGATAGTATCGCAAGGCTATGGTACGTGTTCCACTGAGTTGGTACCTTGGCTGAATCCTTCGCTCTCCAGACGGCCTCAAGCCCCGAATTTTCGTGACGGACGACATGTGACGCGACGTTCACGTCGTATTCTTACCTCTAGGTCTCCTGGATGGGTCAACTCGTGTAGAATTTGCGGAGCAGAGCGCATTTAGATTTCCAAGGTGAGTGTTGGCCTGCAGCTACCAGTTTCAGAACTGAACTAACAGCCGATTCAGTTTCTATCGCTGCTTTATCCAAGAGCAAGAGTTTTGGCGAGCTCACTGGCCCTTCAAGTCTGGCTTCGGTTGTTGCAGATTATGTTGACATAATAGGTGGCCACCCGGCTAGCTAATGTAAGTCCCGTTTGTTATCTTTGTCTAAAGAAAATGTGCTCATATATCTTAATCCATAGTTGCTGTCATCCCGAACCCCGGATGTCCCAAGATGACGTATCACCGTCCGGCGAGCGAGGTAAGCGTTCGTTTGAGTCAATCACTCGATATCATGACTGACATTGTCTTGAAGCTGCCGACCTGGAAACAACACGGGGACTGTGTCAAGACGACGCATCTTCGTCCGCCGAGCAAGGTAAGTCCTACCTCAAGTCGACAACCTATTATTATACTGACATTGTGTTGAAGCTCAACCAACACCAGGATTGTGTTGAGACGACGTATTTCCATCTCCCGAGCGATGTAAGTCTTCGGTGAACTATTATCAACACTGACACTGGCTCGAAGATACCGAAAGACCAGAATTACTCCGAGACGACGTATCTTCGTCCGACGAGCAAGGTATGTTCACTTCACAAGTGTCATTTCTCGTTCTTACTAAATTCCTCTCCTAGTATCAAAGCTTGGGCGTGTGCCGTGAAGGGTTGGGAGAGACTTGAGTATACGTATTGCATTCCGGCGAGCTAGGTGAGTTGTTTTGTAGGAAATTTCTTGTTGACATTTGCTCATTCTTTTCACAGGAGCACAAGTTAATTTGCCAGGATGTGAACCTCGCAGAGCCGATGTCATGTTCATCAAACTCTTTCCGCCGTTCTCCATTTTGCCTTGATGTTAAATATCGCGGTAAGTTGTTATTTGCGTATTTTTGATATCGTCATGCTAAATTTTTACGTGTTTTAGGTTCGAGTTCGACCTCGAAAATTTCGAGACCGAAACTCTGCGGAGTCAATGGCATCGCGCGTCGAAATAAAGGAAAACGTAAATTTGGGTTATTTTCTGTTCATTCCGCTCGAATTTTAATCGGATTTTCTTTCAGGACGAGCGAGACACGACCACAGAGCCACGTCGTTCTCCGGCAAGCCAGGTACGCGACGTTTTAATCTACATTTGACTTATGTTTTTGCAGTTTCTAAAACACCAGGAGTTCCGGGTTCAAACCCTCGGGGAGCCACCATCGGGGGTGCGGAAATCTCAGTTTGCGAGCAAGTGCAGGCGAGGTTTCGACGCCCTTGTGCCGGCGGGGAGGATTCGCGCAGACTCCGGGATGGTTTCTGGTTGAAGAGGCGGACTCGGACATGGCTGGAGAGGTCCCAGGGAATGATGGTGGGGTCCCAGTATTTTGAATAGCCGTCTTGGGCAAGTCCCAAGACTGGCAATTTTTTTTGGACCCTGCAAGAGAGGAAAGGGAGGTTATGTTCGAGTGTAGTGATTACATAATCGAAGGAGGTGGACTTCATCAACGATGGTGGCTGTGTATATTCGACAGTGATCAAGACTTGACTTTGTCTGCCTCGAGGCTCGCGCGTTTTTGATGGGCGTCCTGGCTACTGATATGTTCAACCTTCTCACACAGAACTTCAGTCTCGGTGGCTTTCCTTTCTATCTCTCTTTGAAGGGTTGTCTTTTACCATCAAGTGACAATGGACTTTCCGATTGGATGTTAGTCGACGGTTTCAAAGGTCACGTCGATTCCGATACGACCCCTCAATTCACAATTCATTGTTGCGAGAGTATCCGACCGCGCGTCTTTCGCGCTTCCATGGGCCCATCCGGACATCAGCCTACCACCCCTGTCGTTATCAAAGTGGCACGCACCGAGACGGAATTGTCTTTCCTCCAGTGGGAAGGGAAGGTTTATAATCAGCACCTGAAAGCTTTGCAAGGCACTGTTGTCCCAAATGTTATGGACTATTCGTCACCAATAACGGTGGAAGGAGGATGGGTTGTCTCGTGTTGGAACACTGTGCCACTACAAACATCAGGCATGCCGACTATGGGTTTGTTTCTTGGCACTACTACGAACAACTCCCCTTCACTGAAGCTTTCTTCTAGTTGCAAAATCATGATTGCGATGAGCAAAATTCACCAAGCTGGGAATGTCAAGCCTTCGTCCCATATCCTGACCACACCTGACGGTATCCGCATCGTCGACTTTGCTAGCACGGCACTTCACGAGTGCCCGAATGCCACGCCGTGTCTGGTTGACACGAGGGGTGCTTTTGCACGTCAAGCGGGACAGTGTAAGGAATTGGCCGTTTTGGAATACACATACGGATCGGCAGATGGCAGGCATATCGACGAGATGCTCCAGGTGTCCAATAGCCTCTCCCCCCCCACCGGTTGCGCATATACATTCGCACCAGAAAAAATATGCTGAATTAAGTCGGTCCCATAGGCCGACCCGTTTCTAGCTTGCAGGCACATTTTCTTATAATTGTATCGTGTATTAGAATCACTCATAGCATAGAAAATTGTATTGATAGGCAACGATCGTTACATGCATATATAGCCCCTTAGAAAACCTGGATATTCTTTGAAACCATCTCTATCGCTCTTTTAACATCTGCATCGAGATCGTGGTGCCAATAGGGCTGCGCACCGTACCATATACGGTATACGGCCGTAAAGCCAATGTCCCAGACGGTCACGGAACTATCCGTATACCGTGCCGTATGATCAGTTTGAATGCCTTGTCGGCGTCGGTACGGGTACCTTACGGCCGTCTACGGTCGTTGACGACCGTGCGCCTGAGTATGAAATTGATTGCTCATAAAGAAGTTAGTCAGATGCCTTTAAGATTGCCAAAAATCTGTAAAATGCACCTGGTTTTATTCAGCTATGCCGCATTGAGCAGGGCTAGAGATATCGAAGACTTAAAATAAAGTCATGTATATTGTCTTGAATGTGTATGAAAAATTGACAAGACAGCTAAAAGAGCAAGTTAATAAAGCTACGAAATTGAATGATGGCTATTTTGTGTCATAGACTTACCCTAAAAAGGACTCTTGGCTGAGTCAAAAGTAAGATTAAGCAATAAGCTGTATTACAATGTTGTATGGCCGTCTGTGAGAGGTCTTGACGGTGATGGAACAACCGTACACCGTACCATACAAATGGTCATTGGGGTGCGTTCGGCTTTGGTTCGTATTCCGTATAACGGTTACCGAAAACCATATAATATGGTGATGGCATGCAGCCCTAGGTGCCAAACTGGCTCCCATAAATTGGACAATTTTGTCGCCTCCTGCGTTTCCATACCTGGTTGGTATGATTCATAGATTTGTCCGGCTTCGATGGTCCGCTCGATCACACCATTCGCATGCGGCGACCTCACTTTTGTATAAGCCTGAAGTGCATCCTGTAAAACACTTGTTACCATAGCATGACACAATAGATTTCAAATATCTACCTCAATATTTGACTTAGTGACTTGATCGTTCTTGAGTAATTCACAAAGCACAAACACATCTTCAAATCCCTGGCCAACACCTGCCCCAAGATGGGGCGGCATGCCATGTGCCTAGTGGGCATCAGAGAATGAATGGAGTGAAGAAATGTCGAGGCACTCACGGCATCGCCAACTAGCACTACCCTATCACGATAGTAGCTTGCAAGGGGAGGGTTCAGAGTGTGTATAGACCATTTACTAGATGTTTTCATGTGGTCCACAATTATGCGGGCATTGCGACCCCATGCTTGGAAGTGGTCCTGGAGCTCCCCATCTGGGGCTGTCACTACCCATGGAGATGGAAGCACAGGTCGAAAAGGGATGTCCTTCTTGGACACAAAAATGACCACATTAATCTAAGACACAGTCACCTTCTAGATTTGCATGGATTGAGTTACTGCATACTCTTTTATCACTATGAATGGGATAGATAACGAAATGCTAAAAATGCTATGAGTATGGAAAGTATCAAGAGAAAGATAGCTCCGACCCTACTTTGTTCAATCTGACAAACGCAACGGGGCACGTGGAAAGCTCCGTCTGTAGCCCTGCTGCCTTCAGGTCTTCAAGCGAAATGAGGCCTCTGTATGTGATTGTATTAGTGAACTCTAAATGCTTCTGTACGCCATCTCCAACGATGTAATCTCTTGTTACACTTCGGATACCATCAGCTCCAATTACCAGGTCGGCTTCGTGCTTCGTTCCGTCCGTAAAATTGATCGTCGTGGTGCCTTCCATCGATGCAATGGACACACAATGCTTGTTGAAGTGGACAATACTAGGATCCAAAAGACTGACCACGGCATCCAAGAACACAGGTCTGTATATGGCGAGCCCCAAGTCATCCATGGACGCTATAGGATACTAAGTCATGTTAGCGCAGTAAGAAACATATGCAGAAGTCTTACTAACATCATACACGACCTTATGCTCGTCCAATCTGGATAAAAATAGGAACTGTCTAAAAGTAGGGCTCCCAGTATCCGAGCAAGATAAGACAGCATCGTATAATCCCAAGCCTTTGAGGGCTCATAAGGCGTTAGGACCTTTGCAGTGTCAATAGAGCAGCATTTACAAAAACAATAAAAGATAGAATATCCACCTAATCCAACCCCTGCTCCTATCTCTTCGAATTTCGACTAGTAAATCATTATATCAGCCATATGGTCAATTTCTTGTGGTTCCAACATATACTTGCTTCGAATACATCAACCTGAATACCAGACTTTGATAAACCGACTGCGCAGGCGATTCCACACATTCCGCCTCCCACGATAGCAACAGTAAAGTCTTTAGCCATGATGGAACAATGGGATGTAAACTTCCATGACTTCCAGGCTTATAAGTCGCCATTCCACAAGGGTCATGGGTAATGCTGACTGAGATATCATGTCGAAGTGAGAAAATTACCGTGATTCTATTACCAGAGAATCCATTTTGCTGGTTGCCTTCAGAGCTAAATGAGTACTTGAGGGGGGGGAGGGGAGACGAGCAAGAGATTCAAGGCATCTGATCACTGGAAGGGCAGCCCATCAGCAAACCCCGAGGAAATTTCGCCTACAACCACCACCACATTCAATCCACTTTATTTTTGCCATGAGACGTACCAATGAACACTTCCTTGCTTTTCTCTACGATTGAAGTGACTAGACAAGCCTTCTATGGCTCTTCACTCTCTTTTGCTATCGTAAATCTGAAGCCCATTGTTCCAGGACGTGAGCTGGCACCGTCTTTCGGCTGAGCTGCACCAAACTCACAAGTTTTATCGGCGACAGCACGCCCCCTCATTCAGTCTGCTCTCAAGGTCCTGACACCTCATCAACTGCCACAAATGACGATGCTATTATGGTGGCGTCTGCCGGTCCTCTCATGTTCAGAACGCATGAACACCGCTAAGCTTTAACTCCAACATGACCATCCTGGCTCATGCACGCCTCACTCAAAGACTCGCATCTCGAGCTCAGTTTAGCACAGCACACCTCACTGCTCCTCTGGACATCCACGTTCCACCCCAAAGTCCAAGAAGCCTTATCCATGCACAAACCCATAGTACTAGTAGCCCTCGAGTGTTAGCGACCGATTACACAAACAAGACCAAACAACTAAGCGTGACTCGCACTTCGGTCAGGCGCTTTATGTTGCTCGCAGGTTTGCGTGCAGGGAACTATCGCTTAGTTGAGCGAGAGTGAGTTCAGACTAAGTTATCGGGTGAATAAACTTTAGTTCGAGACTGAGGTTTAAGACCTGCAGTCGAGCTACTTAAATACAGTTTGGGTCGTGCTAAATATACTACAAGTGTCTGCAACGGTACGCTAAGCGCACTGAACCTGCATGGTGAATGCGATCAAGTCCGGAGAATTAGCATAGCGAGATTACGATAGAGCTGATAAGATAAGATAAAGCACGAAATCGTAATATTACCCCCCTGTTAAGGCAGTCGTCCCGACTGCGATGTAACTTGGTTTTGGAGGGTAAGCTCCTACGAGAGAGGGGGCATTTGGTTTTATCAGGTATTCTTGGATTGCCTGTACCAATGGGTGGTCGGTTTCCGACTCCGTTACTGATTCATGTTCGGACCATGAGTCAGATTCGTTGTTATCTTCCCACCATTCTGCGGGTGGTCGGGTGATGAACAAGACTTGTTCAAAGTCTTCGACTGCGTCCCTGGCGTTGTCTAGTTCCTGTTCATCTACCCAAGAGTTTTCCTCTCTGGGATATCCTTTCCACTTGACGAGGTATTCGATTCCGGTGCCGTGCCTTCGTCCTCTTCCTCTTGCTCTTTCTCTCCTGTCTACAATTTCTTCTACTTCGTATTGCTCTTGTCCGTCTATGAGATCTGGTGGCGGCGGTGAAGGCTGTATTTGGATTGGGAACTCCGGCGGATGATATGGAGTAAGGAGATTTTCATTGAAACGGTCGTGGATCTTCCATGCGGGGGGAAGCCGTAATTTATATGCGGATGCGCCATGTTTGGAGATCACTTCAAAGGGTCCTACGCGCTTGTCTCCTAGTTTCTTCATTGGTTGGGGAAGAGATAGGTTCGTAGAGTCCAGCCATACCTTGTCTTTTGGCTGGTACTCGATGGCTGTCCGTTGGTGTTTGTCATACTGCCGCTTCATTGTTTCTGCCGCCTTTTCCAGCGCCTTCGTTGTTTGTTCATGAACCTTTTGTATATCTGCCACGAATTCCCTGGCCGCTGGATTGGTTCCTTCCTTGATGGAGAGCGGGGCCAGGTGTGGCTTTTGTCCATGATTGATTTCAAAAGGGGAATACCCCGTTGCGGAGTGTTTTCGATTATTATGCTGGAAGGCTGCAAGTGGTAACCATTCACTCCAATCGTTTTGCCGATGATTGATGAATATTCGAAGATATTTTTCGATCTCCTGGTTTGCCCTTTCCGTTTGTCCATCGGTTTGTGGATGATATGCCGTAGATGGATTTCCTTGTATATGTAACATCCTGTACAGTTCCTTCATGAATTTGGATACGAATTGGGGCCCCCGGTCGGATATCACCTTTTGAGGCATCCCGTGCTTTGCCCAGATGTGGTCTCGGAGGATTTTTGCCCATCCAGCGGAGGTTAATTCGGTAGAGCATGGTACCGGAATGACCTCTTTCGAGAATCGGTCTACGATCATGAGGATTGCATTATATCTGTTGGACTCTGGTAATTCACCTATCATGTCGACAGTTATGTGTTCCCATGGTCGGGAGGGTACCGCGTGAGGATGGAGAGGGGCCCTTCGTCTCTGAGTACTTGTTTTGGTACGTTGGCAGGCCTCGCAACCTTTCACATACCGTTCCACGTCATTTTTTAGCTTTGGCCACCAGTATTCCCTTTGTACGAGTTCTTTTGTTTTTTCAATCCTGGGGTGTCTGGCAGTGATGTGGTCGTGGTGAATGGCGATCAGCTCCCCTCGTAGCTTGGCATCTCGAGGTACATATAATCGCCCGTCGTAGTGCATCAATCCGTCCCTCTGAGTGATTCCTCTTGGGTGATGTAGGGATGCTTCAATCCCTTTATCCCATTTGGTAACATCTCTTAGCGCTGTACGGATGCGCTTGTGAATTTCCTCTTCTTCCGGCATGATTAAGGCTCTGAACATTTCCGGCTTCAACATTACCACCTCTCGATTATCTTCTCCTCCTTGGTCATGGTCTGCCCTTCGGGATAGTAGGTCGGCCTTCTTGTTGGCCGTCCCCGGTTTGTGATGTAGAGTGAAATGGTATTCCGCCAGTTCCGTTACCCATCGCGCTTGTCTTCGATTGAGTTTTTGTGGTTTCCAGAAATATTGGAGATTTTGATGGTCTGTCCAAATCTCAAATTCCTGGTGAGCGCCCATTAAGTAATGTCTCCAATCTTCGAGGGCTAACATAATCGCCAGCAGCTCCTTGTCGTAAATTTCATAGTTTCGTTCTGTGACGGTTAAGGCTTTGGATAAAAACGCCACTGGCCTCCATTTTCCTTCTTGTTCTTGTGATAAGACTGCTCCGACCGCTCCTTCACTCGCGTCTGCTTCCACACGGTATTTGCCTGACTGTGTGGGTATGGCTAGCACCACCTCCTTGGCTAACTTTCTCTTGATCTCCTGGAATGCATTTTCTTGAGCGGTTCCCCAGGTCCACTCCACCTTTCCCGTTAATTGAGTCAGAGGTCGTACATGCTTGCTGTAATCTTGGATGAACCTTCTGTAGAAATTGGTGAAGCCTAGAAACGATTGTAGTTCTCGTTTCTTTGTGGGATGGGGCCATTCTGTGATTCCCTTGACCTTCACGGGGTCCATGCGTATTGATCCTTGACTGATGATCACTCCGAGGTATTCGGTTTCTAATACCTCGAATTCGCATTTTTCCGCTTTTAGGAACAGATTGTTTGCACGTAAAATGGCCAGGACCTCTTGTACTACTGCTCGATGTTTGCCTTTATCTTTGGTGCAGATTAAGATGTCATCCAGGTAGACGGTGACATCTCCTCTTGCGATCTGCTCTTTGAACAAGTCGTTCATCATCCACTGGAAGGTGGCCGGGGAGTTGGTGAGCCCGAAGAACATCACCATGGGTTCGAACAATCCCCTGTTGGTTCGGAAGGCCGCCTTCCACTTGTCTCCTTCCTTGATCCGTACGTTATTGTATCCCCACCGTACGTCTAACTTCGTGAAGTATTTGGCATCTTTGAGTTGATCCATCAATTCTCCAATGAGCGGTAGCGGGTATCTGTTTTTGATGGTCATCTCGTTCAGCTTTCGATAATCCTGTACGGGCCTGAGCTTTCCGTCCTTTTTCTTGACGAAAAAGAAGGGTGAAGCCATGGGCGATTTGGAGGGCCTTATCCTTCCTGATTCTAGGTTTTCGTCAAGGAATTTATCCAGCTCCTCTTGTTCGGCTGGATTAAGAGGATAGACCTTGCAGTCCAAGCTGGCTTGTGCGTTGGGGGTAAGTTCGATTGCGTGGTCCCAGGGTTTGCGAGGTGGTAGCTCGTCAAAGTTCTCCTTGGCGAAGACGTCTTGGTATTCCCGGTATGGTTCCGGTACTATTTCCTCGAACGTTTTGGTTTCCTTAGCTTGGTTTGCTTTGGCGGCTAGCTCGTTTGCTTTGCTCCCCATGGCTCGCACATGGAAGGCCTCTTGAAAGTCTATGACGAGGATAGTGTCTCCTTCTTCCACCTCGGTTCCCCACTGTTGTTCTGGGTCCTCATCAGGGAGTAGGAAGGGTATTTGGTGGCAGGTGCACCTGGCTAGCGTTACTGCTCCTGTTTTCCAGTCGATGAGGGGGTTATGGCGTTTGAGCCAGTCGTGTCCTAGGAATAATGATACGTTTCCTAAATCCACGACGGCCAAGTCGATTTTTTCGCTATGGTCACCGATTGTCATGCGCAGTTCTACTATCTCCGTGATGTCTCCCCCTTTGTTTCTGCTTCCGTCTGCATTGTACACTGCCTGCGCTTTGGGCAGTTTTACCGTGTTCATTTGTTGTTCTTGTACGAACGCTCGGTTTATGCAGCTTCCCGTGCACCCACTATCAACCAGGGCGTCCACTGCCCGTACTTGTGAGGTATCCAACGTTTCAAGTTGGACGCGGATCGTGACACTCCTTCCCTTTCCTCCTCGTATGTATTGGGGAGGTACGCATAGGTCTTCCATGTTTTGGAGGCATTGTTCTCGTTGCCTATAGGTTTCTTTGGATGATCCGAGGAGTTCTAGAACGAGGTCCTTGTCTACCTCTATGAGGCGTCTCGGGTGTACCCACATTCGAAGAGTAGCGAGTTTTCCGTCCATTGTCTTTTCTTGTCTCATCTTTCTTCTTACCCATTCCGCGCTATGGGGTTTGAGCCACCCCTTGTCCCACTTGTCGTTGTAATATTCTTCTTCCAACTCCGTTACTTCGTAATCCTCTGGGTACTCCTCGGTATGTAGTACCGGGTCTTCCCCTCGTGGTTTGAGGCTTTGTTGATAACTGTAGTCATCTTCCTCATCTGGCACTTCTTCGATAGAAACATTCTTTTTATTACAAATAGGGAATGCACATAATGGTCCCACCGACCCGCCCACTGGGGAACACGAGCCCCCGGTGCCATTATGTGTTAGTGATGACGAAGGGAGACGCACCGTGATTGGGGGAGGGTGGATGATGTCCCCGGTCGTCTGGACTGTTGTTTGCGGGGCGGCAGTTTTCTTGATGGGGATTCGCGATCCCTCTTGCGGCTCCGTCGTGTTGGGATAGTTGGCCGCATAGGGCAGGTGCGTACATTCCGCCTTCGGGTGAGGCCCTGCACCGTTCCTCTCCCGCTTGGAGGCGCCGTCGCCCACTACTGGCTCGGCCGCTCTTCCTCCGTTTTCTGCGCCGGTACCTACCCTCCACGGAGCGATGTTGACCTTGATCCCGGGTATCCTGCCGCCTTGCGCAGCATGCGCCGCTTGTGCTTTCGCACCGGTGGCCAAGGAGCTTGAGTGGGGTTCTTCTTCGAGCACGGTGGAAATCCCCTGTACACCGTTCTTCTTTATATGCGACTTGGTAATTTCATTTTGTGATAGCGTGAAAGTTTTGTCATTGCC